GAACAGCAAAGCCATAATTGCTCATATTTATATGGAAGCATCCCCAGGTACTGTAGATTAAAGTTTGTTTAAATCATGATCCCCCGGGGTAGGGTGGGGCCACAATGGCCGACCAAAGTTTTATATAGAAATGAAAAGGAAAATTCTTTAAAAATCTTCATCTCAAGAACAGAAAAGCCATAATTGCTCATATTTATATGGAAGCATCCCCAGGTAGTGTAGATTAAAGTTTGTTCAAATCATGACCCCCGGGGTAGGGCGGGGCCACAATGGCCGACCAAAGTTTTATATAGAAATGAATAGGAAAATTCTTTAAAAATCTTCTTCTCAAGAACGGCAAAGCCATAATTGCACATTTATATGGAAGCATCCTCAGGTAGTGTAGATTCAAGTTTGTTCAAATCATGACCCCCGGGGGTATGGCGGGGCCACAATGGGCGATCAAATTTTTACATAGAAATATATAGGAAAATTCTTTTAAAATCTTCTTCATTAGAACAGAAAAGTCATAATTGCTCATATTTATATGGAAGCATCCCCAGGTAGTGTAGATTCAAGTTTGTTCAAATCATGACCCCCGGGGATAGGGAGGGGCCACAATAGCTGACCAAACTTTTATATAGAAATATATAGGAAAATTCTTTAAAAATCTTCTTCTCAAGAACAGAAAAGCCATAATTGCTAATATTTATATGGAAGCATCCCCATGTAGTGTTGATTCAAGATTGTTCAAATCATAATCCCCGGGGGTAGGGCGGGGCCACAATGGCTGACCAAAGTTTTATATAGAAATATATAGCAAAATTCTTTTAAAATCTTCTTCTTAAGAACAGCAAAGCCGTAATTTATCATAATTATATGGAAGCATCCCCAGGTAGTGTAGATTTAAGTTTGTTCAAATCATGACCCCTGAGGATATGGCGGGGCCACAATAGCCGACCAAAGTTTTACATAGAAATATATAGGAAAAATCTTAAAAATCTTCTTCTCAAGAATAGCAAAACCATAATTGCTCATATGTATATGGATGCATCCTCAGGTAGTGTAGATTCAAGTTTATTCAAATCATGACCCCCCAGGGGTAGGGCGGGGCCAAACTTTTGGATTTAAACTTTTCAATAGTAAACCAATTTCTTCTTTTTTCTAGCCACAATGCTCGGGTGAGTGATGTGGCCCATGGGCCCCTTGTTTTTAGTATATTATCCATGGACCTCTTGAATATATACAAGCGAGTCGTGTCATTATTCAGCGTCCTGCATTTCTTACATAATCCGAAAACAGAGACGTCGTTGGAGCTATTTCAGCATTTTGGATCCTGATTATTGTCGTAGAATCACACTTTCATACCAGAAAACGTTAAAGATAATGTCAGTTTTGTATTAAAATCACAATATTTGGCAAAGGTGTACTGTCAAACAAATGACAGCATGAAATTAACAAGAGGCCCAGGGGCCACATCGCTCACCTGAGAAAATCAGCTAGGAAAAGAGCACAAATCAGATAAGAACTGAAAAGTTTACTGAAGGGGGGGGAGGGCTTGCTACTTGAGAATGCATTCATATTAATACAGCATATTACTTTGCTGTTCTTGATAAAAAGATTTTTTTTAAACATTTTCTTCCTATAAATAACTTCATAAAAATTTGAATTTGATTCCCATTTGTTTCCCTCTCTATCCCAAGGCCAAAGGGCCATGATGTAAATAAATTTAAATCAGGATTTGAACAAACTTAATTCTACACTACCCAAAAATGCTTCCATATAAATACTGGTATCACTAATCATGGTTTTGCTATTCTTGAGAAGAAAATTTTTTAAAATACATTTAAATGTATAAACTTGGATCCCCCATTGTGACCCCACCATATCCCTGGGGGTTAAATTTGAGCAAACTAAATTCTACCATACACTACCTGAGAATGTTTCCATATAAATATCACTAATCATGGCTTTGAAGTACTTGAGAAGACAATTTTTAAAGATTTCCCTATCTAGTCCTAAGTAAAACTTTGATTGGCCATTGTGGCCCCACCCTACCCCCGGGGGTCATGATTTGAACAAACTTGAATCTACACTACCTGAGGATGATTTCACATGAGTTTCATCTTTCCTGGCCCAGTGGTTCTTGAGAAGAAGATTTTTAAAGATTTCCCCTATATACTCCTATGTAAAACTTTGATAGGCCATTGTGGCCCCACCCTAACCCCGGGGGTCACGATTTGAACAAATTTGAATTTACACCACCTGAGGATGCTTCCACATGAGTTTCATCTTTCCTGGCCCAGTGGTTCTTGAGAAGATGATTTTTAAAAGACGCCATTAATTTTTCACTAATTCATATTTATCTCCCCTTGGAAGAGGGCGTGGCCGATCATTTGAACAAACTTGAATCCCCTTCACCAAAGGATACTTTGTGTAAAGTTTGGTTGAAACTGGCCCAGTGGTTCTTGAGAAGAAGATGAAAATGTGAAAAGTTTATGCCAACGACGACGCTGACAACAAGGACAACGGACAAATTTTGATCAGAAAAGCTGTGCAAAAGTCATGCCCACTCGAATTAGATTCGGCCTCATTTAGTGTATTCTGGCTTTCTGCCCTATTCCCTGGTACATGTACACAGATATAACCATTATGTCTTTAATAGCAACACTGATGAAGTAACTAACACAATCATATATTTTGAAATAAATCTACTACTACATATACACACTGGATTACTAAATTTCTCTGTGTCTAAATGAAATGAGATTTTTAAAATCAATAAAATGGTCATTCAGAAAACATAGTAGAACAAGAAGAAATATACTCACTATAAATTTTATCAGATTGGCTTCTACAAATGTTAAGCATTTGTTTATTATAGTTTTATACACACTTCTCATAAATGCATAGTAATAAAACTAGAGGTACTGTGAGCAATGAGCTCACTAAATGATACCCCCCGCCTCCCACATGAATATAATATTATGACAGTGTCCATGTTTTGCTCTGGAAAATCCAAAATATATGTCAGATCAAAAAGTAAAATAGGAGGTGCACAATGACAATATGTAATAAAAAAATTCTGTGAAAGTTTCATCAAATTTCTTACAGTGGTAAGAGAGGAGTTGAGGATAAGAGATTGGTACCCCAAAGCATAACAGACGGATGGACAGACAGATGGACGGATGGAAATAATGATCACTATATACCCTCCCGCTTTTCAAGTGGGGGGTATAATGAGAAAAAATCAATTTGTTAACATTTAAAAATACTGCAATACAATGTCATGCATACAGTACCCATAACATTATTCTTTAAAATTCTATTGTGTCCTATTGTGCATGTATCCTATCCTCTCATGCATTTAGCCTATCATATCGTGCATGTATCCTATTGTATCGTGCTTGTGCATGTATCCTTTTGTAATGTGCATGTATCCTATTGTATCATGCATGTATCCTATTGTATGGTGCGTGTATACAATAGTGTGTGTATCCTATCACATTATATATGAATCCTATTGTATTGTGTTTGTATATTATTGTACTATGCATGTATCTTATCCTATCATTCGAGTATCATATTGTATCTTGTATATATCCTATTGAATCGTGCACATATTCTATCATATCATGCATGCATCTTATCATATCGTGTATCCTGTAAAAAACAATTACAAACATATGTCCTGGCCATATTCATGGCAGGGCATGCAAATGTGTAATACACAGATATTTGCAAACTTGATGACCACTCATTTAGCCTACACTTTCCTTATGCTGTTACCGGTATACAGTTATACTTAATCGCCTTCCCCGCAGTCACTCATTTTAACGCACATACGAGGGTTGTCCCAAAAAGTCATAGACAATGTTTATAACTTTTTAAAAATCCAACCAATACTAACCAAATTTTGCATAGACATAATATATTCAATGTTCTTTAAAACTGTGGATTTTGAAATATATATCTTTCATATTGATGATATTAGGACGATTTATATGAGGGACAATAAGGTCTGTCGGCGCAGGAACAAAATTCGGAATATTTTACGCATATAACTATTACATTTGCTTTTATTTCTTTAGTACTATGTAAAACATTGAACTCAAATTTACATCAGTGAAATCAGAATCAAAATCTTGATAATATGTCAAAATTTCATATAAATAGCACTGGAAACAGACGATTGGTGTCATGATTTTCAAAGTGTTGCTGAAATTGTGTTTGATGAAAATGACATCGTCAAATGCGTAACCTGCGCATAGATATATAATAAATTGTTTTGAATATGATTTGTACATTACAGACTGGGAAAAAAAGTAAAGAAGTGACATTACACACTAGATTTTAATAGGGAAGTTATTTTTAAATGACATGAGATTCAATGAGAGTTTTTCCTCTATATCGAAATTAGTTACAACATTTAAGAAGTAGAGAACAAACAACAACTGGCAACAATCTGGGCCACGAAAGACGTCAAACTATGTGTGTTCTCTGCTACCTACAATGTATGGCAATCTTTCGACTAAAATTTGAATCTGCTTAAACAAAACATAACAACAAAAAACCTGACAGTAGTGAATTTAGATAATTCCCATAGTCAAGAGTGGTCTTTCCCTTATCAAAAAAAATATTGAATGTTTTAACAGACGTGTGTGAAGCAGAAAAAGATATCATGACGTTATATGAGACGTAAATTAATAAGATCATGACGTTATATGAGACGTAAATTAATACGCTTGCTTTCGTGCGCCGATGTACACTCACATGCTTTCTTTATTTTTTCATAATTTCTTTACTAAGTGTGATATCATTTTGAAATTTGAAATGCATGATCATATAATGTTACTTTTTGTTATGAGAAGAAGAGAAACTAATTCAACAAAGAGAAAATAAACTGTTTTCCCTGTCTACGACTTTTTGGGACAACCCTCGTACCTCTTACATATTTCTATGACGTGAACATTAAGTGTATGTTGCATAACATTTCAGTAAGTTGTAAAAAGTTAACTCACTTGAGTTTCTGGGTCTCCAAATCGACAGTTAAATTCCAGAACTTTTGGTCCAGCCGATGTTAGCATTATCCCAGCATACAGAACACCTAAAGAAACAGTTGACATAATGGTCTGGGGCCCCTACAATATAAATGTTATCATCAAAATAAAACATTGAAATCTTATGTTGTGACCTTTCTATTTCTAAAAACTAATTGCATAATTAAGAAAAATTCTAAAGGAACAGTTGATATAACTATGGTCTGGGGCCATTTTTTCCTCATGTTATTTTCACCCTTTTTTACATATTTACAAATTTGTACCATATTACATTTGTCCAGTCCCAGTTCTGTTTAAGAATTTAAACTGCATTCTTTGAATTCACCACATTCTAAATTTGCCCATTTGTGATAAGGGGAAAAGGGGCAAAAATGAAACGGGGCTAAAATTTCCCTGTACATACAGAATTTTTAAACAAGAATGAAAGAGAATGATTCCTTCTGAAAAGTGCATTGATGAAGTCTTTAGTTACAAAATTGTATGTTCAATCTGCTACAATGCATTTATGCAAAGCAGTAAATATTTCTAAAATTCGTTTACTGACATCTTACCAATAAACGGGAATCCCTCCTAAGAGGGGGTTAAAAGGGGGACATCTTACCAATGAATGGGAAGTCCTCCTTCTTCATCACATCCACAGCTCTCTGTAATATCTTCTTTGTAATGATCTCCAAATCTTTGCCTGATATCTACACAAATAAAATAAAATTTTAATTATTAGTAGTATTTTGGAAGGACTTGCTCCATGTGACATAGAGGCACTGAAGTGAAAATTTGCACATTTTATCATAAGCAATTTTCATCATAAATATTTTGTGTATGACTTTCTTGCCTGTTTTGCTTTCATTCTCAATGCAGTCATTTTATTACATAATTATAAAACAAATCTCTTTGGTTAAACTTGTCAAAACTGCTTCCTGTTTTATGAAGTCTCACTGCTCTAAATATTGACATTATTGATGACAAAATATGGGGTAAATTAAATTGTTTGAGTGTTCTTTTAAATGTACTGCACAACATGCATAAAAAAACAAAACTGGTAAATAAAAAATGTTTTCTCTTGTACTTCATATTTGTTTGTCATTTTGTTGTTTTTTTAAAAATGGCCCTTCACAATACCAAAAACAAAATTCCATTCATTTTCAAAATCATGAAAATGACCCATAAAGAACTTTGACAGTTGTGCTATAGTCCCATTGCCCTTTAAAGTCACTGAGGTTGAATAAGAACATAATTGTGCGATATATATTGATTCTACTCACCAATGTCAAGGAAAATGACTCCCCAATCATTTTAAAATTCTACACAACTGTAGATTTATTAGCATTAATAGCATTATTCCCTATGTTAATTCTACTCACCACCAAGTCCTTCTGTTAATTCTACTCACCAGGAATAATGACAAATGGCCCCAGTCCTTCTGTCAATTCTACTCACCAGGAATAAGGACAAATGGCCCCCAGTCCTTCTGTTAATTCTACTCACCAGAGGATAAGGACAAATGACCCCCATTCCTTCTGTTAATTCTACTCACCAGGGGATAAGGACAAATGCCCCCCATTCCTTCTGTTAATTCTACTCACCAGAGGATAAGGACAAATGACCCCCATTCCTTCTGTTAATTCTACTCAAAAGGGAATAAGGACAAATGGCCCAAATTCCTTCTATTAATTATATTAATCAGAGGATAATGACAAATGGCCCCCATTCCTTCTGTTAATTCTACTCAAAAGGTAATAAGGACAAATGGCCCCCATTCCTTCTGTTAATTCTACTCAAAAGGTAATAAGGACAAATGGCCCCCATTCCTTCTGTTAATTCTACTCACCAGGAATAAGGACAAATGGCCCCCAACCTTCTGTTAATTCTACTCACCAGAGGATAAGGATAAATAGCCCCCATTCCTTCTGTTAATTCTACTCACCAGGAATAAGGACAAATGGCCCCCATTCCTTCTGTTAATTCTACTCACCAGAGGATAAGGACAAATGGCCCCCATTCCTTCTGTTAATTCTACTCAAAAGGTAATAAGGACAAATGGCCCCCATTCCTTCTGTTAATTCTACTCAAAAGGTAATAAGGACAAATGGCCCCCATTCCTTCTGTTAATTCTACTCACCAGGAATAAGGACAAATGGCCCCCAGTCCTTCTGTTAATTCTACTCACCAGAGGATAAGGACAAATAGCCCCCAGTCCTGTTATTTCTACTCACCAGAGGATAAGGACAAATGGCCCCCATTCCTTCTGTTAATTCTACTCACCAGAGGAGAAAGACAGATGGCCCCCATTCCTTCTGTTCATTCTACTCACTAGAAGATAAGGACAAATGGCCCCCATTCCTTCTGTTAGTTATACTCACCAGAAGATAATGACAAATGGCCCCCATTCTTTCTGTTAATTCTACTCACCAGAGGATAAGGACAAATTGCCCCCATTCCTTCTGTTAATTCTACTCAAAAGGGAATAAGGACAAATGGCCCCCATTCCTTCTGTTAATTCTACTCATCAGAGGATAAGGACAAATGGCCCCCATTCCTTCTGTTAATTCTACTCACCAGGAATAAGGACAAATGGCCCCCAGTCCTTCTGTTAATTCTACTCACCAGAGGATAAGGACAAATGGCCCCCATTCTTTCTGTAAATTCTACTCACCAGGAATAAGGGCAAATGGCCCCCATTCCTTCTGTTAATTCTACTCACCAGGGAATAAGGACAAATGGCCCCCATTCCTTCTGTTAATTCTACTCACCAGAGAATAAGAACAAATGGCCCCCATTCCTTCTGTTAATTCTACTCACCAGAGGATAAGGACAAATGGCCCCCATTCCTTCTGTTAATTCTACTCACCAGAAATAAGGACAAATGGCCCCAATTCCTTCTGTTAATTTTTCTCAAAAGGGAATAAGGACAAATGGCCCCCATTCCTTCTGTTAATTCTACTCATCAGAGGATAAGGACAAATGGCCCCCATTCCTTCTGTTAATTCTACTCACCAGAGGATAAGGACAAATGGCCCCCATTCCTTCTGTTAATTCTACTCACCAGAGGATAAGGACAAATGGCCCCCATTCCTTCAGTTAATTCTACTCACCAGGGAATAAGGACAAACGGCCCCATTCCTTCTGTTAATTTTTCTCAAAAGGGAATAAGGACAAATGGCCTCCATTCCTTCTGTTAATTTTTCTCAAAAGGGAATAAGGACAAATGGCCCCCATTCCTTCTGTTAATTTTTCTCAAAAAGGAATAAGGACAAATGGCCCCGATTCCTTCTGTTAATTCTACTCACCAGAGGATAAGGACAAATGGCCCCCAGTCCTTCTGTTAATTCTACTCACTAGAAGATAAGGACAAATGGCCCCCAGTCCTTCTGTTCATTTAAGATGTTTTTTATACACAAACTGGTGATTTCGTGAGGTAAACATGATATATATTTCATAAATTGATCTGCTACAAGCATATTAAAAGTCATGTCTGCTGTAGTAGACTGGTTTCATTAGCTGTTTCACAAGGATTTTCTCTAAAAAATGCAGCATTTCTTTTTAATTATCTAAAAGAATTGCTGACTCCAACATAGCAATAACTGGACTTGTGTTTGCCTCCCAATGGTATGAAATTGTATATAAGATGAAGTGACAAGTAAATTTCAGCTAACAAAAATGCATTAGAGTAAATTCATTTACTAGATTGTCTAGCATGAATCCTTAAGACTTTGGATTGGTTTATGTGTTGGAATACATATCCTTCCACTTTATTAAGAAGTTATCTGTTACAAATGTGTCACATTGCATGTTATTTTATATGGACTTTCTCTGGATTACATACCAGTGGACAAAAAGTGACACCTGTTAAAGTGAACTGATTAAGAGAGTCGTGCAATGACTTACCAAAAAATATTATAACAAGATTTATTTTAAATAGGATGCGTTCAGATCTGCCATGTATCAAATTACGACACAATCAATTATAAATATATATTTATAAATCTATTTTAGATAAATATTGCCACAAACACTGTAGATGTATTATTTTCCACGGGTCATAATTCCGCAGAATCTCAATTTCTGTTTAATCTGCAGATAGAAAATTATGTGCAGTTTCTTGATTGTCACTATACGCCTTACATTTATATTGAGTACGCTTGGTCAGATTTGAGAAAAAAGTACTTCTACAGTACTAAAAACACTATGGAAATCTGTAATTGCTAGAAAAAATTGTTTTACATTTAAAAAAAATGAGAACAATACAAATTCACAAAAGCAAGATAGATTCTAGATTTTAGCATGAAAAGAGGACCATGGCTTAAAGTGTGAGTCAGGTTTAAAATGTAAAAATCTCATCCCTAAAAACCATCATCCATTTAAGTACATTACTTTATAAACAATTAATAAAAAGTACTTTACTTGCTTTCCTTTATTACCTTTAACAATAACAAAAAACACAAAACATTTAGATATATACATTTAAATGTAAAGGGGATAATACAGCTGATTAAACAGGTTACATCTAAGCTATATACAATGTGTACAAACTGATAATATGCTATAAAGCTTACATTTTGGTTATGAGTATGGCACTTGTACATATTTTGATTTTCACATTTTAATCTTCAAAAATCAGAAGTTTATACTGTTTTACAGAATTGATGCAGTATTCAAGAAATAATGTTATCAATTTTTAAACGTATATATATATCAGGATGTACATATGAGATAGACCCATATTGCCTGAAGACCTTCATAATAAAGATCACATACAATGTACTTGTAAATGTTAGTATTTTGAATGTACACATATATGGAGAGTATTATGTTTTTCTTAAATACTAGTAAGTTATCAATTTTTAAACGTATATATATATCAGGATGTACATATGAGATAGACCCATATTGCCTGAAGACCTTCATAATCAATTTTTAAACGTATATATATATCAGGATGTACATATGAGATAGACCCATATTGCCTGAAGACCTTCATAATAAAGATCACATACAATGTACTTGTAAATGTTAGTATTTTGAATGTACACATATATGGAGAGTATTATGTTTTTCTTAAATACTAGTAAGTTACAACTTAAGCTACATGTATATCATAAAACTAATACGATGGTTCTGAGTATGGCACTTTTAATGTACATATCTTGGGTTTCCTCACTTTAATGTAGAGAAAATAACCATAAAAAAAATCACAATTTATTGCATTACAAACAATCAAAAAACAAAAATTGTTCAGACTTAAACTTTATAATCAACTTGACAGGTGAAAAAGAAAGTAAATAAGTCTTTTTGTAAAATATGAGGATCAAGATGGACATATTGGACAAAAGTTCAAAGGTCAATAAAACAAATATTTCAGATTCTTGTGTATGGTATATAGACGTCAAATAACATGGTCACCATTGTATTTATTATGCTTAGAATTAAATTCATAATAAAAAAAAAAGAAATACACAGAAGCAACTGATACCAGTGTAGTGTTAAAATTAACTCTGATTATAGATTTTATTACACTCTTACATCACATACTATTGTAACATATGACAATGGTAAACAATATGGTTCAAATTAATGGCTCAGATAGATACAAACTTCATTCAACAGTGTATGTTATCTCCCTTAAATTTGTCTTCGCTTTTCCTTTATTTTAGTAATGAGAGCTTGTTTCTTCCTTTTTGAGGATTTGGTGTTTTGCTGCAAGATGTATTCAATCATGTCTTATTTGAGACAAAATGTCATGTCTATAGTACATCTCCTTGAATCAAACCATAGATAAATGCAAAAAATATTTGTAGAATTTCATATTTGCAAGTTTTTTAAAAAAAGAAATGTCTGTATACAAAGACAGGTAAGCTATAGGAAAGAAGAGTTCCAAATTTTATGGATAGCATGTTTAAATTTTTTTTTCTTTGTGAAACTATTGTATTTATTTGTATTCTTGGCAATTCTTGCAAAAAATTAATAATATAACAATATCACAAGGCTACTTCTTTGTTTGTGCAGCAATGGTTTTTTCTGTAATAATCAAATAAAACTGAATAGTTGATTCCTTTAAAGTGCGGTCCAAAAAGTTACTTTTTGCAAGGAGAAAGCATAAACAAAGCAGAATAGCAGGGGTCTACAAATACATTTGTAGAGCACTAATGAATTTCTAATTAATTGCATATTTTTGAAAAAAAAATGGATCCAACTTATTTAGTCTTTGAAAAAAATATTCCGGTTATACTTTCCTGAGTAGATTTATCTTATTGTATTACACCTCTGTCCACTTTCTCTAACCCCACTGTATGACTCCATCCTTCAGAACCGCTTGACCACTGGCCACCAGTTCTAGGGCTCGTGGGAAGGCTTTATGCTCCACCCTCTTTACTCTCTCAGCCAATGAGGTGACAGTATCCCTGGGATACACCGGAACTGACTCCTGGACAACAATGGCCCCGGCATCAACTTCCTCCTGGAGCAAAGTAAGCAGGGGTGATCACTTAGAAGAAATTAGAGTCATTATAAGGTGATCAATCTATTGAAAAACAGTACTGACCTCTACAAAGTGGACCGTACACCCAGAAATCCTGACCCCCGAGGCCAGGACTTGTTCATGTGCATTATGACCTTTGAAGGAAGGCAGCAGTGAGGGATGAACGTTTAACAAGTGTCCCCTCCATTTCTTCACAAACTCTCCTGTACAACAAAGATTTTCCTCAGTCATTCATTAAATGTAACATGTATGGCATCTTATACTAACTTTTTACTAAAAATTACCCTACATTTCAAAATATTAATGTAGGTGTTAAATCTTGGTGTGTAATGGATTGAACAAGTATCAAAAATAACAGATTTAACAGTTACAAAAGAATATTCCATTTTTTTCATACTCAAACCCTTATAAATTACTCCAAAACAATATGTACAGTAACATTGTACACCCTGTTTTATATGTTAGAGAATTCTCTGCTGGATTACTATTTGTTTCTATCGCTACACAAAATTTAGGATACCAAAATTATTATAGAGATTTATCTTATTCTTAAATTGCCTCATATCATGAATCACTCCAAACAATATGTACAGTAACATTATACATCCTGTTATATATGTAAGAGAAGTTTCTATTGGATTAGTTTTTTGGTAGTATGGCTACAGACCTGACAAAATTCTCATGAAGCCGGCCAGACAAACAATATCCACTGAGGCCTCTCTCAGAACTCTGTCTACCTCCAAATCAAACTCTACACGACTCCCAAACTCCTTGTGGTTAATCACCTGTCAACAAAACGACCAATCAACATCACTCTTATGAAGTTATATACAGCTACACTTCAACAGATTAATGTGAAATGCACCAAGCTTAAAAGTGAGACTTGACCCTGAGTTCAGTGTCTTTAGCATTATAGTAAAATGGAAGAAAAATCAATGACTTCTAAGCTAATGTCTAGAATTCAATATCTCCATCTAAGACCAAATCTATCATAAGATTTATTTTTAGGCCTGACCTTAGTTGTGATCCCTGCCTTTTGAGGACTGATCTTAGTTGTGATCCCTGCCTTTTGAGGACTGATCTTAGTTGTGATCCCTGCCTTTTGAGGACTGACCTTAGTTGTGATCCCTGCCTTTTGAGGACTGACCTTAGTTGTGATCCCTGCCTTTTGATTACTGACCTTATTTGTGATCCCTGCCTTTTGAGGACTGACCTTAGTTGTGATCCCTGCCTTTTGAGGACTGACCTTAGTTGTGATCCCTGCCTTTTGAGGACTGACCTTAGTTGTGATCCCTGCCTTTTGAGGACTGACCTTAGTTGTGATCCCTGCCTTTTTAGGACTGACCTTAGATATAATCCCTGCCTTTTGAGGACCAACTGACCTTAGTTGTGATCCCTGCTTTTTGAGGACCAACCTTAGTTGTGATCCCTGCCTTTTGAGGACCAACCTTAGTTGTGATCCCTGCCTTTTAAGGATTGACCTTAGTTGTGATCCCTGCCGTTTGAGGATCAAAATTAGTTGTGATCCTTGCCTTTTGAGGACTGATCTTAGTTGTGATCCCTGCCTTTTGAGGACTGACCTTAGTTGTGATCCCTGCTTTTTAAGGATCAACCTTAGTTGGGATCCCTGCCTTTTGCGGAATGACTTTAGTTGTGATCCCTGCTTTTTGAGGACCAACCTTAGTTGTGATCCCTGCCTTTAGTAGACTGACCTTAGTTGTGATCCCTGCCTTTTGATTACTGACCTTATTTGTGATCCCTGCCTTTTGAGGACTGACCTTAGTTGTGATCCCTGCCTTTTGAGGACTGACCTTAGTTGTGATCCCTGCCTTTTGAGAACTGACCTTAGTTGTGATCCCTGCCTTTTGAGGACTGACCTTAGTTGTGATCCCTGCCTTTTGAGGACTGACCTTAGTTGTGATCCCTGCCTTTTGAGGACTGACCTTAGTTGTGATCCCTGCCTTTAGAGGACTGACCTTAGTTGTGATCCCTGCCTTTTGAGGACTGACCTTAGTTGTGATCCCTGCCTTTAGATTACTGACCTTAGTTGTGATCCCTGCCTTTTGAGGACTGACCTTAGTTGTGATCCCTGCTTTTTGAGGATCAACCTTAGTTGTGATCCCTGCATTTTGAGGACCAACCTTAGTTGTGATCCCTACCTTTAGTAGACTGACCTTAGTTGTGATCCCTACCTTTTGATTACTGACCTTAGTTGTGATCCCTGCCTTTTGAGGACTGACCTTAGTTGTGATTCCAGCCTTGTGAGGACTGACCTTATTTGTGATCCCTGTCTTTTGAGGACTGACCTAAGTTGTGATCTTGTCTTTTGAGGACTGACCTTAGTTGTGATTCCTGCCTTTTGAGGACTGACCTTAGTTGTGATTCCTGCCTTTAGAGGACTGGCCTTAGTTGTGATCCCTGCCTTTTGAGGACTGACCTTAGTTGTGATCCCTGCCTTTTGAGGACTGACCTTAGTTGTGATCCCTGCCTTTTGAGGACTGACCTTAGTTTTGATCCCTGCCTTTTGAGGACTGACCTTAGTTTTGATCCCTGTCTTTTGAGGACCAACCTTAGTTGTGATCCCTGCATTTAGTGGACTGACCTTAGTTGTGATCCCTGCATTTAGTGGACTGACCTTAGATGTGATCCCTGCCTTTTGAGGACCAACCTTAGTTGTGATCCCTGCCTTTAGAGGACTGACCTTAGTTGTGATTCCTGCCTTTTGAGGACTGACCTTAGTTGTGATCCCTGCCTTTTAAGGACTGACCTTAGTTGTGATCCCTGCCTTCTGAGCACGCTCCAGTCCCTGTACCCCTGCCTTATTTGAGATGACAAGGACAATTTCAGAAGAGCTGTTATTTTCTCCTCTAGTGCTGTCTATCAAAGCCTGAAGATTGGTTCCTGAAACAATAAAAATATCTTCAGAGTCTTTTTATGCACTCGGATTGCTATATTGAGGGCATATATTGTTTTGTCATGTTTGTCTGTTTGTTGTCAACTTTAACCTTTGGCATAACTTTTGAACTGTGAGAGATCAAGACTTCATATTTAGTATACATACTCCACTAATTTAGTTCTTTCAACTGACACCAAGGTCAGTGACCTTGTGACCTTGACTCAGACTTAAGTGCTAAAAATAGCTTTTTGAAACTGTTGCCGCCGAGCGCATAGTGTTTCACAAACACATCTTTTCTTTTGGTCTTACTTTTCAGTTCTTTTGTAAAGCTTGGCCTGGACATAAAATTAGCATTAAAAAATTAAAGCTCTGATGCTATTAAATGTAAAAATTGTAAACTGATGATGATATACAAGACAAACTGTGACCAGGAAAGTTTGAGCTTCTGGTTCAGCTGAACTCTTTTCAAGGAAATCTAAAGTACAAACCTGATCCAGAAATAAGAACTCCAACTTTCTTTTTCTTAGAGACACAAGGGACCTTCCATGACTCGGTCAATGCTTTTTGTAGATTCTTGATTTCAACACTCTCTCCCCCTGTGAAATGTAAAATTGCACTAAATATTGTTCATCAACAAAGAAACCAAACTGAATTAAAATTTTCAAATTTAAATTTGTACACAAAGATGATTCAATTATGAGTAAAGAGGTCTCAGGAAGAAATCACACATTGTAGCTAGTTTACCAGCTTCTATACCACATAAAAAAACATTCTTGGCTTAATTTACACAAAGTCTGTGTTTCTTTTTTTTCCTTTTAACGGCCTGCTCTAAGTTTTAAATAATCAGCAGGTTTTTATGTACATTAAGTAAAACCCTTTTTGTACATTACCTTGCTTGTCCTGAAGTTTTCCTATGACCGAGGCCTTCAGCCCTGAGGTCAGTAAATGTTGTAGTACAAACTCTGTCTGGGATCTGTCAATCACTAGAACCCCACCCACTCCACAGTTAAATGTCCGAGCCATCTCACTGGCCGTAATGTTGCCCTGTCAATCAACAAACACACAAATAGATATACAAATGTACTTATATTAAGGAACAGCAAATTTTCCCCAAAATAACTTTTGTTTTTTAATCATAATCTTTCCTCATTTTCCAAGGAATATGTAGCCATGTACATTGGAACTTTTGTATGATTTTTCATTGATAATCATCCACACTCTCATTAATATAAAGAGATTCAGTCTTTAATTACAAAAAAGAATTAATCAGTTCAAACAGAAAGGTTCATAAAAGGGCTTCTTTGACCTCAAATGTCTTATTTATGTGTTAGATTTAACACCCCTTTTAGAGGACTGTAAATCATGGTATTTTACCTTGTGAGCCAGCCAACCAAAGACTGCAGGCATCACCCACAGGCTGGCATCAATCTGAGCCTTCAAATGTCCCGGTAAAACGCGGGGGAGATTCTCCAGTAAACCTCCTCCTGTGATGTGACAAAAAGCTTTCACATGACCCTGATTCATCAAGGGAAGTAATTCTGTGACATAAATCTTTGTGGGTACCAAAAGCTCCTCTCCTAAAAAAAGAATACCAGGTATATGAATATCAAAAAATAACTTGTGCACAAAACTATACATACATGTATAAATCATACAATAATGAACAAGAATCTATAAACTCATTTCCTCTAAATTTAATAATCTTAAAGCACTATGATTGAAAGTTTTTTTTTCTGTGACCTACCCAGGGTTTTCCCTTTACTGAGGGGGGAGGGAGCATCATATCTCAACCCAAACATTTCCACCACCTTCCTCACCAGACTGAACCCGTTACTATGGAGACCACTGGAAGCCAAACCAATCAGAACATCCCCCTCCAGCATCTGTTGCATCCTGGGTAGAATTTGTCCACGTTCCACAGCTCCGACAGCAAACCCAGCCAGATCGTACTCCCCTCCCTGATACATTCCTGGCATCTCAGCTGTCTCTCCCCCTACGCAGGTAAAAACAATGCTGAGGGACTTTGTACAGGGAACATTTTTATTCTCAGCCTTGTGTAAAGAGTTGCACATAAAGAAGTACAGATAATTTCTAAGTCGTTAATATAGAAGTTACTCGAAAAAATAATTCAAGAAATTTTGACATTGAAAAGATTATTTTCAATATATATGTATGTTATGTTATTGAGAATATGCTATACCAAAAAGTCAAATTTTAAACATGATGTTTTGACTCATTAAGAGCTAAATATCTTTTTGATGTGAAATATAATGACATAAACGTTTCCTGGTGTACTAGATTTACTTTGAGTGGAGACAACATTAAATACAATTATTATCTTACCCACAAGGGCACACCTGGCCTGTCTACATTATAATCTTACCCACAAGGGCACACCTGGCCTGTCTACATTATAATCTTACCCACAAGGGCACACCTGGCTTGTCTACAGCCTGTGGCTATCCCTGTGATAATTTCCCTGGCTGTGTCTACATTCAGGTGACCTGTGGCAAAATAGTCCAGGAAAAACAGAGGCTCCGCCCCCTGTACCAGGATGTCATTTACACACATGGCCACCAAGTCCTGACCAATGGTCGAATGGTCACCCACTTCCTGAGCTATCTATGAATAGAATACAGAAAAACTGTATTTCGATCTTGAAAACATGTATTCTTCAAAAGCAATAATAAATAACAGACCTGATTATGGACCTTAGTTTGTACTGCTTGCCTAAGGACTGTGGCAGTTTTGTGGAACAATCTGTACCAAAAATATAATTCTTAAGTAAATGCTACCATTCAATCATCCAGAAATTAAATATAGCTTCAAATGTGATGAATAAATCCCCCATCAAACCATAACTGACTAAAAACTGACCTTAAGTTTCTTGCCCACTCCATCTGTACCAGACACCAGTATAAACTGACCTTAAGTTTTGTGCCCACTCCATCTGTACCAGACACCAGTATAAACTGACCTTAAGTTTTGTGCCCACTCCATCTGTACCAGACACCAGTATAAACTGACCTTAAGTTTTGTACCCACTCCATCTGTACCAGACACCATTATAAACTGACCTTAAGTTTTGTACCCACTCCATCTGTACCCAACACCAGTATAAACTGACCTTAAGTTTTGTGCCCACTCCATCTGTACCAGACACCAGTATAAACTGACCTTAAGTTTTGTGCCCACTCCATCTGTACCAGACACCAGTATAAACTGACCTTAAGTTTTGTGCCCACTCCATCTGTACCAGACACCAGTATAAACTGACCTTAAGTTTTGTGCCCACTCCATCTGTACCAGACACCAGTATAGGATCAGTAAATCCTGCAGCTTTGATGTCAAACAAAGCACCAAATCCACCCAGACTAGCATCACATCCAGGTCTCATGGTGTCTTTAGCCAATGGCTGAATGGCCTTAACCAGACTGTTACCAGCCTCAATGTTAACTCCGGAATCTTGGTATGAGAGTTGGGGTAACATTGTTTTTTGATGCCTGTAATATTCCATGAATTCAATAGAAATCTAAAGTGTATATAAAGTATAATATCACACATTTTTACAGAAGCAAGCCAAGATTAACATATGTATAAATTTCTCACAAATAAAACTCATAACATTTATTTCAATTTTGTTTTTATATCTTATTTTCTAAATGTTTTGAGAGGGTTCTCTTCTCATGTATGCAATTTCATCTGTAAATTACAGAGAGACAACCAAAAATAAGATTGGAGGATAATTAGAGTCAAGCACTGGACCCTCTCACATTGGCAGTTTAAAAATCTTTCTTAACCCTTTAACTACCAGAGATTTTGCGTTTTTAAAGCAAAATTGACTAAAAACTTTCGAATAGAAATTTCGACATTTTCTAGTCACTTTTACATAAAGCAACCTACATATTTTCTGAAAGGTAAAATTCTAAACTATTCAATTACGTAGAGAAAAATGACGTCGCGGTTGCCATGGCAACGAATAAGACTCATAATTGCCAAAATTTTCGTTTTTCTTCTTTTTTACTTCCCAAAAATACAAACAAATTTACAAATAACACTTCCACAACAGAAGATTTAGTGATACTATTAAAACAAAGCATATCCTCAATTAGTTTAAAGTTATGCTGGTGAATTTTATTTGAAAGAGAGGGTTTGACAATTAGATAATGTCTGCTATACGTAAGCATGGTAAGGCCTTGTGCAATTACAGTTGCATGATTGTAGTGACCAGTTTTGAAATCGTTTTCCCTCTAACAGTTTTTCGTTGATTTCAATAAAAATTAGTACACATGTAGAGAACACTTACATACACAGTTCTTTATTTTAGTACTTTTATTTCAAAAAAAAATTGTTGCCATGGTAACAAAAATCGGAATTTTGAAAAGTGGACATCTTAAAAATTGTTACGATTTCAACAAAACATGAAATTTAAATTCAATACCATGCTGCTCACTGAATTACAAATGAAGTTACAAAAATTGACATTAATAAAACGTTCGTCGAAGGGAGATGAGGAAAAATATTGCTCTAAAGAGTATCTCATTTTTGTCAGATAATAATAATAATTTGATGTTATCAGACTCATACCAGAAAATATTTGGCTTCAAATACCCGGTTCTTTGCTCTTTGGGGAAAAGGTCACATGTATTGAATTGATTTTATTATTGAAAAATTTTAATGTTTCACTCATAAAAAGATGTCTCAATAAACCGACCTTTGACCTTTTCGTGGCACTAACGGCCATTGAGTGATTGAGCAGTAAGGGATCTTTATCATGCCAACGCTTGCCGGGAGCCCGGTTTTAAGGTCTCATCCAAAGGACCCACAGCTTTCACTACAAGTGCCCATCACGTGCCAAAGGAACAATTTACACATGTATATTAACTTAGGTTTGTCGCTGCCGAGATTCGAACTTACGACCTCCTGATCACTGAGCGATAGCTCTACCGTGAGCGGTGCCACGTGTTTAGATGTACATGTGTAATGCCCAGTTGTTTTTGACATCAAATGTCCCCTCTATTTACTAAAGTATTACTATAGAATAAAATAGATTGCCTGCAGATTTCAGCAATTTGAACCTAAGAATTCCCCAAAACCTGTTATGTACTCGAACATACAATATCATCAGTTTATGAACAAGTTTCAAAAGAAGGTCAACGGGCCATCGCAAAGAACTATGCACACTAACTTTTGATTCCATCCTACATTTAACCCCCCCCCCCTGAGTTCAATAAAAATGAGAATTTTACTGCAAACATCCGTTCACTATATATAGTGATTACTAGTTAATTTTTTGTTTTAGTACAGTGTCAAATTGTTAATTGTTCTTAATTACAACTCTTTTTACTTGTGGATATGGATTATCTAGATGATCTTTCATTTTTTTCCTCCAATGGCATATAGGTTTAACTCATATAAAAACAAATATACATTTCTCTGCAAAAATAACCCCCCCCCCCTTGTGAATCGACAAAAGCTTGGGAATGTACTTGTTGAATAACAACTCACTATAGTTGAAAGGGAGATTTTTAAAAAAATATTTTCCGCCGATTTCTGCTGTGAAAACACAGTTTTACCAAAATTGTAGAGCTTCATTAGGCAGAATTTCCCGATACTACTGATTTAACGTTCATAGACTTATTTCTACAGTGTTTTAAAAAACAAACAGGTGACTTTGATTTCCAGTGGCGCATTTTGCTATTTTCGTGCGATCATCTGGTAAAAGTTCTGCATACTCGCTCGGTTTTATTTATTTTTTGTAACAGTATAATTCCTATAAATATAGATACTTGTAATCCCGGCTAATCTCTAAGAGACTATTCAATGAGGGAATTTTTTTTAAAGTTTATCCCAAATTTTCTTATTTATCAAGTAAGATACACTTGTTTTAACTCTGTGAGGACTGACAAAAATTATTTGAATAAATATACATGTGATAGTTCATCAAAATATGTTATAGATATTATGTTATTCAGACTGTGAACTGACCTCCCCCCACCCCCGCCCCCCGTGAAAAAAACTCAAAAAGACAATAACATAGTGTGAAATTAAAAAAAAATGATGGTAGCAAATATAGGCGTACGTATAGCAAAGTGTAAAATTTTTGCATCGTTATTTAATTATAACAACTTAGTTACAGCACTAGCTGCAAATCTGTAGCTCTCCGTAAAAAAAAATATTGATAGACCGGAGAGCAACAGTGCCATCCATCGTAAAAACTGTATATTTATTGCGCACAAAAAAATGCGCTCGGTTCTCGATTTATTTCTCCATTTTTTTAAAGCTGTAATCTCAAAATATTACAAACCGTGTGTTCCTAACATATTCTTTGCCTCTTTCCACAACAAAACATTCCTCATAATTGTTAATAGTCCTGGCCCTGATATTGCAATCATCGAACAATTCGCTTATTTATACTGCCATTTTGGTTTCAAAGATAATTCAGTCCAATATGCTTCGTTCAAATGTCAACTACAAGAGAACTTTTTAGAGGAGAGAGTAAAATTTTGAAATTTTCCATTTTTTTTGCAACTGAGGTAAGAATTTGGAAGAATCAATTCAAAACCAGGCGCAACTTTTTGTGCGCAATAAATATACAGTTTTTTTCAATGGGTGGCACTGTAGCTCTCCGGTCTATCAATATATATTTTTTTTTCGGAGAGCTATCGATCTGCAGCTATTACAGCACATGTACTAATACGAGTGTTCATGACTTTGGAACTTTTTACTGGTCTACAAATGAAATGAAAGGGTGAAGACTACGACCAGTCATTGGACTAGGAACCTTCTTATGATGTAAAACAAATCTGCATGCAAATGTATTAATATATTTATAATAAATACAGAAGCATTAGTTCTAAAAACGCTTTACAGTTCTGTAAAAAAAGTAAATAAACTGTGAAATTTAAGCTGGAATATAATGGGAAAACATTGATTTTAATTATCAGAGGGGGAGCCGAGACAAACGGAAAGACGAGTTTCGTAAAAAGAAAAAAAGCGAGAAAAACGTCAGTCTGACTAAAGCCAGCCCCTACTTTTTCACTTTGTTACGAAGTGAAATAGTTGGGGCTGGCTTTCGTCAGACTGGAAAAACGTCAGATTTTTCGGACCCCTCAGTGACATCTCTCTCTCTCTCTCTGACTGTTTGAAAAGGCATTTTCCCCTATTTCTTTTATTCAAAGTCGCATTAAAATGAATCTCCGACGCTTATAAACCTTACATGGATGTTCAAGCTTTGTTCCCCTCTGTGTACATAATAACTATGGTTAGTATGGTAACAGAAAGGGACATAATTCAACTAAAAATTTCAAGATTTTATTATCGCCTCATTTCCATGTAATTTGAGTAGGTAACAAACATATATTCCCTCATCAACAAGGAAAATTAGACCGCTAGTATTCCCCGTGATTTCAATGTAAATATGGATGCTAAAGTGATACATTTTTTTTATTTGTTACATCATAATAAAAATGGCTAACTGCGATATATAGCCTGTCGCCTTCATAAAAAAACATTTCTCTTTTCAAAGTAAAAAATATTAATACTCGAAAAAAAGCAAACTTAAAATGTTGATTGTATAAAGGAAAGATTAAATTATAAATATGCTTGACTATATTATAAATATTATAGGCGTCGGCACCGGGGGGGGGGGAGGGGGGTTGAAAAAAATAGATGTTATATAGGCATTCATCTTCTTTAGCCAAGGGTTTCTGATACGCCACTCTCTTCATGAACGAAAATTGGGATTAGTTGTACCTTTTTTGTTGGTTTAGCCCCCCTCCCCACTTTCACTTTGCTTTCGATGCCCATGAATATGCTTGTACCGGTAATTTTTTTTTTATTTTAAATGATATGTAAGATGTTAATGATGATATTTAATTATTTGATTAATTTTCTTAAGTACATGTAAAAATGACACAAACCGAAAGGGATTTCTGAAGCGCTGAGCAAAGGACAATATATTACTACATGTGCATAATATCTCTCCCAAAGCTAGGGAAAAATTATTTGTTAATTAAGTTAATTGTTCAGATCATGTTGAACATTAACTCTTCTTTATTAATAAGTCATTTAGAACTAGAACTGTCCAATAGGGACAAATACCCCCGCTGGGTTTTTCAGAGTAGGTGCCAATATTCAGAAATATTTTATGGATTTAGTAAGTGGTATTCACTATTGTCTAATAAAATGCCTTGCCACAGCATGATAAGCCCATCAGATATTGTTGATAATCATAAATTGGTTAGGGTGCAAGAAAATCAAGTAACCTTAATTAACAGATTGACACAGATTTCAATGATCTAATTTCCATTTCTTATCATGTTGAAAATATTGTACATACATCTCTAAGAGACTTACAGTGTAGGGATTAATTAAAACAAATAGTACATCATATAATTCTAAACTGGCTGTGTTAGAGCTTAACAAATATCCATCTGCAGCTTTAAATTGTTTATAAATTGCAATATTATGAAATAATGGAAATGCTAAAGTCTAATAAAAAAAATTCAAAAATTAATTATTCTTTAGACTATAAAATTCAAGTGAGACATGACTGCAATTTGTTGCAAATACCGGGTATATGAAAATTGAAATGTAATTTTTTTTTCAATTAACACATATATATAATTAATTTTAATTATATCATACAATACTAATTCAGTTTTAATCATACACTAAAACATCAATTTGTTTTAATTACATTACACCAATTGAAAGATCTTTATCTGAACTACAGCCATCAAGAACTCTTAATTAACACAAGCAACTATAAGGCCATTTCTTTTGACCCAACTCCCAAGAGGTAAATTAAGATTAGATCTAGAGATGCTCTTGCCAGTTAACCGACAATGAACTCATTAATTTCTCTCTAATTTGACATGCACATTTCTGCTATCAAAAATTCTCCTTGACCAGTGCTTGATAATTATGCCCATGGGACAAACTGAATTCCTCTCAAATCATTAACATTTGTTATAGAATTTGCTGTAAAGTATACGATAAAAAATAAGTTTTTACTTAATTTAGCATTTTTTAATAAGGATACAAATATATTTTTTACATTTTTAAGGATCATTATGAAATTTAAAATTTTAAAGACTTAGTTTTTTTTATAAAAAAAATCACTTAAATTAAAGGTCACAGTGACCTTGAAATAGGTCGTGACACACCGTCTACCCAAGATGCATAAATTGTCAAAGTTTGATGATTGTAAGTCTAATAGTTTTCTAGTTATGACCCAAACAAAATCACAAAATAAAAAAGAAAAACGCCTGTAAAATGCAGAAAAACCATCCAATCATGATGAAAATCCCAGGTGCACACCTTCATATGGTGAATAATAAGTGTATAAATTTTCAGACAAATCCATCCAACACTTTCTGAGAAACGGTCCGGACAAAATCTTGTCTACAGACAGACGGACAGACGGACATGGTGATTCCAATATACCCCCCTAAACTTCGTTTGCGGGGGTATAAAAATTAATTGTTCCAAGTATCAAAAGGATCAGTTCCTTTTACATTGCGTTCATACACAATTCCATTGTACATATGTAAAATGTCACATTTATGACGTCATAGTGCATTTTTTATGATTTACTCTAAAAAGATCCAATTTTCAACAATAAATATCTCCGTAACGAATGCACGCACCTTAAAAAGTTTGTAACAAAAAATATAGGGAAAATATCAAACTTTTGGTTTATGGCATTTTAAAAAATTTTATTGTTTGTTGAAATTTAGTTAAAGGCCACAGAAGATAGCATAAAATCAGTAATTTAAGTGTAATTTTATCAACTTCCTAGTAGGATATGCAATGTTTGGTTCAAGTTTACGATAATTTCTAAGCATCATATAGAAAAATTATGTGTGGCAGAAATGTTCAGTTTCTTCTCTAGTTTACGAATATATCAATTGTTTTGTTGTATCCCAGTTATTAACAAAACGCCAGCAGTTAAATGTTCGTGATGCTGAAAAGGCGTCAAAAGGCGCCTCTGGGCGTTAAAGGGTTAAGCAAAGGCAGATCCAGGGCCACCACTCCACCCGCCTTCTACTGCCCCCCCCCCCCCTTACGGAATTCTTGGATCCGCCACTGTTAAGCATTGCCTGAATATTTTTACCTGTCCAACACCCTGAATCCAATATCAGATCTGTGATACACTCCATCAAACTTGATAAACCCTGCCCACTTCTCAGCTTCTGTACAGGCTGACTGGAGGTCAGAGTTCACGGCCACGACAGCCAGGACACGCCCACCACTGGTCACTATACCCTGCTCCTGCTTGGCCGTCCCTGCATGGAACACCAGAACTCTGGGTCCTAACTTCTCCACCCCATCTATACCTATAATAATGAACAAAGGAATCATTTCTTGTTTTTCTGTTGTGGACATATTTTTCTATGAATGTCAAGGTTTATAACCCATTCTTCAAAATTTTAATATATTCTTTATTGCTTATAAAAACAAACATGCAATTTTTCAAACATTAACAAGAGCTAGATGTTTGTAAAACACTTGTGCCCCTCCCAAAAATGATTGGAAGTCCAAGGGGCATAACTCTGTCCTAGATGGCTATAAAAAGCAGGAGCAGAGCAACCACAAACCTCCAAATCATCAGAAGTAGGATCAGGTGCCATGGAGGAGAGAGCATCCCCACCACCGTTCACACCCGCCTTGTGCTCCTTGTCATAATCAGGAAATAACAGAAAAATCTGTTGTCAAATTCAGTGTATAAATAATGGAAACTGCAGAAAATTGGAATTTAAATAAAACTTGACTTAGATATTTTTTATGATGAATCTCTGCAATGAAAAGGAACAAAAATTGATGGTGGACTGACAGCCGCAAGAGGGGGGGTGGCATAAAATGGAGGATTTACTTTTCAAGCACAGGGAATAAGAATGGGAGTTTCTGTCATAATTATTAATTTGATCAATTTCTGAAATTCCTGTGTTATATACCTGAGATAGGTAACCCTTTCTTGTACATCCCAGGGTATCCCCCACTGGCTAGCACCACCCCCGCTGTATACAGGTCAGAGGTAAACTGTGGGAGGTTGTGGGTGAGTTTTCCCTCCACACAGGCTTGACATATTTCATACAGGTCAGACTCCAGTAGAGGCAGGATAGACTGAAAAATATACAGAAGTCAGAATTATTAAGAAATGATTGAATGGATGAGTGGCATACACTAGTCTGATAGAATCATAAATCCAGAATAGCCAGCTGCATGAAAATATACAAAAATCAAATTCATAATTTAGGAATGTTCTGAATAAAGGCAAAATTTATGGATAAATTGGATGGAATTGAAATACCATAAACCTGGAAATTTTTACGTCGATTTTATTTTGCGAATTCGGGTCAAAATGATGTTGATTAATTTTTACGTTTCAAAATTTTACGAATAACCTCTGTTTTGTTTACATTTTCTTATTGGTAATTTATTTTTCAGAAAAATATTTTTGCGAATGCAATGAACTCGCAAATTTGCTAAAAATTTATCTACAGCAAAAATTTCCAGATTTACGTTATGCAACAGTCAGGTCTGAATTAAACAAAAATTAACTACTCATCTGGACTAGAAACTTCTGATAAAAAAATAATTTTATTCTTTAAATTTTTAGAAGTAATAAATTAAAAGATTACAAATCTAAATTAAATATAAATGAATAATAAAGTGTACCTTCCCTATCAATTTCATTGTCAATAAAAAAGGCTTCCTCTTTCATAATTCTATTTTAACGATGTTCGATCCTGATATTTAAAGTCTTAAACTTTTTTTTGCGTAGTATATTTTTAGTTTCTACATACGTAGCTTAATTAAAATTCAAATAAAAAAATTGGGGTCAATATGCTTCTTTGGCGCTACAGTATATTTCATATGACTTTTTTTGCACTAAAATTTGTGTCTTAATAAAAATTACATCTTCGACGTTTTCCCTCCAATATTTTCATCCATTTAAAACATGAAACAAAATTAACTCTTAGACCAAGTCTATTTAAAAAAAGACACTTTAAAATTGTGACTACAAAAAAGTTTCAAATAGCTTCTTATAATCAATTATTTGACCTTTCTGCACAAACAAAATGTGAATTTTTGGGCATTGAAAATTTAATAAGCTAGAAAATTATCTAAAAGTCTTAAACTTTTTCTGAATTTAAGCAAATAGGTCTTAAGTTATTTTAAATATTTAGAAAAAAACATCATAATTGGGGGTGTATGTAAATTTTCAGATAATACTAAAAAAAAGTGTAAATTTTATGGTAAAATTGGCTTAATTTTTTTCCCAGATTTTCGGAATATATTTACTATATTTGTCACACTTCTGAAGTTGAAAGAATTCATAAGAAATAATTTAATACATATTTCAGCATAACACATTTCACTGCAAAAAAAAAAAACAGCTTTGTGTGCAACCAGCATGGAAAATAGATTCCTTTTGGAATCTAAAATTAACAGTATACTGTTCTAGATCATTTTCTTCTAAAAAAAAATCTTTGCCACAAAATATAGGTCCTAGCTTAATTCTTCTTGAATGGAATTTCATTGAATATAGTTCAATTTGCATTGTAGAATCCAGATTTAATTTTAGAACTTAAAAATGATGCACTAACTGATTTTTTTAAATAAAGGACAGGACCAAAACCGCTCAAAAACTCAGGATCAAACATCCTTAAATTATTTTTTTTATTTATTTATTTAATTTAATAATTCATATTCTTTTATTTTGCCTTGAAACCCAATGATTTCAAATTTCTGGTGCCAGGCCTTATATTGTCAAAACTTGATTTTCATTGAAATCATTTCCATAAACATTTACAATCTTTTTTCATCCTTTAATTCTTTTAGATTCCATTTTATGATTCTAGCAAGAGATCAGGAAAGACTCCCACATAAACAAACACATGTTTGTGCAGACAATTTGGACACCTAAATTTGTGCGGCGGCGAAAATGCTACCTGGCACCTGATTGGTCATTAAAAGAAAAGACTACTTAATATGTATTTGACAAATGAAATAAAGTTGATAAAAATCTCATATCAAGACTAATGGGCATCTTTGAGATATATAGGATCGAGTTATAGGTAAAAATTTAAAGGAAGGACTAGGCACTTTGGTTATAGATTTTCATTTGGTGCTGACACACCTAGTTGTAAACAATTGGAATTTGAAGGTAAAAGTGCCATCACTGTATATTTTTTTCTGGCATGTTTTGTTTTATGAGATCTCGAACTTTCACGAGAAGAAAGCCATTTGCCCAAAATTCAATATATGTATCAGTTACACGGGCTCAAGTTTGTATGGAAGTCTATGGGAAAACATTTGGTGGTGTTTGTCCATCAGTCACTATATGAAATGAAAGTAGATTTAGTGGGTTTTTCGAACAATTTATATATAGCACCTGGAAATTTTCATATCTTAATCTGTAAAAATGGACCCCATTTTCACATCTGCAATGTAAGTTTTAATGTGTATTGTACTTAAAATGTCTGCAATGTCTGTATCATTCAATATAGTACTGTGATGCATTGATTAACTTAATTGTTGTACAATTAGCATATATAATGTGTTTTTCCTTCTAATTTGTTCTTTGTAAAATTATAAGCTGAGAACAAATCATGTACACACTTGTAAAACATATTTTGGATCAACTTTGAAAGTAACAGAAATTTTTGAAAGTTTTGAGTAAAATGTAAACATGGTAAATAAGCTTATATAATCAAGAAAATTAATGTATATTCTCGCCTATAAGTCGGTCCACCTATAAGTCAGTTGTATTTTTTAGGTAAATTTGGAGGGATTTGTCATTGACCCACTTATAAGTTGGTACAACCTTTTGACAGAACCTTTTGACATTTCAATACATTCGATGGTTTTACCTTGTTTCCATTCATATTTTTTTAAATAATGCTAATACCAGGTATTTCATTTTGGATGATGAAACAAACAGTGGAGTATATTCCATGTAGGCTAAAAGGCTGCAGCCTACACATCATTTTCTCAAGGATGACAAAAAATATATAGGGCCTACATATATGCAGGTAGGTTAAGGTTACAACCAAATATTCTACTTGCCTATATGATATGACGTCATAGTAAGCTATATGACGTGAAGTTTAGAGATAACAATTTCTTAAAATCGATATCTAAGATTGATTTGTTTTCGTAAAAATGAATCAAAATATGCATAGGCATAATATAAACGAAAATTTGTCGTTACTGGGCCTCTGTAGTTATCACAGGGGTTAAATACCAAACCCGTGACGTCATAACTGTTGATCATGCAGAAGCAGAGTGAAAGTGAAACGTAACGAAAATTCATGTAAACAAACACTAGAAATCGGATTTTAAAAGCATTTATAAGGAATATCATGTGTGATTCATGTGGGAATAAAGCTTATGAATAAGGTATGGTAATAAAATTCTTGAATTTTTTCGTAAAATTAAAGCAGGGAGGGCGTTTACTTGCCGATCAGCTTTTCCTCTGTCGTTTGTAACAAAAGAGATGCAAAAGTTCAACACTACGCCGCATACCTTGAATCTTAATTTTTGTTTCCATCTAAAGTTCTTATTCTATTGATTTTAAAAAGTGCTGCTAGAATCGTATGGTTGACGGGAATTGATGCATTTTTTTCGATGTTATGATCAAAATTTAAAAATTTTGGGAAGGTTTCGTCCGAAAGTGTTTAATAATTATTTCTGTGATAGGACAGTAGGATTCTAGCAGCACTTTTCATGATACCGAGATGTTTTTACATAACTATTATTACAAATTAAAACTTGTTATCCCCGGGGTAGTGTTGAACTTTTCACTTTTTCATTAAGGCATATTTTCTAATTATAGACATCACGTGGTGACGTCATGGCGAAGTGCTTACTGTAGTATAAGTTCCATTAAAGTCTATAGAATGCATATTTATAGCAAAAGTTTTATCCTTGACTTTTCCGATTTATTAGTGTTAAATAATAATTTTAAAAAAGTGTAAAATCGCCGAATTCTGATCCATGTGTTGCCTTAATATACCCGCGTATAACTCTGAAAGAAAGAGTTATTAATAAAGTTGCTTCAAAATTAGGTCTTGCCTTTTTAATTTTATTTTAATCTTAACATACTTAAGGTTATGAGTTAATTTCATTTAAGTCAAATGGCAAAAATGTATGAATTCTTAGCAAACTGCACTAAATTTGATGGTTTGATTCTGATATGTAAGTAAATTAAGTCATTCAAGGTTTCAAAAATTACTATGAAGTCTATAGCACAATAATTTTTTAAAAAATCAGTTACATAACTTATGAACGACAACAAAACAGAATGAAAGTAAGGAGTTATTTTATATAATATAAAGTATTTCGCAAAAGTCGTATGTTTCAATAATTACTGTATCATCTTTCGTGTACAAACTCGATCTTAAAAACATCTTTCCATATTATTTGCAACTATAGGAACTATTAAAGAAGGTTCAACTGTCCGCTGCTAAACTTAAATTCACCAATTTTTCCAAGAGATGCGACTATTCTCATAACCTTAAGTATGTTAAGATTAAATTTATCATAATCACTGTTTGGAGAAATAACAATTTGGTTGTCTTCAAAATTATGTTAGCACTGAATGGTTTACTAAAATGGCATAATATATACTTGCATATAACATAAAATTCCCTGTTTTTCATCATTAGGAATACAACCCTACAACGAATGTCAGAGTCTCTGTTTATGGGACTGTGTGATAAACTTGGGACCTCACAACTGGTAGCCATGAGGAGACATGTGATGGACATCAGGGATATGGTGAACAATCAAGTGAGTGGTGATAAGGGCAGTATGATAGTGAGTGGAAGTTACAAAGAAGGATTCCGACTGAAAGGATCAGATAGGGACTTTATGTTGTGGACAAATAATCACCGTGTGATCTGGGACTTATCTCAGTCTCAGTATTACAACACACACAGAAAAACACTGATCCTCTGTGACTCTTCTGAAAGTCCACCTGGATTCACTTTGTTATATTTACTGTCACCATGTGTACACACAGCAGTCCAGCGAGCTTGTGTTAGAGTGAATAACAGGTATTATATCTCTAGTTCAGAATACAGAAAGTTTTGGTGTTCTTTTTCTGACTCCACCCCACATGGACCCTGTGCCAGTGGATTTCATGGAACATTTGAATATGATTCTGCCTACTGCTTTGCCTCTGAATTTTGGCCTCCTTCTGCCTTCACATGGATAGACAGATGTCACTCATGGCCCCAGCCTCATGTTGTTGCTGACATAGTAAAAAATGGTTGTCACTTTGTAGCAATGGGACATAAGCTAGGACATCATGAAAACAATGAATGGAGAATTTCTTTCTCTCAAGCAGAACAAAAACTTGTGTGTGCTATGAATCACTGTCAATTCTTAACATATGGCTTGCTTAAATTGTTCTTAACAGAAATAATTAACAATGGACTAAGTAATTATGATAAATTACTGTGTTCCTATCACATGAAGACAGCAGTTTTCTGGGTAATTCAACAGAATACATTACAACAGTGGTGTCCACAAACTCTCCTGGAATGTTTCTGGGTCTGTTTTAAACTCATCCTTAAGTGGGTGTATGAGGGAGTCTGTCCTAACTTTTTCATTCCCCAAAACAACATGTTTCCGAGTAAAGTCCATGGTGCAGCCCAACATCAGCTATTTATAAGACTGTATGGGTTTTATAAGCAAGGTTTAGTATTCCTGTTACACAGTCCCTCCATTAGGTCTTGTATTGTAAATGTCCTTCACAACCCCAACCTCTCCATCTGTACAGATGAACATACTCTGATTTCTGAGGCTGAGTTTGATATGGAGCTATTGTCGGATATAAACAAACATGACACACTTTACACACCAAACCTAGAAACCTGTATGAGATATCTACATACAATAGAACAGATGATGGTCTCACACCTCCTTACACAGTATCAAGTTATGACATTACAGAGACTTACAGCTTCTGTCCTTCAGAACACTACTTTTATGTTATACATGGAAACTTACACACAGGAAAACAAACTGAAGTATAGAGCTGACAAAATCTCCCATCACATGCTGAAATTAGCATCCAAGTTTGGTTGTATTACTGACATGCTGTACATAGCCATGTATTATTACAAGACACTTAGATACATGGAAGCTTTATCTATTATAGAGATGATCAAGGTCAAGTTAGCACAACCATACCTAATGTATGAGTATAATGTTAATACAGTGATGTATACTGAGGCTGTAGAGGGACAGTCCTGGTCTACAAAGATGAGACAGGCTGTAGCAAGGAATATCAGACTTTACAATAGAATCCATTACATCAATGAATTAATACCTGAACAACAGTCTGCTCTACGGAATAAGGAGTCTTTATTACATATCCCACCATTTGTAATATTATACATGCTACAGATTTTTTGCTACAGACATGCAGACACAATGAGGGTACAAACAGCTCTAGATGATCTACAGACCCTTGTTCACAATGATCAGGGACAGCTTATACCTCTATATCTCAGAGACATATCATGGCAGATTCTGGGGATCTGTCAACAGGTGACAGGGAACCTCCAGGCTGCTCTATACTCATACCAACAATCTCTCAGACAAAAACCAGTCCATAAAATACACACAGCTACAGAAATGAGAATACAGGGAACTTGTCACTAAGATAACTAAATTTGTAAAATATAGAAACCAATCAGCCAATCCGATAAAGTTTATAGTAAGAATATGTCTTCTCATTCCACAATATCTTATGAAAGACCATTTCATTGATTCCAAAATCTCATTTTATTTAGGAATAGAGAAGTTATTCCAACTTATGATATGATTAAAAAATTTACCTCTCTCTGATTGGCTGAGATCCAACAATGTTAGAAAAATACTACATTGTATCATATACAGGTAAACTTTGGTATACTGACATCGGATATGTCGACAACCTGGGATATGTTGACGTACATCCCTGGTCCCGGTGTTATTTACTAAACAAAAAAACTCTGATACATCGACCTCTGTAATATCGACTACTCTGCTATCTCGACATAAATTTTCTGCTTTAATTGTATGTCAGCTGGTCGCTTGTCACGCACGGATGACTCTGTGTATCTCGATGTCATCAGAAATGTTGTCATACCTTTCACAACTTTGTTCTGATTTCGTACTGCTTCTGCAGAAACAGTATGTGAAATTTGTTTGTGGAAGAATCCCAAACCCCTCAGCGTTTTTGAGACATCAATTGTTTAATTTTCATTTAATATTGGGTAATATCATTGATAATTCTACTTAATTAGAACTGCGTAAATGTTCAACGGCATCGAAATCCAACAAAACGTTAACATTTTGTAAAAAAGACGCTGATTTACAATGAAAAATATACAGGCACATGGAACTTAATGTAACTTAGAAATTGTGGTAAAAATACAGTCAACAGGAAAAAATTCAACCTACAACATGCACTACTATTGAATCAGCAGTAATATCTATGCATGTGTGAGTAACATCATTGAGTTTGTTTTAATGCACAAATCAATTTAAATTTTGATTGAAAAAAAATTAAATGAAAAATAATGGTGAATGACTATGTAATAAAAATGAAGTGAAATAGTTCCAAGTATTTAAAATCAACTCCGGTTGAAGATGGCAAAATTTCCAGTTTTCTTAATGGTGCCGCTTCTGATATTTTCCTGGCACGTAAAATATCAAAATCATTGAAAAGCCTGGAAAACTTCTGATATTTTGGACTACATATATCCTATCATATAGTGTGTGTTTCCTATCATATAATGTATGTATCTTATCATATTGTGTCTGTATCATATCGTATCATAATGTATCCTATCATATTTAGGGTGTATCCTGTTGTATATTGCATGTACCCTAACATAATGTGTGTGAATCCTATTGTTATTTGTGTGTATCCTATTGGAATGTGTGTTTAACCTATTGTAATGTTTTGTATCCTACGTATCAAGGGTGTATCCTATCATATCGTGCATGTATCCTATTATATTGTTTTTGTATCCTATCGTAATGTGTGTGTATATGTGTGTACATGTCCAGCCATATTTATTGCAGGGCATACAAATAATAAATATGCAGATATTTGCAAACTTTATGACCACTTTCTCATTTAGCCCAAACTTTCCTTATGCTTTTAGCTGGTACTAGTATACAGTTATACTTTAACTCACTTGAGTTTCTGGGTCTCCAAATCGACAGTTAAACTCCAGAACTTTTGGTCCGGCAAATGTTAGCATTACCCCAGCATAAAGAACACCTACAATGTAAATGTTATCATCAAAACAGAACATGGAAACCTTATTTTATGACCTTTCTACTTCTAAAGCATCGCTTATGTATTGGATGATTTAGAAAAATACTAAAGGATTATTTGACATAAATATGGTCTGGGGCCCCTTTTTCTATCATGAATTATACTAAATCTACAATCATTCTGATTATTTTAGACAAGAATGAAGGAAAATGACTCCTTCTGAATAGCATAGTGATGAAGTTTTTTGTTACAAAATTTTCAGTCCATTCTGCTATAATCTGTTCATCAAAAGCACTAAAGATTTTTGTAAGAGATTCTCATAATAAAACTGGGCTACTGACATCTTACCAATAAATGGATAGCCCTCCTTCTTCATCCCATCCACAGCTCTCTGTAATATCTCCTTTCTAATGATCTCCAAATCTTTGTCTGATATCTACACATATAGAATAAAATGTTTATTATTAAGAAATAAGGTATCATTTTTTGAGTTTTATTGAGATGTAAAATGGGTTGGTCACGTGATCAAATCCCATAAAGCCCAAAGGGCTTTATGGAAGATTTGATCATGTGCCAACCCGTTTTACATCTCAATAAAACTCAAAAAATGATACCTTATTACTTATATTTACATTTGTGACTTATTCATACTTTATATTTGCCTGATTGTTACTTTTAACGTGTGAAAAGCGTTTATTTTTCAAACCCAACGGCATGTATGTAATCCACTAAACGCTCGTCGACCCTTTATGACGTCACAGAGAAATTACGTCGAATGTTTATCCAAACGCACATCTACGAGGGTCATTCAAAAAGTTCGTAGACTTTTCTCCTAACTTTTTTATTTAACGTCATATTATATCCAAATTTGATACAAATATTTTAACAACAGATTCAAATAACTTGAGTAAAAAAATTGAAATGTATCTTCATATTTATTAAAATTACCAAGCATTTAGAACAGCAAAAATGGGGTCACGGAGCACCGTCAAAATTGAGTAATTTACTAATTTTCATTTTATAGTATTTACAGCCATACCTCTAATAAATGGAGCTAAAAAGAAATAGAATTTACATGTTTAAATAAAGTATTGCTGTATTTATTAAAATGAAATCAGGTTATGTAATATGTCGCTCCATTTAAAAGATATCAGTTTCTAATCACATACGGACTTGATTTAAAAAAGCAAAAAAACATGAAGTTGGAGGACGTCACGGAGCAGCAAGTAGCAATAAATTGTACTTTACATTCGAAAAACTTCTTCTACAAGCTTAAAAAATCCGTATTAACCAGGATCTGTATGAAAAAAAATCTGTGTATTTGTGTTAAATGGAAAATACAATTTTTGAGTGGTAGCGAGTTCGAATCAGACAATGGATTGTCTGCAAAGAAACGGAATATTGTCGAAAGAGTTAGGAACGTCATTGAACGTGATGTGTGCTTCACTGTTGCAGAACTAATAGAGTTACACGGTAAATTAAAGAATTTGAAAACAATGACATTCTTATACAAGCTATAATTGTACAATTGTTCGCAAACTAGGTGTTAAGTGTTATGGATATGTTTTTTTGAATGGAGAAAACGCTACAAACTGTGTTTGAAATTAAGAAAATTAGTATAATTTTGACAAACTTTCTCAACGTTGTCTTTGACGTTACAGTTTTGGTTAACCGTGCTCCGTGGTAACAAAACATGTTGGTTTAAATTTTGGCTAACACGAGTTCTACTTAATCAAATGGAATGAAACTTCACATTTCGACAAAATAAATGTTTATGTTTACGAAAATGTGTTGATCGATAATCTTGTAATAATTATATGACGATGAAAAGCATTGTCTACGTATTTTTTGAATGACCCTCGTATAACCTCTTGACCCCGTACCTGTATTTACACAGTTATAAAAACGCTTGCCTTCAGTAGTGTTATATAAAGGAAAACATTTGCAAATGTAAATATTAGGCAGTAATAAGACATTTCCAAAAGAAGATCAGTAATTCCAAAGGACTTGGTCCATGTTCCTTAGTTGCATTGAAGTGAAAATTGGCACATTTTATCGACCATTAACAGAACAAAAGTGCACATTCAATTTTAAGCAATGTTAGTTGATAATATTTTGTATATGACCTTCTTGCTTGTTTTAATACTTTCATTTTAAATGCAGTCATTATATAATCATACAACAAATCCTATTGGTTAAAACCTGTCAAAACTGCTTCCTGTTCTATGAAGAGTCATATAATTCATGAAAATATATGTATACATGGATATTATATTGTTTTAGTGTTCTTTTAAATGTTCTGCACAGCATACATAACAATATAGATCTGGTAAACAAAATATGTATTCTATTGTACTTCATATTTGTTTGTCATTTTGACCCTCTGGAATACAAAAAAATTTCCATCCATTTTAAAAATCACGAATTCAGGAAATGGCCCATTAAAAACTTTAACAGTAGCGCCACAGTCCCATTGACCTTCATGGCCTTAAAAGTCACTGGAAGATGAATATTAAAAAATATGAAATTGTGCAATACATATTGCTTCTACTCACCAATGGATAAGGAAAAATGACTCCCCAAATTATTTAATTCAACACACATGTATGATTTACAGCCCCTATTCCCCCTTTTAATTCTACTCACCAGGGGATAAGGACAAATGCCCCAAAATCACCAGGGTTTTCGGAGAAATGGCCCCCAGCAGGCGTGGATCCAGGAATTGAAGTTAGAGGGGGTGCCAAAAGTAGGCAAGGGGTCTGGGGGCCGCCTTGAGGCCCCCAGTGGGTCCAGGGCAAAGCCCTGGTGGGGGCCCAGGGGGCGAAGCCCCCAGAAGCTTCTGGGTTCTAGAGATTTTGTAAGGTAAAAATGAGGTCTACCAAGTAGACATATTTACATTTTCTAGACGAAACTGTGATTTACGCTAACTTTGACAATTTTAGGGGGGGGCGCGCGCCGGGTGCGCCCCCCCTTAAATCTGCCACTGCCCAGTCCTCCTGTTAGTTCTACTCACTACAGGATAAGGACAAATGGCCCACATTCCTTCTGTTAATTCTACTAAGCAGGGGATAAAAACAAATGGCCCCCATTCCTTCTGTTAATTCTACTCACCAACGGATAAGGACAAATGGCCCCCATTCCTTCTGTTAATTCTACTCACCAACGGATAATGACAAATGGCCCACATTCCTTCTGTTAATTTTACTCACCAACGGATAAGGACAAATGGCCCCCATTCCCCCTGTGTTGGGGCCTGTGTCTCCATCATTCAGTTGTTTATGATCCTGTGCGGGGGGCATCATGGATATCGTGGAACCATCACAGAAAGCTAAACACTAAAAAATGTCAGGAAAGGTTACTTGATACACAGTTATTTTTCCTCACAAAATTAATCTTTTTTCAGAGATTAGGAATTGCCATAGGTCTAAATGTAAATAAATTGAAAAACTGTCAATTTTGGTGTATGTGTAAAGTATTCCCTCACCGAGACTTCATCTCCCGTCAGGAGTTCTTCTACAACCACTGTCTCTCCTGCTGAACCAAACACCTTGTTCTTAAAAAATTCAAAAGTAATACTCTGAACATGAACAAGCTACTTTCACTTTACAGAGAATGTTTCCAACCTGGTCAAATAATAAACAAGTAAGCCTACTCACATTTAACATGTCACACACAGCCTGACAGGCCTCGGGTTTAGTTTTGGTGACCACCACCCCCTTCCCTGCGGCCAGTCCACTAGCTTTCACCACTAAGGCAGGGTAGTCAGCTCTAGAAAGAAAAAATACAAAAATACAGCACAACACAAAAATCAGTTTACATACATACATGTATTCCGAGAAAATCCTTAGTAAGTGCAGGTATCTCCAAAATTAAAAATTAAATTTGAAATTAATCAAGAAAAACATGTGACAATTAGACATGTACAGCTGGTAATGCACAAAGTGAAATTGTTTTAAAATGGAAAATCAAATTAATGTGTTAGCCACCTAGTTAATAAAATTAAATGCTTTATAATGATTCATAAGTGAATATAATTTGATTAGCAGCACTGATGTCTTTCTTTAATCTATTAGCTGTTTCATTCACATTAAACAGTTGAAATGTTAGTCAATTTAGAAAATTTGTCCTGGAATATAGCCTTAAAATAACTCAATTCAGAACAAAACAAATTCCTGTAGTCTTGACCTTGTTATTAGTCAAAAGATTATTTCATTGGTTAACAAGTAACCTCCTTAGAATTTCAAATACAAAGTCAGCTTTGACCAGTAACTAAAGTAACAACAACCTGAAGTCAAATAAGTTATATTTTCTTTTTAATAAAATGAAAATAAAGCATTTTCATCATGCATTTGCATTTAAATTGATAATATCAAAATTTACTGTAATGTAAACATGTTTCTTAGTAATAAATTCAGAAAGAAGATACAATTTATATCTTCAGTACACGGCATCAAAGGCTATGAAAGCACATTGCTACACAAAGGCAAAATTAAACAATTTCATGCTTTAATAAAAATCTTAAATCATATAGTATTCAGGCTGAGTTCATACTTAGTTAGAATAGATTCTGAGTCTATTTAGTTGGGGTAAAGAAAATCTCAATGGTTGACAGTTTTTATTATTATACCTCTACTTATTTTTCACTATATAAAAGTAAATCGATATATTTTGCTGATTTACTGAAAATCACCAAGAATAAACTGATTCCCTGCAAAACAGACTGATTCCAGGCAAAGAAGTTAATTTTTTTTGGATGAACTGATAACACCTATTCGGAACACTTAGTATTTTTTTTAAACTTACAACAAACTTAGAAATGTTCTGAATAAACTCATTAATATTCATTAATGAATCGAATCGCGAGTCAACTGGTCCCATATCAATCAATATGAACCAGTTTACTGGCAGCTTTTTCAAATGTCTTGTTTGTATCGGTGTAATAAAACAATTAAAGTATATCATAGAGGGAGTCGGCAAGATTCCAGTTCCCCTTGAGCAAGTCTTACTGGTTGACAGTTTTGGTCTGGTAAATCTTACTGGTTGACAGTTTTGGTACAGTTAATCTTACTGGTTGACAGTTTTGGTACAGTTAATCTTACTGGTTGACAGTTTTGGTACAGTAAATCTTACTGGTTGACAGTTTTGGTACAGTTAATCTTACTGGTTGACAGTTTTGGGACAGTTAATCTTACTGGTTGATGTGCTGACATGCCTCCTTGGCGTCCCTGAAGCTGCAGAACCTGGCTGTGGGGATTCCATGTCTGGACATGAACTGTTTGGAGAAATCCTTACTGGCCTCTATCTGGGCAGCCTTAGCACTGGGGCCAAAACAGGGGATTCCTAACAAAGGGTTATCAGGAAGAATGCTGTATAAACTAGCAAGCAATTACACAAAGCCAGGAAAGAAATGCATTAATTTTATAGGTAACATGCTGAGAGAATGAAACTATGTATGCTGGAAAAAGATGTTTGAGACCAAGAGTAAAATTGATGTGATTCTGAAAGAAATTTAAAGCCATGAGAAATTGCTGGACATGAATCAAAGGCACAATCAGATGAACAGAGGTGGGATACAGTGGGGGATGCCCTTTTATTTATTGGTTACCATGACTATTCAGGTGATCGGCTATCCCAGCAGCCAGGGGGTCTTCTGGTCCAACCACAACTAAAGATACGGACTCCTTCTGACAGAATTCTACCACTGCTGTAAAGTTCTTCACATTCACATCTACAAAATATGGTAAAAATACACTAACTCCATGCTATAAAGTACTAGAACTAATTACTTTGACTTTTTATTTGAAAAAAAAGCAAAATTTTCATCAATGATTTATAAAGTAAGAAAATAAAATTACTCCTTACATAAATGAGACACAAAAACTTTGTCTCAGGGTTTTCAATATAGTCTACATTTTTTTAAAAAATAAAGCCACACCAAGTATATTTATTTTACACCACACCTCAGGGCAATCTTTGACTGTCATATTTACATAACTTGTTCTAAACTTGTTATATACAGAGTGATAACTACGCTTGCTTAAAATTGCTAAATCAACAGAGCACCTTTCCCCTTTACTTACTTAGTACATTGTTTTGTTTTGTGAGGCACCCCTCCCCTATATACTTACCTACATTGTTTGTTTTGGGGCCACCTCCCCTATATACATACCTACATTGTTTGTTTTGGGGCCACCTCCCCTATATACTTACCTACATTGTTTGTTTTGGGGCAGCTCTCTGTTCCAGCATTACCAGGGGACACATAAACATGACGGACATCAGCTGACTGGGCCAGCTTCCATGCCAACGCATGCTCACGCCCTCCTCCTCCTAACACTAAAACTGTTGCCATGACAATCTATCTGGAAAGAAAATGCTAAAATACTTTAAACGTGCATTAATGAAAAATATTAAAACTATAATCCAGAACATTCAGAGTAGAAATTTGTGCGAAAATAAAACCAACACATCACTTTTGTCAGTATGTGCTCAGTGGCGTACAGGTACAAAGTTGAACAATTGGACACCAGTGATACATAAACATTAATTAACAACAGAGCTTGTGCCCTGTTTACAAACACTGTGTGTGTTTCAGTAATGTATTCAATATGTTGAACTCTGCATACACAGCATTGAGCACAGGCTGACATTATAAGGGAATGGATTTGATTTCACACATTTCTACTCTTAATTTTCTGGATAATAGTTTTGATATTTTTCTTTAATACACAATAAAATTGCTACTTTTCATTAGTATTAAGGATAAAGTTAAAAACTGTGAATATGGTACAATGTGTCAATCACACGCATCTAGAATATTTGAAGTTTCAATAACTTCAAGAAATAATAAGATTTTAATAATGTTTTCGTATGAAATGCTATGGAAACATACAAGTTATGGAATTATACAGAAATGAAGACGGGGGAACAAGGCGGTCAGAATGTCTATAGCGTTTGATATTAAAAAATCATATTCAACATGTTCAATATGTGAATTGAGTATTTAAATTAACTTCTCATTATTAAAATTTATGAAATTAGAAAAAAAAAACTTTTCTGAGAGAAAAAAAATTTTGTAAGAAAATTTTCTTTTATAAAATTATGATATTCATTGGATTCGAACCCTAGCAATAAAAATCTGACGTATCCTACAGATTTGAGACTAAGGCGCTACCCACTATTCTACTTGGCTCATGATGAATCATGTAAATTGTTTGTGATATGACCCTTGACTTAATGGACTTAAAGTAATTTTTGGAATTTTACGAATGTTTTGTCATAAAAGTGTACTTTTAAGGTGGAATAACCCTCTGATAAGAGAGATAACTTTTCTGACAAGAGAGATCACTTTCTTCAGACATTTTACCAGGAAATTCAGTGCATTGTCATGTCAGAGTTTACAAATTTCAATCAAATGAACCATTTTATAGTCGACTCAATCAAAAACCTATTCTAATGTACAAATGTTGATTTCTAGTTACTATTGCTAGTATATTTATTAATTATTTATAATAGTTTACTTAAAACAATTATACTCAGTTCCTTTTAACAGTGTACATTTGAGAAATCTGTATCTCTTAAAGTATAATTCTTTTAATTGTACAGAAATTTTAGATGCAGTATTGTTTATAAAAATTTAATAATTATTTTGTTTCATTAAAAAATATTTTCAAAGGCGATAATGGAACGATAACTCTTGTTTATGGATGCGTGTTATTTTATATGCACAGAAAACAATTTGTTCTTCTGATTTAAAAAGCAGTGCTTCAGTATGTTTTCTAATGGGCATTAGATAGGTATGATAGTAAATATTATTTTTATATATACCTCATATTTCTAATTTAATTGTGAGATAAAAAATAATAAATCTTTCTATTTACCATATCAAATTTTCTTCACATCATGATTTGACATATTATATTTTACGCTTCATTTCAAACTATTTTCCATTTGAATTTAATGCTATAGTTGTTGCTGAAAATCAATGTCTGGATTTTTAAAAAAAAAGTCTTGAAATTTGGAGCAGAGGGATATTTCCCCTGAAGGTATAGTGGGTCTTCGCTTCATGTTTTTTGTAAACCAAAATTTTATTGCAAACTTTTAGCAGGGCTTGACATTAACTTTTTTTCCTACTTGTCCATTTGAACAAGTGACCAAGATATTTACTTGTCCAAACTTCAAATTCAGTTGTCCAAAAATTTTTCAATGAATATCTTATTCTGTGAACTTGTAAACAATTACTTGAATTAAAAAATTAAACATGCTTGATTTATTAGTGTTGTTATTGATAAATAAGACAAACACATATAAAATAAAATTTCATCTACATTGCCTGTCCTGACAACAACAAAAATGTTCGCAAGTGAATCTGTAATATCAATCAAATGTATTCCAAACCCGCAAACATTGTAAGATCCATGCCATGTAATAGTATGGCTGCAATTAGTGAATATCAAATCCAACCAAGTGTGAACTCACATAGCGATTGATATCGGGATCGAAATTTGGGTATATGTTCTCCTACCATTTTATTCGATAAACTTAATTCAATAGTTGTTTTTTACTTGAAGACTTCTTCACATAAAAAATCTCTTGTCCAATCGGACAAGTGCCCAGCAATATTTACTTGTCCGTATCTTTTTTTCATTGGTACCGAACAAGCGGACAAGCGTAAATGTCAAGTCCTGTTTAGGATTAATTTATCTTTCAAAAAAATGGAGCGAAGACCCACTCATATTGAAAAATGTTGTTACAGTATGAAAAAATGATCGTTTTGTGTGTATGCTTTTTCATAGGCAAATATTTTTAGTCTTTGTGAGATTGTTGTAAATTGTAGAGATTTTACATCAAGTATACTTTAATATTAGATAAAATATCAAATAAATTTGGATATAATTGAGATTAAATTTTCCACTTCTTATTGTCGCACTATTGGCACTTTCGTCCGCCTTATTCCCCCATCTTCTTTTACAAAATATTAACATCAAATCTTTAAACATTTTTACTGTTTACAGCGCAAATTCTGTAAATTAAACAAAAATATTGAGAAAATCGTGCAATAACAATAGAACAAATATAAATTACATACAAATTATTACACACCAAAGTTGACAAAACGTTGAAACTAAATTACAAAATCTGTCTTTCCACGAGAAAACAAACCGGAATTTTTTGCAGGAAACATAACAGTGAAACCAATTGCGAAAAACATTGTTTTTCCGAAATTAATGATTAGCGTCTCTTTAGTGTTAAAACAAAAATTATTGCTAATCTAAACATATAGCCTGTTACAAAAAATATTAGGCCTACTGCTGTTCACATGTTTTAGATAATTTTTTGTAGCGTACATCCGAACTTTCGGTCGATATATATAGATTTTCAATTGAACTAAAGACAGCGAACTACATAATAAGCAGAGTTCGATCGGTTTTCTGGACACGTGGTCCTACAGCTGTCGCCCTCCTTTCTGACAAGATGGTGGTCTGGAAATTCATCCTTGTTTTGAACGCTGTCTTTATGCCAGGAAAGGTGTCTGCTCAAAGTATTTCAGAAAGTAAGATTTTTTTTAATTTTATTTTTTATACAGAGTTTTCACGTTTAATTATATTCAGTCATACTCAGTATTTTTTTTTTTGTAGAAATGATATACTTGCGCAATTAAAGACTGCATGGGAAATCAGTATCAGTGGTATGCTTATATTTTGTTGTCCTTCAGTTATAGATAACTATGAGTACCTAGACTACATGAAAGTTATTATGGGAGGGAAGTTCCTGAAAGGCATAAACGACCCAGAGTCAGATAGCGGAGAATATCCCATGCAGGAAGCAGACGTAAAACCGTACTACATAGACACACACCCCGTCACCAACGCTCAGTTCTGGTAAAGATGTATAAATATACACATCAAACCGTACTACATATAGACACTCATCCCGTCACCAACGCACAAATCTGGTAAAGAGGAACTCAAGCAGGGCCGTAGGAAGCAACGTATTGTTTTTCTTGGGGGGAGGGGGGGGGGGCAATTAAACAAAAAACTTTATAATTTTGAGGGATACTAATAAGAACTCAAATTTTCTTAATATTGACAATGTCATTAGATGTTACTATTGAGAGGGCACAAGCATATAGGAGCTATGTTTTCTATAGTTTTACGTATCGCCAAAACTATATATCTACACCCCCCATTCCTATGGCCTTGAATAGATATCACTTTATTCAAAATACATGTACTTTAATTTTACCTGACATATTTACATGATCATCAATTTGAAACTAATTAGAAAACAATCACAGCTAGTCTCCGAATTGTGCTCCGAATTTAAACAAATTCTAATGTTGTTTTAATTAAAGCCTTGATAGTATTTACATTCTTAAAAATTAATAAAACAGTTGGATTTTATTTGTAAACCAGACGCTGATCTAGGAATTATTTCTGGGGCATCCATCCCAGTAAAAAACAATCCAATCCCTAAATTTCTTGAAAAGCAATAAAAAAAAAAAAAAACTAAACTTTACATATAATTCATTTCCCAAACGTGAAAAACCTATTTCGGGGGGGGGGGGGGGGCGGTAGTAATCATTGATTGTAGATACATACCTATGACTTTTCATGCCAATGTCACAGAGATCTACGTTTCTTAGAAGGTGTCCGCTTTTTCAAAGTGGGGGGGGGGGGAGGGGTTCAAGGTAAAATTTACTTGTGTTTGCTTGTGTTAATGTGTATATTTAATAACTCTGCAAAATTCGGATAGGGGTGCCCGGATCTTACCGCCCTCTCTAGATCCGTCATGTAAACATGCCCTAGTAAAACCTTTTTAAAAGTTCCAAAGCAACAACTTAAAATTTTACATTCGATGAATATAAACACTTTTTGAATTGTATTTATTTTCAAAGTGGAATTGATAACCTTATTGAACATGTTGAACATAATATAACTGAAAGCATGTTCTTGCTGATGAATTAGATACATACATAAGTTACGTATCATTAACATGCACATGTAACATATTTATTACTAAGTATAAAACATTCAATATATCATATCTTTTGTCTAAAGGAAGTTTAAGGAGGCCAAACCGCGATATGTGACGACGGCAGAACACCACGGGTGGAGCTGGGTCCTCAAGCCCTTCCTGTCCCCCTCCGTCCTCGACCAGGGCCAGGGGGTCCCACAGGGAACCTGGTGGGTCTCCGTGAGGGGTGCGACGTGGAACAAGGTAACAATCAAAGTGGCTTAAATTTACATTTATTTAAAATTCTGTGTTGAATGACTGCAGAAAGTATTTTTCCCAACATGCTGCAATTTATGTACAGAAACAAGGATTTTCTTGGGGGTGGGTGAGTGGGGGTGGGGGTGTTAAATTGAGGATGTATATATACAGTCACAAAACTACTTTTTTTAAAAAGTATATAATTATATGTGTGAAATCCTTCCTCTGATATATTGTAGCCTGAGGGGCTGGGTTCCTCCATCAGAGACCGTCTGGATCACCCCGTGGTTCACGTCAGTATGGAGGACGCTAAGGCCTACTGCACGTGGGTGGGGAAGAGGCTGCCCACGGAGAACGAGTGGGAATTCGCAGCGCGTGGGGGGCTTCACGGTAAGAGGGGAAATATTCTACGTGTACGTCTCCTAAAAGAGAGCATTTTTTTTTATGAATAATTTGCCAGTATATCCAGCATTTTGGTTCAAAAATAAATGAATCATTTCACATTCAACATTGGAAAAGGTGTAGTTTTCAGCGCATTTTATTTTTTTACCTTTAGTGTCAATAACGAGATCTAGCTTATATGTTATGATCAAGTTATATCGCTGTTTTTTTTTTTTTGTTTTTTTTTTACATGTATGTCTACCTAACAGTGTTAATGGTCTCTATTTATTCATACAGCCAAGATTTACCCGTGGGGAGATCGGTATCAGAGGAATCGGACCAACCTGTGGCAGGTAAGTGGAACAAAGGCGTCGGTACCGGGGGGGGTCACTTTCAACGCACACAGGTTGCAGTGTCGTCAAAGGAGGGTAAGTGGTAGGGTTTGAAGGGGAAAAAATGGTACTGAAAAAAGTTTGACCGTAACTCCACCCCCTCCCCCGCTGGAGTAGGATTTTCGTTTTTGTCTGGGGATGAATGTAAAGAAATAAAAAAAAAACAGTATTAATTTCAGTGTAGCTTTTATTTACGAAAACATTACTATTGTTTGCACATGAAATCTGATGACCTTAAGTTTCTTTTTGGCTTGTTGGCTTGTCACGAATATGTAGATCTGTTATAGCCCCCCCCCTTTTTTTTCCTTTTTGCATCCCGTTTTGATGAGTTTAAGTAAGCAACGTCTTTACTCTCCCTGTTGAGAATTCTAGAACTGATCATGCATGTATTTGGATAACTTTTATTGTAAAAGTTGATCACTTATTTTTGAATCCCGGGACTGATCTGATCTTGTTTATTTTTACAGGGAAAATTTCCTAATGGGAACAATAAGGCCGATCAGATCTTGTTTATTTTTACAGGGAAAGTTTCCTAGCGGGAACACCAAGGCAGATCACATCTTGTTTATTTTACAGGGAAAGTTTCTTAATGGGAACACTAAGGCCGATCACATCTTGTTTATTTTTACAGGGAAAGTTTCCTAGCGGGAACACCAAGGCAGATCACATCTTGTTTATTTTTACAGGGAAAGTTTCCTAATGGGAACACTAAGGCCGATCACATCTTGTTTATTTTTACAGGGAAATTTCCTAATGGGAACACTAAGGCCGATCACATCTTGTTTATTTTTACAGGGAAAGTTTCCTAGCGGGAACACTAAGGCAGATCACATCTTGTTTATTTTTACAGGGAAAGTTTCCTAGCGGGAACACTAAGGCAGATCACATCTTGTTTATTTTTACAGGGAAAGTTTCCTAGCGGGAATACTATCACCGGGGAAATAAGTGTCAAACTTTCCGGCAACAATAAAACATAAAAATGCTAACGATGGAGTAGCACTTTATTATAAACATAGGTCGGTAGGGTGAATTCTGGAAATCCAAAAATTGCACCCGAACAATCCGAAGCCTAGGAGTTAACTGATGAACAATGATTCGTATATCATATAAATAATAAAATATAACAATGACAATTAGCACAATTCTAAGCATGAGTGACAGATGGCTTAGATAGAATAACTCATGACATGTTGAGTAAATAGATTAAATAATTAATTTCCAGATTCGGATTTACATAATAATTAGCATAATTAAAGTTTTTCAAGTTGTTTAAAGTAATTACAGTAAATTAAGAGTATATTTCAAAGTCAGCTAAAATGTCACTAAAATTGTTTTCTCAAAAATCACACCGTGATAATTCCCTCTCGCTTCGAAAATAGACGTCCTCGTCTCAGGAATATCCAAAAACTGAAATGTGGAGCACTGTGTTGTTGGTTTCAGTAAAAAGAATGGTTGGCGTGGGAAGCGGTAGGAACTGATGTTGCTAACACGTATGATTGAGTTGCATGATCGGTCTTCGTTCTGCAATTTATCGTAAAAATCATTTATGCTTCTCGAATCCATGCACCGGTTGCTTACGGACTTGGTCTGCGGACAATGTATGTTTTTCATTTGCGTCTCCGCAACAGCAACACTCATCGGACTAGATTTAGTAGCAGTCCGAGAAAAACACACACCTGCAGTAGAATCGCATGTTGTTGCTGACTTGTTGTCAGACGATCCTACAGACGGGTTTCCCAGGTTTGTCTTCAAGCAGGCCCGTCCTGATCCCTTGGCTTGGTCCTTTTTGATCGGTGCGTGATCGATGGACGCCACTGGAAATGATTTCCTTTGGGAGGAACGGTAAGGTGTGATTGCAGAAGAGAAACATACTTGCACATATTGACCATGTTTTCCGCGCACGAAACACTCGAAAGGTGTAGCTGGACACGTAAGAAGGTGGCCATGGAAGAAGGGTTTCCCGCACCTATAGCACCGTGGACTGGATCCTGGTGTCGAGAAAATTCGTGCTGGTCCTGGTGTAATCCAAGGACGCGAAAGACAATGGCGCTGGTTAGATGTTAGGGAGGAGCGGTAAAGTCCTTTTCTCCAGGTTGGCATGGTGTTGTTGAAGATGGGTCGTCTTGGGGGAACTCGCTTAGTTGATGGTACTCAGGATCAAACTGCTACAAAATATATGCAGCAGTCCCGGGTGTTATACCCTTAGGATATCTCCACCAAATTATCACCGGGGAAATAAGTGTCAAACTTTCCGGCAAAACATAAAAATGCTAACGATGGAGTAGCACTTTATTATAAACATAGGTCGGTAGGGTGAATTCTGGAAATCCAAAAATTGCACCCGAACAATCCGAAGCCTAGGAGTTAACTGATGAACAATGATTCGTATATCATATAAATAATAAAATATAACAATGACAATTAGCACAATTCTAAGCATGAGTGACAGATGGCTTAGATAGAATAACTCATGACATGTTGAGTAAATAGATTAAATAATTAATTTCCAGATTCGGATTTACATAATAATTAGCATAATTAAAGTTTTTCAAGTTGTTTAAAGTAATTACAGTAAATTAAGAGTATATTTCAAAGTCAGCTAAAATGTCACTAAAATTGTTTTCTCAAAAATCACACCGTGATAATACCAAGACTGATCACATCTTGTTTATTTTAGAGGGAAAGTTTCCCAGCGGGAACACTAAGGCAGATCACATCTTGTTTATTTTTACAGGGAAAGTTTCCTAGCGGGAACACTAAGGCAGATCACTGGGATGGGACCTCTCCTGTCGATTTCTATCAGGCACAGAACACTTACGGTTGGTAGTAGTATAATTTTATTAATAAACGTCAGTAACTTGAAGGGAAAACACGCAAGAACTGAAAAAATAAACGCAAAGATACTCTAGCTCAACAATTCTTCACATAAACTACCGGTATGAACAAAACTACAGCTTTAGGTTACCCTGATGTACATTATCCTTCTGTGTTTTGGTTTTATTTTATGTGAGCAGTGTTTATGTAATGGTGGACTTTTCTAGGGGTGTACGACATGCTAGGGAATGTTTGGGAGTGGACAGCCACACGGTACTATGACAGAGTAGTGGACAGGAAACTCCAGGAGTTAATGTATGTGGTCAAGGGGGGATCCTTCATAGATAGCCGGGACGGCCATTGTAATCACATTGTAAGGACAGCTCAAAGGTAAGGTCAATGTTATCACATCGTCAGGACAGCTCAAAGGTAAGGTCAATGTTATCACATCGTCAGGACAGCTCAAAGGTAAGGTCAATGTAATCACATTGTCAGGACAGCTCAAAGGTCAATGTAATCACATAGTCAGGACAACTCAAAGGTAAGGTCAATGTAATCGCATCAATAGAACAGGTCAAAGGTAAGGTCAATGTAATCACATAGTCAGGATAGCTCAAAGGTAAGGTCAATGTTATCACATCGTCAGGACAGCTCAAAGGTAAGGTCAATGTAATCACATTGTCAGGACAGCTCAAAGGTCAATGTAATCACATAGTCAGGACAACTCAAAGGTAAGGTAAATGTAATTACATTGTCAGGACAGCTCAAAGATAAGGTTAATGTAATCACATCGTCAGGACAGCTCAAAGGTAAAGTCAATGTAATCACATCACCATGGCAATTCAAATGTAAGGTCAATGCAATCACATCACCAAAACAAAATTTCATAGGTAAGGTCAATGTTTTAACCTGACTATGACAGCTTAAAAAGTAAGGTCAATGTAATCACATCATCAAAACAAAATTTCATAGGTAAGGTCAATGTAATAACCTCACTACGACAGCTCAAAAAGTAAGGTCAATGTAATCACATCACTAGGACAACTCAAAGGTCAGGTCAATGTAATCGCATTTTAAAGACAGCTTATAGGTAAGGTCAATGTAATCACTTTGTCAGGACAACTCAAATGTAAGGTCATTGTAATCACATCACCATGACAGCTCAAAGAGTAAGGTCATTGTAATCACATCAAGAGGACAACAGATTTTTAGGCCACTGTAATTATGTTCCCCAAACGAAGTTGGGGAACATATTGTTTTTACTCTGTTTCTTATTATTATTATTCTTATTATTTTTCTTCCTGGGAAAATTTTGTCCGCGAGTGATCTTGTAAACTACACATCCGACTTAGGTAAAACCTTTTTAGGGTAAGTAGGCATGTTATGTAGATTTGCGGAATCAAGGTCATTTTGCGCGCACGTGCTTGCAAGAGCGCGCACGTGCAAAACTTAAAATGACCAATGTATAATGGATATAACCATAACTTCTCTATTTTGTGACGAAATGTTTTGAAACTTATAATGTAAGGATGTATTAGTAGTATGCACAAGATGATATGGTCAAAATAGCAAGATCTCACGCGCATGCACGTGCGCTTCGCTCTGATTGGCTGGAACTAAAGTCTCAATATCTTATTTGTTTTTTGATAAAATCATTTGAAATTTTGAACATAGTCATATATTAGGGAGATCTACAGCCTGTAATATAAGATTTATCATGAAAGCATGTGCATGCACATGTGCTTGCAAGAGCTTGCACGTGCAACACGAGAAATGTCCAATATAATTGATACAGACGTAACTATTTAAATTATTGATGAAATGCTTTGAAAATCATTTTATAAGTATATGTTAGAAGTATAGACAAAATGACATAGTCAAAAAAGTAAGATCTCATGCGCATGCACGTGCGCTTCGCTCTGATTGGCTGAAACTAAAGTCTCAATATCTTTCTTGTTTCTTGTCATAATTCTTTGAAATTTTGAACATAGACCTACATTATGAAGATCTACAGCATGATATATAAGAATTTTCATGAAAACATGCGCATGCTCGCGTGCTGCAATCTGATTGGCTGAAACTTTAAATGGCTATATCTACTTTGTTTTTTTGACGAAATGCTTTGAAATTTAAAACATTGTCATGCATTAGGATATCCTACAATATGATAAAGAAAAAAATCATGAAATCACGCGCATGCACGTGTGCTGCAATCTGATTGGTTTAAACTTGAAATGGCTATAACTCCCTTGTTTTTCAAACAAACAGGATGGGATTTAGAATATAGATAGATATAATGGACTCCTAGAAGAAAATGTGGTCATCATGCACGTGCACGCACGTGCGTGCATTTGGAACGAGTGAAATGAAAAATACACTTGAAAGAGTGATTTTTCATACTTTTGGACTGAATGCTTTAATATTTAGTATATTAAAATATGTACATAGTGTAGACAAGATGATATGATCATAACGCACATGCATTCACATGCGCACGGGTGCAATGCTAAAATTTGAATATAATTGGTATCCTTCTGAGAAAACGTTGTTAAAGTCAAAATGCACAGAGTTTGTCTTATTTAATGAAGCTGACAGGGAATATGGCACCAAAAAGGAGTTGGGGAGCGTTTGGGGAACATCTGTAACGGTCCCCGTTACAATTAGCACTAGTTACATTGTAAAGACAGCTCAAAGGTTAGGCCATTGCAATAGTATATTTTCAGGACAGTGCCAAGGTTAGACCACTGTTATCCCCTTATCAAGACAGCTCAAAGATAAGACATACAATGCTTTAAATGATGGAGAAAAAAAATTCTGTAACTAAATAAGAGTAAAATTTGTCCCAACAAAAAAGAATGACTTTGATTATTTAATATTTATCAGAATGGGATTACAGCCGGATTACACAGCTCAGAATCTTGGCTTCCGATGTGTCCGCAGTGCCAAGGCCTACTGGGATCTCCACGGTCACAAGAACTTACGGAGACCATACATAGGGGACAACAAACCCGACCCCAGAAGGAGGCGTCCACCCAGGCACCACCGGAAAGACGAACTGTAGGGCCCTCCACACGGGGAAATGTTAACTAGAGAGAGGGCTCGTCAAGACCTACAGTGTAAGAATCTAGTCACAAAAATGTGAACAGTCACGTCACAAGAAATACAAACTGATCAAAAGAACAGCTGAATGAAATGCCAAGGGATTTGTATCAAATTTTAGCTCAATTTTCAAAGAAATCTTTTTAATAAAATATTAATTTCACACAATGTTTCAGCTTTATCATTGATACATATTTTAAATGAATTATGTGAAGTATTTGTTTGACATGAATACATATTGAATTCCAAATACCTATGTTATGTGTAAATCCTTGCAAAACCCATTGGAAAAGAGTTTTACATCAGATATTCCAAACCTTTGTCTTATGAACATTTAAAAATCATGACAAAACAGCAGCGGACATAAAAATATAATTTATTTTCTTAATAATGATAATGAGACATGAAATCCTCTTACAGTGTGTATCACTCAGTTCTTCATGTATACTAAATGCATGGTTCACAAGGCACCAAAATGGCTCCAACACACAGGCTAAGCAGAGAGTCAAACAGCCGTGACACACAGCCTAACCACATAACGGCTGACTCCTACACACAACCAGATAAAAAGCTGTGAGTTTATAGACTACTTCTAGACTAGACACTATTTATGATGGACATACAGGACGGATAGCTACAGATAAACACACAGACAGTCTGATCACTGTTGTACACCTTCAATGTAAAATGTCTTAATCTGCTTCTCACTCAGGATAAAATAAAATCTAAATAATAAATCTCTGTTTACAAATTTCTAAGAGAGTTAAACTCTTGAAAAAAAGGTGTTTATGACAATTAAATATCAATCTCTCCTCCATGCTAAATTATATGCCCCCTTCCTTACAAATGCAAGAAAAAGAACAACAATTTTCCTTTTTTTCTAACCACTAAAGGATCTACATTATAAAGATACTACAATATAAAACCTACTCTAAGTGTAAAATTATTGGACAACATTTAAATTAAACTGTACATGTGTTGTTGGTTTTAAACAGGTGGTTTAAGATAAACTAATGCATAGGTAAAATACTGAATAGTCTATTATTTTAAAAATTGACTTTCCATTAATAAATTGGGGAATATTTGCATGTTAGACTATACTTTACATTAAAAAAAATTAACTTGGTAACCAGAGTCGAAAATATAAAGTAGGACATTGTTTAACCTTTTAATTTCAATAAACCATAACACAAGTATTGTAACATTCTAAGGACATTAATTAATTCCCCTTCATTCTCTTATCTTCTCAACAGGTACTGCACAGTAGAAATTATTTTTCTTTGAAAACGAAACAAAATACTTCACAAAGAAAAATATTGTGCAACGTAAACTACCATGTTTAAGCAATAAGCATTTCACCAGTTTCAAAATATTTCAGTTATTTTGTTAAAGAACTAAAACCAATTTACCAGTGAAAAGATTTCTGAACTTTTTACATATTATATAGAAGAAAAGGACAAACTATACAGCCTAGACTTGTTCCACAATGCTGAATTCTGATTGTACTACAGTCTATAACTGAGGAAAAAAATAAAGTAGCTTCAACTTAGTCAAAATATTTTAGTAAATTATGAAAAATATTCTTGAAAAAAATTGTAGAGTATGGACGGACTATATGATCTGTTGAGACAACCACATAAAAAGAGGAATCATGTAAATTAATACATGTATTACAACTTGCATCTTCATCTAAAATAAATCAGTTATCAACTGAAAATATCTTTAAAAAAATAATTAAAAAGTATAAAGTACATGTATACCATATATCAGACATCCAGTTGAAAATATCAACAATTAAAATCAAATAAATGCATAATTTAAAATAAAATGGAGAAAAAAAATGTACTCATCTATACTATAACAGTAAAAGTAAACTGAAAGTTAAATTAATCAATAAATATAAATAATTTATCACGTTCTTGATCACAATTATAATTTTTAAAAAATAAATAAGTACATGTTTTATTTATTCTACTGCATAAATGTAAAAGGAATGGCACAAACTGCCCATTCAATAACATCACCAGGTGGTGAATAAAGCAATGTTTGGCATGGAATGTATCAAGTCATGTGATATGTTTATGGTTAAAATAGTGGCTTTTGATTGGTCAACACTGATGATAAGTTGATGCAGTATGTCAGGTATCGAACTCCCTGCTGTAAGATTCCTCACTCCCTGTTTCCCCGCGATATAGATCCACCGTGTGAGCGTGCGGCTCGTAGCTTCGACTGAGGTAGTTACTAATCACCAGATTAGAAGATTGCGTATTGCGGTAACCCAGATAGGGATCGATGTAGTGATCCTGCTCGTTGACCCAGCTCGAGTCCACGCTATTCCCGATCCCACTCGTCCCTCCCGTCAAACTGTGGGGGCGGCTGTCAGGACTGAGCCGCGACAACTGGAATAAAATAGAAACATGATGACCAGCCTCTACCACTGAAATAAAATAAAAACGCGAGATCTGGCCAAAAAATAACTTAATCTAGGGTCACTCCCAATCATATACTGAGAAAAGCTGGACATATGTCAGTCCATTAATACACAACTATCATAAAATAATATAATAAAAACTTAACTTATTTAGCAATGTTTTGAACATCAAATATATAAATTTAATCATTTTGCAAATTCATAATTTACACACACACACAAACTCTTGAGTAAACTGGTCCCTGTAAACTTACATGAACATCCCTGTCCTTGCCGGTGAGTTTGTATTCCTTGACGAGTTTATCTAAGCCCTGCTTCTGTTTGGTGATGGAGTCGATACGATCCTGTAATCGGGAATTCTCTTCCTCCAGGAATTTGGTGCGGACCTGTAACATGGAGACCATACGAGTCTTCTCGCGGACGGCCTCCTCCATATCCGACAGCCTGTAAGAGATTTGATTGGCTGAAAAAGGTCACCATAGCAACAGTCAGGAACAGCAGTAAGACATGTCAGTGAAATGAGACGACAAGGATACTAGATGGTTTGCTTTCAGTGAATTTGAAGGAAAGCCTTTTGTTGTTATAAAATATATTTACTTCACCTAAAGCATAAGCATGTATTAAATTATTTTGTTCTCATATTAAACTCAACTATAACAATATTATGCATTGCTAATATGTATGCTCTACAAAGAAGTTAGCAAGGACCAAAGAGAACCTTGGGGCAACAAATATATGTATAGCTATATTCATAAACAAACACAAAAAATGTAATTAATATTTATAAAAAATACAGACATAGCTGTACTTATCATTCAATAAACACCGAAACATTTTAACCCAGACAAAGACAGTATGAAAATTATGTAAATCAGCTGCTACATTTTTCAATGATTATATCCAAATCAGTAATAAAAAAATGTAAACCCAGTAACTTTATCAAGTCGGAAAAGTCATGAAACATGTAAAAATCTGGATTAGCTCTATAAAATTAAGCAATTAAAACATTTAACTACAAGTATTTTATTTTAGATGTTGTTTAATGATTCAGAAGTGAAATTATCTTCATCTAAACACAATGAATGTGTAAAAACATATTATAGGAAAAGACAAGTAAACAGTAAAGCCAAGAGAGAGGAATGAAGTGAGGTCAATGTGTACCAAAAACATTACGATCATACAATGTAATGCCAATGTTGACAATCTATATTTGACATGTGTAAACAAAAGGGGATTTATGGGGAAATTCTTACAAAATTAAGAAGAATAGCAAATTAGAGATTTACAATGGGGATAAAATGTTAACAAATGATGAAATGATAATAACCTCAAATCCTGGTCTAATGCACTTGATACATGTTATATAGAAAAAAAAAATCTCAAAAGCATAAGGATATCCAATCATATCAACTGAATGCTTTCCTACCCCCCCCCCCCCCCTCTTGTTTAGAAGTAGATGGAAATTCATGTTAAAAACTTGTCAAAAATCCTTTTTTTCACGATTTTCAAAGCAACAATACTAACTGAAAGCTCACTAGAAAAATATTTACAATTTCATTCAAGAACACACAATTTTTTTTTAACATACTGTATACAGGGTTATTTTCGCCTTGTGTAATAACTCAGATTAAAGTCTGGTAATAATTAAAACCTACCAAGCTAGGTTTTCACGTTTTTCATGGATTTACTGTCTGGTAATTATTAAGACTTACTGAGTTAGATGTTCCTCTTTTTCTCGATTCACAGTCTGGTAATTATTAAGACTTACTGAATGAGATATTCCCGTTTTTCTCAGTTCACAGTCTGGTAATTATTGACTTACTGAGTGAGATATTCCCGTTTTTCTCGGTTCACAGTCTGGTAATTATTAAGACTTACTGAGTAAGATATTCCCGTTTTTCTCGGTTCACAGTCTGGTAATTATTAAGACTTACTGAATGAGATATTCCCGTTTTTCTCAGTTCACAGTCTGGTAATTATTGACTTACTGAGTGAGATATTCCCGTTTTTCTCAGTTCACAGTCTGGTAATTATTGACTTACTGAGTGAGATATTCCCGTTTTTCTCAGTTCACAGTCTGGTAATTATTGACTTACTGAGTGAGATATTCCCGTTTTTCTCAGTTCACAGTCTGGTAATTATTAAGACTTACTGAGTGAGATATTCACGTTTTTCTCGGTTCACGGTCTGGTAATTATTAAGACTTACTGAGTGAGATATTCACGTTTTTCTCGGTTCACTGTCTGGTAATTCTTCTCCATCTTTTCTTTCCAGTCCATCTCTTTCCTGAGCGTCGAGCGAGTCAGTCTCAGGTCATCGTCGTACTGTCTCAGTTGTTCCTGCATGCGAGTCCGCTCTTTAGAATAAAACTCTCTGTTAAATAAAAATGAAATCGTTATTAATAACAATAATTATAACAAATTTAAACTATGAAAAGAAACACTTTCAAACAATTTTTTTTTAAAATTCTCCTCCTATATGTTTTGTACAGAAAAGTATGTGCCACCATTATACTGGATTAAAAATATTACAACATGTCAATGAAGTAGTTAATATTTTGCTTTTAAATGAGTTTTATTCAAATTAGAAATGATGGTGGAAATTACATAATCTTTTTTCAATATAAATGAACTATGCAATGATTGTAATAAAAAAAAAAAAATCAGCATAGGATTTAAAAAATACGATGGACATAAATTATCTGTAAATAATAGGAACCTTGGTAGAATTCATGATGTTAAGCAAAAAAACAGAGAGATTTGGGCATGAATCAGCTGTGAACACTCTTTCCAGAGATACTGTGTACACACAAGGTGAAGCTTCAAATTGATGAAAAAGAAATTTTAATTTTTTCAAATAAATGAAAAAAAAAACCCATTAAAAAAAGCATTAGTACCAAAAAAATGAAAAACAAAATAATTACATGCAAAACTTACATAATAATATAAAAAAATCCATAAAAATAAAAAAAATGCACTAAAATTAAAATGACTTGAAGATAATTAACACTAAAGAGTTCATCATCTACAAACAGCTAGTTCCTCTTACCGGTACTAATAAAACAATGTGACAAGTTGTAGACGATTATTAAGCTGACTAATTATAACAATTACTATATTACGTGAGAAATTTTCCTTTATCACCTAAATAAGACTGGGAATTTACGAGTCTCACATCAAGATAAATACAATGTACATGTAACTCTATACTTCTGTGTCCCGGTTCTCTAAAATTCAATGCCTCCATCTACATGTATTTTTTTTTTATAATAAACAATTATAATAAAATCCTGCTAAAGATATCTACTTTACTTATGAATAATTAATTAATCTAATTCTACATCGACTTAATACATTATACTTTTTTAAACTTGTGTTAAGTGATATAGCTACAAGAATTATAATACCCGGTACATATATCGTACATATACACATGTAGTACAATTTGTCCGAATCCTGAACTCCCATAGGAACTCTGCTACACATATTCTCCATAATTTATAAGTCATATTGTTTTAAATTAAAAACTACCATAAAAAATGCAGATAAAATAGAGAAGAAACTCCGGCAGAGAGCGAGAGAGAGAAATAAGCGACCAATGAGAGAGCTGCGCTATATTTAGAGTGTCCGACTACAGAGAAGCTGACGTACATAACACACTCCTGTTCTGACCCGCCCGGCCCCACGTTAAATGTCCTGAAATGGCCAAACCAGTCAGTTATAAGGGCCAGGTGTCACATAGTTTTCTATACACATATATATATATTTCAGTAGACATCTTGTTATTCTAATTTTGCTTCATAATCTGATATCATTAATTCTTTAAATTGTCTTGCATAAATATTTTTATGTTTTCTCAATGATAAAATAATTCAATCACTCGGAGTAAAATTTTAGACATTAACAATCAAATGTCAGCCACCACACACATTCTGGATGTTTGACACACATAAACTACTCATTGACTTTGGCCTTACCTAGCTCTCATTAGTTTGACCTTGGTCTTCATTTTGCGGTCCTCGTACTTCCGTTCCTGTATTTCTCGTCGTTCGTTGACTGTCAGAAGTTCATACTGTAGGTCCTTGACCTCTTTCTGTAGCTTGTGAATCTGGTCCAGCAATCCTCGCTTACCAACCTCTGTGTAATGCTTTTGCTGAAAAAAAGGCATCATATATGATGAAATCATATTGCTGTAGCCTAAAGACAAGATAAAACCAAGATTTAACTCTGAGATATCCGCAGATTCAAGATAACATAAGTATAGCTGAGATTGTCACATCACTTTGATATATCCCTGGTAATTAAAATTGCATTCAGATTATGAAGGTATACTGTTTAAAAATCAAGATATTGAAAACCACTAAATACACAATATAGGATTTCAGACAAAATTAGATAAACAGATGTCAATTAATCCTCTAATTACACAATATATCTTCTTCAATAAGTATGATTCTATCCTACTAAGTTCCTTTAATGGTAAAAGATACTTCAACTACAAAACTTATTATTCATTAAACTAAAATCAGTTTCATGATTCACCTGTTAGGGAATGGTACACAGATAAATTTTATAAAAACATGTATATATATGCTTCAGTATTTACATCTATAGGATAAAAACAGCTAGAGTGGGTGTTTTATGTGGTGCAGTCTACTTAGTATGCTATAGAAATTTAAAAACAGTTTATAACACTACCTTCTGGATAAATATGGGAGAATATATAATTATAGGATAATTTAAAGATAATTACTGGATATCTGATAATATACAGATAAATATAAACAAGGAAGATCTTGGTTACTACTTTTATGAAAAATTTATGTCGCCTATAAGTCGGTCCGCCTATAAGTCGGTTGTATTTAATAACCTTAAAAATCAGAGGGACTGACTTCATATAATACCATTCATTTTATAAAGACAAAATAAATTTACTCCCAAAAATCCGACTTATAGGCGAGTATATACGGTAAGCGACAAAAATATATCAATACAAGATGCTAAATAAATCTAAATATTCTAAATGCCTTCTGAGAAATAATGCATCATATATTGATAATCTCGAGATTGAAGATGAAATATGTATCAAACTCTTCAAACACAACATATTATTAGGTAGCTTCCCTTGTATCACTAAAGCTTTAAAAACAAAATGCGCCTCACAACATGCAAAGTTTTAGCCAAATGAATGTAACGTGAACAGCATGCTTGATGTCATGTGATGAAAAGACAATTTCTAGTTATGAAAAGCATCAGAAAGAGTAATTAAATTCTGTACCAAAAGCATTGCTGGGGTTCATACTTTATAATTCTACTTATACACCATTTTCTTTTTAAAACATCTTTTCTAGTGCTATTCACAATGATCAAGAGTCTCATTAATCTGTATGTATTTCCAAAGCCTTTGCGTATATAACAATGAGATCCTGCATGCAGCAATACATACATTTACAGATGAAAATTTTACTAAGAATAAAAAGAAATCAAGAGCTTATAACAAAAAAAAAAATTGAAAACAAGAGGTCCACAGGCCACAATGCCCACCTGAATACTTGTCCTGTTGTTCTCAACCAGACCCCCCGCTGTAATACTAATTGTTACCTCACACTACCCCAGGGGCCATGATTTGAACAATTTAGATTCTTTCGCCCCAGGATGTGTCCACATAAGTTTCAGTTTTTCTGGCCCAGTGGTTCTTGAGAACTTCAAATTTTTTCAATGTCCTCACTCTATTTTTTTCTTGATTATCTCCTCTTGGAAGGGGGCTACTTTGTACCAACTTTGGTTAAAATTGGCAATGTAATTTTTTAGAAGAAGCTAAAAATGTGATAAGTTTAAAGACGGATAGACATGGGATGACAGACAATGGATGAACAGAAAAATCACTTAAACTTTCAGTTCAGATGAGGTAAAAACTGACCAGACATTTGATGTATGTTTAAATGAAAAGAGAGAAAAGAAAGAAAAAATTGAAATCTTAAACTCTTCAACTGTAATGGAAGATAACCCAGATACACAAGTCATGCAAAACATCAACTATATCAATTATGTAGCTTTATATTCACATACATCTATTTACAATGGACATCTACTGGGTCATATATTGTTTTAAGAAAATAAGCCAGTGAGTAGTTTTTCTTTTGAAGCATTATAACAAGAGTTTTGCTATAGGTATACATGCAACTAAATTTGAAGTTAGATCAACATTAATAGGGGGATGTAACATTTTACTCTTGTTCCTTTATTGAAAGTAAGGATAAAATAATGAGAATACAGATGATAGGCAGATAGCCACATCTTGTCTTGGTGAACTTTGTATTCAATGACATTAGATGTAGATGACTATAAGCTGTCATAAAAAGAACCATTCACAAGTCTAACACATCAGTCTCACAGAACAACAGGGGTTAGTGAAAGCAGAGCAGGCTTTGAAGAGAAGTTAAGCTTTCAAATTCATAGCTTCAATCTGCATAAATTATAATATAACATGCTCTTAGCTTTAGAATTTTTTGCTGCCATTTAAGTGCAAGGATTTGAATCAAGATCATAGCTCATTACTTTATATAAAAATGAAGAAATTTAAATCTCCTTTACATAATGAAGATAAAATGACAAATGTGATTCTGTTTGACACTGTGAGACTTGTGCTTGGCTGAGCGCTATTTAGTCAGCTGACTCCTTTATACCTCAACACCGTTCTCCTCCCAGCTCTCCGAGTCCTGAGGCGTGAAAACAGAGAATAAACACTCGCAAGGTACCTCAAACTTACAGGTATCCCTTAGCTATGCTAACCTTTTCATTAATCTATACATGTATGCTCTACTCAAATCTGAACAAATTTCATTCCTAACATTTATGTAATGCACATGAGCATGAAAACATCTCAAATCAATCATTTTCCCACTAAAATCTAAAAATAACCATCTCCCAGCAATACAATTTAACAATTAAACCTAAAATTAACCCCCATAAGACGTACACCCTTCATCCAAAATAAATAAATATATTGTTAATGTGGACGATAATTTTTTTGGCAGAATGAATTTTGCTGTGTATTGTTGGATTTATCCTGTATCATGTAATTGAAATATTATATTTTCTCATTGTCTCTGACATCAAGTGATTACACACTTATGAAAAGCATCTCTACAGTATCATCCATAGCAGATTATATACTACCATGTATAATTTTATTTTTTTTTTAGCTTATTGTATATTTTTGAGTCATGCATAACATATAAAAAGCCAGTTATGTATAAAACAAAGCACTGTCTAGTATTAAGATTATATAAATGTACAAGGATAATTGTCACATGCTTTCAGAACTGATTTTTTTTAATTTGCTCTCCATAACTTAAATTTTTAATATGGATCATACAAAATATATTGGGCTTAAACTTCAAACATTTTGTGTACAGAGTCAGTGAAGCATAACGTACCATATCTAAGGCAGTCTGATTTCTCTCATGCATGTCATCCAGCTTGGTTTCCATGTCGATCATTGTGTGCTGTAACTCACGATTCTGGTCCATGACTTTGGATTCTCGTGACTTCAGTAGTGATACTTGGTGTTTTAATTCTGCTACAGTTTGATCCAGCAATGTTCTACAAAAACAGAAATCACATCAGATAAATCAAAGGAAAAATATCTGAAGGACTGGTCTCCACATCCCACAGTGGGATTTGAGCATGCAACAAAAGGATCAACTCCTAACTTTGCAAGCAGATGCTCAAACCACTGCGCCACACAGGCTACCAATGAGGATGAGGAAAACGTTAATGAAATACATCTATGCTACTGAGATACTTGTCAACAAGAGAACTAAGGGCACGTTGTACACATCTTGTTAGCAGGGGATGTCAAATCCCATTGCCCAACGCCCGGGGCTTGTGAATTTTAGGAGTGGGCAAGTGAAATTTTATCAACCACTTGCCCATGGGCAAGTGACATAAAAAATAAATCAATATGTTAGGCCATATAAAATTGAAATCTTGGTTCTCAGGCCCGCGCGCATCCGTTTTGAGGTAGCCGCATTGCCGATTTTCTTGTATTTTTGATAAAATAAAAAGTTGGTATTGCGGAGACCAATCCGGGAAAAAAAAAATCCGACCTCATTTGTTTCGTAGTTTAGTATTCAAATATCACTTCCGGTAGCCATTTACAATGAGATTTTGGCTACTTCGTTTGAAAATACATTCGAGGACATTACCTACAATGTTTACACGCTGTTAAGCAATGGATAAAGCAGAAATTTTGACCAGAAATGGAAAGTATATCTGTGATTAAAAAAATTATCTTTATGTTAAAAAAAATTCGGAAATTAAAATTAAAAAAAATACCTCCCTCATCTTCTTTATTGCCAATAAAATGAAAAATAAAATGCCGCCCTCCCGCATCTGTTTTGGAGAAAATTGGCCTGAGAACCAAAGAATTAAATTTAGATAGCCTTAGCCATAGATTTAAAGCTGGGTATGGAGGCTTGCATGATCTACTCAGTCTTTTTTTGAAATATTTATAAATACAGTATTATTTAGTTTATGGTAGGGCAAGCAAAAATTCACGTAGGGCAAGTGAATTTTGACCATGTGCTTGCCCGTGGACAAGTGCCTTAAAAATCTATTTGTCAGCCCCTGTGTTAGACTAATAAACTGACAAGTATAACCACTTCTATCATACCTCTAACTTCTACTGTACTTCTAAAATGGACCTTTGGCTATTTATACCTCCATTGTTTCTAAGCTGGAAGCTACTTCCTATTTAATAAACACTTCATCAGATCTGAGTTTCTCATCCTTTATCTCCTTCCAATTGAATAAACAGTTATACATACCTCTGGAGTTTTTCGGCCTCTAACTACTTTCTGTATTATGGACACCAATACTCACCTCTGTAGTTTTTCGGCCTCTAGCTGGTTCCGTAACGTCGCCACCTGCTCCTTTTTGTCCTGTAACTCGTTCTTCAGTTCCTCGGCCTGACTGAGCTGATGCTCTACCGTCTTCAGTTTGAAGGACATACCCTCCAGGTCCTGCTGTAACTTCTCAGCCTGAAAAATCCCCCAAAATGACAGTCTCTGAATCCTTTCAGATTACTTAACTAGATAATAATGAATCATTTCAAACAACAAAAATGTGATTAATAGTTTAAGCACCAGAGCCCCCAGTGTGATATAGTGATTGATATACAAATATAGGTCACATGGATATGAGTAACAGTTTATATAAGCCCCAAAATCTGCACAGTGATATAGTGACTGATATTTATAGGCAATGGTGAAAAGTGTTGTGTTTAGCTCTATAGGAAACATGACCGTTGCTCTGTACATGAAATAGAAAGTGAACCGAATTTACGTAATATCAAAATTAGTTTTTTATCTAAACTTCTGACTGAAAAAAAGCATCAGTCAAAACATGAAAACTCTGTTAATTTAATTAACATATTATTCACTGATCAATGAAAGCAACAAAATACATAACTAATTCTGAAATGAACAAGAGGTACTGTGAGCAACCTAACAATATTATAGTTAAACCTACTGCAATTTTTTTTAAGTGCTCATTTGTAATTTTATAAATGTGACCTTGAACTTACCAAAATGACATTGGTTAACAAAAACATCCAGGTCAAAAGTAACTTTTCAGTGAATATAGACATCCAGTTTTCTCCATTACATAGAGTACATGCCTGACATAAATTTTAAACTTTTCTGCCAGTGACCTTGAACTTGCCACAATGAACTTGGATCAAGGATGCAACATTCTTTTAGTTCACAAATATTTTTAATTTGACATTTCAACCAAAAAATTATACTCTTTCTACCAATGACCCTGAACTTGCAGGAATGTCCTTGGGTCAAATTCATGACAAACTTTAACTTTTTACATGACCTTAATTCAGCTTTATCAAAATACCATCATGATGATAAAAGATCACAGTGCATCTTAAGGTCATAAATAATCAGTCTTCGTATGAAATATGGACTTCTTTTTTTTTTTTACAAAAAAAGTTGTAGACTAGACAAGAGTTTTTTTCCCTTCTGGTGACCTTGAACTTGTAAGTCTCTTTACCAAGTATGAGCATCAGCATCCAGTAACTCTTAATTACAAAGTTAAAGTCTGAACTACCCCCCACCCCCAAAACCTTTTTGTTTTTGCGTGGGTACAATAAAAGGATTATCGTTTAAAAATGTATGAAAGCTGCAAATCATAATGATAAAATATGCTCTGTAAACAAAAGCAAATAGTTATTCTCAAACATAGTATTTATATAAAGCTTGAAAAATCTAAAAGAAACATAAAACAGATTTAAACTATATGCCCCTGCTGACTGGACTCTCAAGTGGACGCCATCAACAAATCCTGTGTTTATGTTTACTGACACGTTAATGTAATTCAAAGAAAATGCTTTCGTTTTTGTATAATAACCAAACAACTTTCAATGTTATTCCTGCATCAAATCTGAAGTTTGAATGTTATGTCTAAAGGTTTTCTATGTGATCAGTGAATTCCTTGCAATAATGGGAATCTATTGTCTACTTTCTCTAAACAATCCTCTTGTTACAACATTGGGACCAGTAGTGTCGTACTAAGCAGAATCAGAGAACTACAAAGGTGGGGGATCTATTGTCTACATGCCCCTCTAGTCTAGTTACACTGGAGGACCAGTAGTGTCATACTAAGCAGAGTTAAAAAAGGGAACTATAGAGAACTCTTCTAGACACAGAGTTAGAGCAGGAAACTAGAGAACCACGTCTATAAGTCAATCAGTGCCTACTTACTTTAACCACAAAAGGCTTAGCTTTCGTTTCCTTTAAATAAATATAAGGCATGTCACCATGGTTACAGAAGAAGAAAAAAGATGCATTAAAAATTGATATTTATCTATTCCTGGAGTAAAATAAAATAGTATGTACCATATCTATCCCAAAATGATTGATTAAAAAGTGTGATAAGAGAGTAGAATTTTTTTTTTTAAACTTTTGTTTTGTATACTGGTAACTTGGGATAAATATGATAAAAACAGATGAATAGTAAGGCTGCAAAAAGATCAATTATTAAATTCTACGTATAATGTTCTATAGATATTTGTCATTGGAGTAAGCTTATAAGATAGATTGATTAGATTCTGATTATAGAGGCAGACAGGTTGATCTGTTAAGAAAGCTGGATCATTATAAAGCTAAATAAGTGCACACTGAGTACAACACCACTGACCCTGAACTGTGAGCTACCGCGGGTCCCGAACATCTACAACACCCAAGGTAAAAAAAAAACAAAAATATATTATGCCATATACTGAACCCAGGTGTTATATACTACCCCACGTCTACCAAGGTATGGACCTAACTAGAAGGCATCAAACGTTCAGAATTTTTTTAAAAAAAGAATTATGTTTTAAATTCAATGTTTTAAAGTTAATGTATATTGTTAAAATAATGGAAAGAAAGTTAACCAAACTAGCAAATAAGATCAGGGCAAGATGCTTAATTCAAACTTAATTTTAGTTGTGTTATATTTTTAATAAAAACTGAAATAATTTAGCTATAAAAGTTGCTAATTATCAGATGATTTTATGCAAGGAGAAGTATTACAGAGAGTAAGTGTTAGACAATGACGTAGAGAGGAGGGATTCTGGGTAATGAGTCGCTGTCCGATTCTACTGACCCTTTTCTCTGCTGTGTCCGCTTTGGACTGTAGCGCTTTGACCGCAACTTCATGGCTGGCTGAAGCCTGGGATAGTGTGGTCTCAGCAAATTTAGTGTTGGAATTCTTCTGTAAACCAATTTAAACAAAATTAAACGAGTTATTAGTTCCCTACATACTAGTAAGGGTGTTAAACTTTGCCATTCACTGTTAAAGTTAACCCTGAACACATTTCCTTATGCTAAATACTTTTATGCCAGATTTGTTTTTTTCTACTCTAGTATCAGCACTAGGGTATATATATCCTTCACATTTGTTTACAAACAGACTTGTCTATTTTGAATGTTCAATTACAATGCCCCCTCTAGTACAATTGACAGCATATGTTTATTATATACGTCACCCTCTCTAGTTCGTCCTCTAAGCTCCTCTTGGCGGCCTCCAGACTGGCGTTTTTCTCCATCAGAGACCTCACCTGGCTCCACACCTGTAAATACAGGTTAGAATATACATAAATAAACACGTAATATATAATCTTTACAAAATTATGAATTATTACTTTATGAAATAATATTTGTCAAAAGCATATAATCTACAAGACTCAAATCTCTCCTTTTGTTTTTGCTTGTTTCTGTACAGAAATATACTAGTATAAATCACTTTTATTATTTGCTTGATTGTAGCTTTTAGTCTGACCAATATTTAACTATATGTGTATAACATATATCCTTGACTCTGATTTTACTTATAAGCAACTTAAAAGGGAGAGGTTAAAGCAGTATTTATTTTTTTCTGTAAAAATAAAGATAAAACATGCATTAGGTGAATATGAATACAGGTAGTGATTACTAAAAATATAATTTTCATATTGACAACTACAACATGAAACATTAAAATGAATGAGTATTAGGTGACAGGTGTGTGAATTCAGAGTAGGACTATACAGAATTATAAGCCAATGGTGAGACAGATATACATGTAACAAAGCAGTCTAACAATAAAAGTACCCAGTAAAGCAAGCCTCAGAAATAATGAGAGATGTAACTTTAGGACTAAGAGATCACAACAGAAAGTTCACTGGAGTCCGGTCTCCCTGGTGCAGCACAGATTTCTGGCTCATTACCAGACACACCAGGAGACAGAACTAATTAACAGAATGATTAATTAACGAAGCAGATACAGAGAACAGACTTACGCGTAAGTTAGGAAATTCCTCCTTCATGTGAAAATGCAAAAATACAGAATGCTTTACATGTGCACAGATACAAGGTCAAGGTCAGAAAATGGTGATGAGAGTGAAGATGATAGTAACAATGATAAACTGCCAGGGTTTTATAATAATGGAGGCAAATTCTACAGCCCCCTGAATTTTTGGAAGGAAATGGACATAATTTGAATGATTTCATTTGAATTCTTTAGTCTAAAGAAAAATACATAATGATCTACTAAAAATCTGGAATCTAAAATTCTACATCCAATAACTATATTTGTATCAATCTTCCCAACATTACACCTTTACCTAAAATCTCTCTTATAAAAACATTACAGGACACCACCCAGTAAATAAAAGAATATTGACCAATAAATCAAAGATCTTACATTACGTTCAGCTCTAGCCTATGTCATGATAGGACAGCAATAAGTAATAAGTTTGCAGTGCAATAGAAATCATTATCTCTACCCTTATATATAAACTTTTCATATAGATTTACAATTTGGAGTTAATTTTTTAAGAAAATTTAATCTAGAAAACTACCGGTAATATATTTTGACTGTCTAAACATGCTGAATGATAATATTTCTGTATATATGTACTATAGTGTACTAGGTATATTTCTGGATTATAAAAAAAAACTAGCAGTATGAAACCAGACAGATTAGCGGTGACCTTGACCTACTTTTGAGATTTCTTTGTCCAGAGCCGCATTCCTGTTCTCCAGGTCTGTGCGGATTTTGATTTCCGTCTGGATTTGTGATTCCAGACGATCAGCCGTTCCTTTGTAACGATTTAAATCCTGAGAGGAACTCTGATATTCCTACAAAGTAAACACCGGAATTTACTCAAAACTATCAAATCAATCATCAAAATATATGTCAGGTACTTCAATCAGCGTTATACTATCTGCTTCAAAAAATCAAATGGCAAGACCAATGACTTTTTTTGACCAAATTTTCATAAAAACCTCTTACTACTTGGACACTTGCACATTAAACTTTCTATTATTCTTTAGGGCATAATGCCACTATATCAAATGAAAGAAATATCTATCCAGAATTACACTAGTTTATACCTGTTCTCTCCCCCTGAGTTGGTTGCGTAACTCCTTGTTGTCTTTACTCATTGTCTCCAGACGTTCCGTCATGGCTTCTGTCTCTTTCTTATGGAACTGTTTTGTCTCGCTCAGCTCAGACTCCAGCCGGGAAATCGTACTGTCGTACTTAGCCTAACAAAAGTATAAAAACACAAGATGTATAAATAAGTTAAAAAGCCGGGAAATCGTACTGTCGTACTTAGCCTAACAGAAGTATAAAAACATAAGATGTATAAATACCGTAATTTCCGGGTTATAGGTCGATACTTTTTTTCTCAGAACCGCTGGGGTCGCCCAATATACGAATTCGACCTTTCTAAGGCTCAAGTTTACGAAAAATGTCCCCAAATCAGTAAAATTTACGTAAATTTCAGAGTAAATTAGTGCCACTTCCGTAACTTTTTTGATTATTTTTCGCAAAAAATTAATGCCTAGGTAAACAATAAAATATTTATTCTATAGCTTTCTTACAAAATAAATTCCATTAAATATCCGTTGATGACAAAGGAAAAAACTGTGCTTCATCAAGTTAATAATTCCTCAACGTGTTATCCATTGCCATCATGCGGTAGCCAGCCATCTTGTGAAGTTAGGAAGTCGCTACCGTTTACTAAAAGTAAAACCGCAACCGTATCAAAATTTAAAATACGGAAAAATTTTCAAGATAGTGTAGTATTAATTTTTTTTTATTGTGATAGTCTTATATTTATTTTAATGTAAGATGAGTGAAATAAATTGTTGCCAGTCAATTCCTAAATTTAATTACCAAACAAACCGCTAGTCATTACTATATATTTTTTTATTTTATTTAATTATAATACCGGTCAAACGAACTTATTTTGAATATACCAGTAGTATCATACGTATTCGGAAGTTAATAATTCATTTCTTATAAACTCTAAAGTATCGGTTAATTAAAAACGTTTTTTTTTTAATTCGCTGAATTTTTTTTTCATATAACTAATTCTTTCCAATAATTTCCCCGTACACAAGAAGTACACTAAATTACCGCTATACAAAGATTGGCTTCTAATGAATTTTAATTGTCTGACAGATAAAAGGATTTACACTGTGTACACGCAAAGGTTTTAACACCTGTGTTGATTTAATACCCGCAGGGCATGATTAGCAAATCCACATGCCGTTATAGGGTATTAGTGTTACACATCATTGAACAAACAAAGCCATGAAATTCATAATGACTGTCAAATTGTGGATGTACCGGTACTCTCAATTTAATTTATAAATTAAACTTACAGCGTGGTAATATTATTTCAATTCTTTATTGTTGCTTTATATATACATTCAATGGTCGTTTGCGGGTTTTTAGCAAATCCCTGAAGAACAAAAATGAAAATGGCGGACATCGAAGCAGTTGTCGTCCACCGGTAAATAACTAACTGAATAAACTATATTAGGAATGTGTCCAAGTTGTTCTGATATCAGAATTATTATTCTTTGATCTCGGATATTTCCTGAATTATAGCTTAAAATAAGAAATGTATTTACCTGTTATTTTTGCCTCTGGTTTAACAACAGTATGAAACTACGGATGCATTGATCAGGCAAGTTGGAGAAAAATAAGTAGTAACACAATTCAAAGAAGTTTTAACTACATTTTTTAAAAAACTTTATTTAAATGCTGTACTCATTAAAACACCTGTTTGTTTTCATGATACGTTCATGTCACGGAATTGCCCCGGTAATTTTAGAGGTTTACTTGTTCTGATACGTTGTATCTGCGTAAGAATCTTTAGAAAACGGGAAACAAAGCCTCGTCCTATATAGTAAGTTCGTCCTATCTTAGGATTTTTTAAAAATTAAGGCTGAAAATGAGCCTTTCGACCTATATACCCCATCGACCTATAACCCGGAAATTACGGTAAGTTAAAAAGCTTGGAAATCGTAGTGTCGTACTTAGCCTGACAGAAGTATAAATACATAAGATGTATAAATGAGTTAAAAAGCCTTTTTTCATCAGCATTTGCAATCCTGCTTCAATATATCTCCATTCACAGTAATGACACATTGATACAATCAATTAAAATTAACAGAAAGGTTCCAATAGATAAAATCATGTTTATAATTACTGGTAGAGGAATACATACAGCATTCCCTATGTTTTATAATTACTGGTAGAGTAATACGTACAGCGTTCCCTATAGTGTCGGCCTCTAACTTCATGATATACGTCTGTTTTTTCTGGAGGTCGTCCTTGAGTTGTCGGACCTGTTTAGTGGCGTCGTCGAGGTCCGCCTCAATCTGGCCTACGTGGCGGTGGTTCATGTATTGATTGTCCGTGTTCCGCTGCCTCTCTCGTTTTATCTGGTCCTCCATGTGGGTGATCTGTTGTAACGACTCCTGAAGCTGTAAGTTACATCAAAGTGCTAGATTATCAAATCAGGCTTACATCATCGCTCAACTGTATACTTTTATCAAGTTCCTATGGTAGTCATAAACATCTTTTACCCCAATACATTCTGTACCAAAATCAATTCATTAAAACAGTAAAGTTTTAACCCTAAACTTAAACTTTTTACTTCAATTCAATATCTTATATGTCCCTGCAATTGACCTTGTGATGAGTGATTTTTCTTCTATAACCACTCTGTCTTTACTTTAAACATTTGATTTATTCCCCCACCTTGGTGGCCAGCTCCCTGTTGTCCAGCTCTAGCTGTTTAGACAGTTCCTCCAGTGACCGTATTCTGTCCACGTGTTTCTGTCTCTCCTCACTGTCATACTTCGTGGACAACTGTAAATGTTCCACCTCACGTCGCGCCTGACTGAGTTCCAGCCTCAGTGCCTCCAGCTCCTTCATGTCCCCCTCTTTCTGCTTCAGTGAATCGCGGAGGATCTTGATTTCTTTCTCTGAGGTGAACTTCTCCTGTGTGACCTTGTCAAGTTGACCCTGAGTCTCGGACAAACGTGTTTTCATGGTTTCTATCTGCTTCTCTAGATTCTATTAAAAATCAAAATGCTTTCTAAGAATATATTATATAGGCCTGTGATACCCCCCATCCAATTATATACATGTGTATTAAGTGTGCTTCAAATATTTTTTATTTTATTTTAAACCCAAAAGACAAGAACATTTTGCAACTAATTAATGTAGTACATGTATTACAAATGAATGCTCACACATTAATCACTGTAAATAAAGAGATCCTACCTCTATTTTTTGAGCCTCTATTCTCTGGTCAGCCCCCTGAACTTCTGGACTCGACTGTAAAACATGCTTCTGTTTTTCTGCTTCGATCCTCTCCTGAATTTCTACATGTGCTGCCCTGGCTTCCTCAAGTTCCTACAGAAAATACAGAGAAGAGAAAGTCAGATTTAAATATTCAAAACAATTGAACTTTCTATCAAATTGAATAATAATGTCAACAGACCTTTAAGTTTGAACCCAAATTAAATCTTGTGCTAGTCCACAGCTTAAAATGTCACTGAACTTTACAGATTACAACGAAATCAAAACAAGGTATTCTAACTTGCAGTTGCACATGCATTAACCGAGTCGTCTTGCCTGATATGGGTTATTTCAACAGCGGTTTCTAAATCTAATGGCATTAATTAGTCAAACCTGACACACAATCAAATCACCCCTGGACCATTAGCCATACATCTCAGGGCTTGATAAGAATGCAAACACTTAAACCAATGAGTGAAGGCCACAAAATGAAGCAAGGGGAGGTAATAATGTTGTGTTTATTTCAGCTCCTTTGATGGTCAGGAATGAGATGTCATGAAGTTACAGTGCTCAGAACTAGTCCATACGTACTGTACAACAGCATAAGGAGCAATAATGATGAAGTTTACATAAGTTAGAACACCCAGTACCAAGATGAAGTTTGTGATCTCATGAGATTCACACACTGATTTCGTCTTCACTGTATCACCTAATGTAGGGGAAGTTAGTGATGAAATGACAACAAAATGAGACAATATACCTTCCCTATCTTAGCAAGAATGTACTGAAAAGAACAAGTACCCCAAAAGTAGTTATCTGCATATTTTTATCAAACATTTATTTAAAATATAAAAGATTTGAATTATCTATTGAAAAGTGTGTGACAAAAACTGCACATTTACCAATATCTACTTCATTTATCAGTTACTATATTTAACTAATTATTGTAAGTATCAATGCAGGAACATAATTAATGGGTCTGTGATAGGCAAGTGGCCAAAAAAAACTTTAAAGGGTTTTTTAAACAAGGCAAGATTAATAGTAACAAAAAACTCATTATAAATATTTCACACTGCCTGATTTGAAATCAGTATTGCATTATTTGTTCCTACTCCAAAAGAAAGGCTAAATTTTGTGTTATATCCTTTGTTTACCTCGCCCTTAAAATCAACAAAGGGGAGCTAACTCCTCTGAAGAAGATATTCAAGGTCACATTATCCTGAAATACTCCAGGTGTAAAACTTCTGCTGACATTATGTACCAACCTCTCCAAGATTCAACTTAAGAGTCTGCACAAGGTCATATGTACAAATTATAGTATTTAAAAAGATATCTAGGTTACCATGAAAACTAATGGACAAGTATAATGTCTTATCACTAAAATGGATTCATGAAATACCAATTGTTCAAAGATGTCAAATTTCTGTTTTCTGGATTTTAATAGCTGAAGGTTCTAATGCTGATGTTTACCTGCTACCTTTATACCTACACACAGCTTGTCCCTTACACTTATCTAGTATGTTCAAACAGATATATTTATAAGCAGACTGACATCCTACAGACAGTGTTTTCCTTTCACATTCCTAGAGGTACCGTACCTGCTCGTGTTTCTCCATGGTAACCTGCAGTTCCTCCTGAGCAGCAAACAGATCGTCCTGCAGACCTCGTACCTGACTCTCCAGAGACTGTACCTGTACAGGTAAACCACAGGTGTTAAAAATGTCAAGGTCAATATCAAGGTCACAATAGGAGAGGATTTCTATTTTTGAGCACAGAAGTTGCAATTTATAATTATTTCAATTATTTAACTTAATGCATTTGATATGCATGTTATTCTTTTTTATTGAAATTATTTAATTTAATTGATTGATTTTTGTGAGAATTAATTTCACTGACATTTAGATTAAACAAAAAAATTATGCTTCTACATTATTTTTGAAAGAAAACATAAATATTGAATTTGTTACAAGATACATACTGTAGATTCCTTATTTTACATTTTCAAGAACTTTTTACATGTATCACAAAATTGATTGCAGTTGATCCAAAGATTTCACATGAATTTCAGTACCATGAAGATAAAAGTCAGAAATTTTCATTCACAAGTGGTACATCTTCCAAAAATTACAAAAAAACTTATTTCTAGATCTTGCATATATTTAGGAATCTACAGTTATGAATGATAATATTTTATTCCAATCTTAAAAAAAAAATAGAAAATAAGATTTTGTACTAAGAACATTCTTAATTTTATATTTCTAAAAAACACAAGACTATAACAAAAGTTGCACAAATGTTAGTTACAAGTCATACATTTTATTAACAAGCACAAAAGTAATGTATTAAAAAAAATACTATGTTTCTCTTATAAAGCAACATAATTATTAACCAAATCTCCCATAGTTTAAAGTAAAGAAAGGTTTAACAAGGAATATAATTCAACAGAGTGGATATTGGAGCTTTCACCTTTTCTTTAATTCTAACTGCTATGTCCTGTTTATAAATATATAAAGCACATTTCATAAAATTCCTTGAACATTGGAGATTTTATTCCAAGACTACAGAGATGAATCATTTTCCCTGCAAAATGTATCAATAATTGACATTCAAAATAAAAAACAACTGAACTGTACCTAAAAAGTAATATGTTGTGCCACCAAACTTTTAATTCTCTATTGCTATAAATTACCTTTAGCTAGCTCGCCCCTTTTCCAGTCCTTACCTTATTTGTGAACTGCCGTTGGATATTCTCGTGATCTGTCCGCTGGTCGTCCAGTATCTGTTCTAGATCTTGGACAGTGGCCTCCAGCTTGGCCCTGATGACCTTCTCTTTGTCCAGACTTTCGTGCGTGTCCTCAAGCTCTAACTTAATGCTCTCAAACTCCTCAATTTCTTGCTCTAGTTCCGAGATCTCACGATTCTTGTCCTCCAACTGGTCCTCAATGTCACATTTCTCAGACACTAATTTTTCTAAATCTTTCACTCTCTGTTCTAAATGAGACACTTCATCTAATTTTTTCTCGTAAGCACTATTAGTTTTTTGCATTTCTTCTAAGAGCACCTCAAGGTCGCGAGCTTTGACCTCGACCTCCGAGCACTGACTTCGTTCGTCGTCCAGCATCTGTTTTGACCGGGACAGTTCTTGGAAGGTTAGCTGTAGTTTCATTTTTAGATCCTCTATCTCATTATTGTGTTCCTCCTGAATGTCTGCTTTTTCTTTTTCATGAACATGTTTTAGATTGTCAGTGTCACTTTTTAACCTACTGATTTCTGCCTCTTGTGCTTCCTGGAAAAGTGAAAGAAAAAAGTAATGACAGTCCCAAATTTAAATAACAATGTTCTTATCTTTACTTGTGTATCATCCTGATTTTCTTTCCAGGCTCTATCCAGCCAATTCTGACTTTATTTCCCATTGGTCAGGTTTTGATATACACTTACAATAGTTTAAGTGACCTTATTTCCCATTGGTCAGATTTTGCTATACACTTACAATAGTTTTTGTGAGATCCTTTTCAGCTTTTTCTTTTTCCTGTAGGCTTTCTTTCAAATCACTAACTTCTTTGGTTAATTTCTGAATCTGGTCTCGCATGTGACCAACAATGATCTAGTGATAGACATATAAAAATCATATAAACAGTCATGTAACAATTTTAAAGTTGCTTCAGTTAGGCTATTATCCCAAGTTGCCTGACTGATCTTAGAGTAGTACAGGTGAAATTTTCCTAGAAATTATCAAGCTTTACTGTAACATATTTACTAATCACTGTTTAACCCAGGGAGCACTTTAAACTGAATAAAATAACACCCCCCCTCTCTGTACCTATTTAACTCAACACAATAACACTCCCTCTGTACCTATTTTACCTAACACAATAACAACCCCCTCTCTGTACCTATTAAACAGAACACAATAACACCTCCCTCTCTGTGTCTATTTCACTGATCACAATAACACCTCCCTCTGTACCTATTTAACAGAACGCAATAACACCCCTCTCTCTACCTGTTGTTTAGACAGCTCTTGCCCATCCATCTGTAACCGCTCCAAATCTCCCTGAAGACTTTCCACTTGATTTAACAAGTCTTTATTTTCCTTTGTTAATTTTTCGGATCGACACGTTAACTCAAACTTCTCTGATCTGAGAGTTTCTAATTCTGAGTTTGTTTTATCGAGTAACGTTAATGTCCGGTTTAACTCGGTTTTCTGCTCCTGTAATTCCTCTTGTGAACACTTTAATGTTTCCAGCTCCGACTTCAGAGTTTGGTTCTCCTCCGTTAACCGAATCTCTTCCTTACTGAGAGCTAACTTTTGATTGGCTAATCTCTCTTTTTCAGTCTGTGCTTCATCAAGCTCACGTTTTATAGTATCGAGTTCATTGGTTAAATCACACTTTTCCTGGCTAAGAATTCGCACCGAGTCCTGTAAGTTCCATACATTTAATTAAATCAAACATATATTTTTTTTTTTGTTAATAAAAAAAACCTTAAAATATGAAAAAAAAAACTTAAAAAACAATTAAACTTGGGCATGCAGTTCTTTTAGTTCTTTGAATAGTATTGCATTTGACTAATTTGATTGTATCTGTAATGAGTTAATTTTTTTTAGCCTTAGCTCATAAAGTTTTGACCTCTTTATTGATTATCTACATCTAATTTGATTGTACCTGCAATGAGTGAGTTTTTTGAGCCTCAGCTCGTAAAGTTTTGACTTCCTTTTCCAAACTTCCCAGCCGTAACTTCATCTCATCCCTGTCTTTCATGACTTCCTCACTGGCAGTCTACAAAAAGGATTAAACATTGAGTTCACTCCAGAACTTTCCTGATACACATGGGTAATTCTAAATATTTACATAAAATGACTACAACCTTAACAAACTCTAATCCTACACATTTCTTAATGAAGTTTGACTTCAGCCTCTTCTAACTGATTCTCAGTCTTTCTAACCTTGGCCTCCTCTAAAAGCTTCTCATCTCAGCCTCCTCTATCTGGTTCTCAGCCTTGTTTACCTGGTTCCCAGCCTTCCTTACCTCAGACTCCTAACTGGTTCTCTGCCTTTCTAACCTTAACTTAACTGGTTCTCAGTCAGTCTTACCTCAGCCTCTTCTAACTGGTTCTCGGCCTCCTCCAGTTCTGATCTCAGACTTTTGTTCTTCATCTGTAACTGCTGAACAGAAATCTGTAACTCCTGTACTTCTTCTGTCAGTGAGGTCACCTAGAATTATAACAGAATATTAAGTAAACTGTAATGGTCTGGTCTTCCTAGCCTCTTCTTTTTAAAAAGCCACATAAAAAAGGGAGATAACCTGTATATCACAGTAGCAAGCATATCAAAACACTTACCCATATGGTAAGAACTCCATTATAAATATTAAAATACATAATATTTACTTTTTCAGTTAAACAACTTTAAATTAAAAAAAAAAAGAAATAAAACAAGAATTATAGTGTATCAAAATTACAGGAAAAAATGTATAAAATGGAATAAAATTGTTTAAATCAACAAAAATTCTTAAAATGTAAATATATGTGTAATAAATTTTAACCTTCAAAAGAATTTTGTTATAAAACTTTTCATCAATTTCAAAAATGTCAAACTAATGATCAAAATTGTAAACAGTAAAGGAATTTAATTACATCTGTCAGGGAACTGGATGTCAAATCATTTTCCTCCTGCATTAAAGTCATTTCATATCAGGTATAAATAATTTCAATTGACAGTAAAAAAAAATTGCCACTACCAAGTAATACTAGTACCCCTACCTAATCTATAAAGTAAAGACTGCCTTTCTTATGAGAGCAGGCACTGGATTTTTGTTTTGTTGCTTTTGATTTAAAAATCACAGACACTAGTTAAACACTTAAAAAAATTATTATCATTATTCTAATTTTTTGTTTAATCTAGAAGAGAAGTTGAACATGTTGAAGAAAATTTTTTTTTCGTTCCGTTATCTCCTTTTGTACTATGTGGTGCGTACCTTAGTTTTGAGCTCCGTATTTTCATTCTGTACCGTCCGGCTCTGTGATTTGATCTGTACAAGCTCACTTTCTATCTTGGTCTTTTCTTGGATGATGTTGCGGATGGCAAGGTCATTTGGTGAGCGGGCGGGGCTCGGGGGACGTCCGCTGAAGACATTGGCAGGGGTAGAGGACCGCGAATCTGTAAACAAGTAAATCAAGGTCAATAAAACGTTCAGACGGAAATCTGTACAATATATATTACTGACAGACAGATTGACAAAGAGGAAGGTAAAGATGTAAAAAAACACTCTCAGAAGGGATACTAGGCGATAAGAAGATATTTTGTACATGCACTGTTTGTCAAACTCTATCTTAAAACAAAGGATCCTCAAAAATCTTTAAACAAAAGAGACACAGTTGTATGATCATTTGACAGGGGATGCTTACTCCTCCATGACACCTGATCCCATCTCTGATGTTTTGAGAGGGGCATGTTTGTTCTGCTCACAATTTGTATTGTTTAATAACCATTATCTTCTCATATATAAGTGTTCATTTTATGTAAAATTTAAAACATTTTAAATACATTGATCATATTGCCCAATTCTAAAAATTAATGGCAAAGGGACATATCAAATTGAATAGATATAAATATATTTAAGAGGTTTTAGGCATAAGTGTGGTTTAGAGTGTAATTCAATAGTTGCCTGGTCCTGACCATGGGAAAAAATGTAAAAAACAAAAATTCTTTACATGCGTTTCAACTTAATATGTTTTTTTTCTGCATTTGTTTTTCTAACTTATAAGATAAAATATGTTATGCAAAATATAATTTTAATGCAAAATTGCACTTTATAATATTCAACTATTTTCGTGATTCAGTCCATGTCACAGGGTTGATGGGAAAACTATAGGAAATAATTGAGAGTAATCTCCAATGGATACAAACAGCCAGATTTACTGACCCTGAGACGTGAGCCTAAAATGTCTACATGGTCAGTGGCTCCCTCTATTAACAGAGGCGATAAGTAGATTTATCATCCCTGTGACATGACCCCGACATGTCTACACGGTCAGTGGCTCCATCCATTGAAAGAGGCGATAGGTTGAGTCAATATTGACTGGGGGAACAGAGGCTTAATTGGGGCTCAGTTGTGTTTTTCAAGCAATTTAATTTTGCCACTAGATTTAACAGGTAGATTCTGGGGCTAAATGACACTTAGAAGTTAAAAATACATATATACCTAGCAGTGATTAAACACTTGAATGGATGAAATGACGACCTCAATATTGTAAAACACTTCATAAAGATCATACAGATAATAAAAAGAAGTTTAAACTCTAAGAAAATTGTCAAAGAACAAGTCCTAAATATGACTGGAATGTTGACACAACACATACAGTAAAAACCAATGTGTCAATTAAAAGCCCAAAATCTGTTTTCAAATTGGGAACTGTTAATTTTGTGTAGCTTTACTACAGTTTCAGAGTGAGTCAATACTTACTAGACAAAATTGACCAAAGGTCTTAAATCATTTTTTGTATTTGTCATACATGTTAAGAGTCTTTATTTAAGACATTAAATAACCACTGTACTTTGAACTGTCAACAATTGACCATGCTATTCTTTTTTACCTCTGAAAAAAAGTTATTGAATTGACTTTATCTACGTCCTCAACTTGAAAGTTACATGAAAAGGCAAGTACAATCTTTTGACTAATGATCATGAAGTGTTCAATTTTGCTGTTTCTTTTAATTTTATCTTTTTTCAACTTTTGCAGTGTTTTTTGGGGGAAGAAAAAGAAATTGGAGGTACACCCAATAAGAACTGACAAATTAGAATTACCGAGGGTAAATCAGTCCCCCCTGCCCCCTTCACTCTTTCCTTATATAAGATCTGGGGGTATTTAATGATGGAGTATATTTAATCTTCCGGTTATTGATTTCAGTTTGCAAGTGGTAATTTAACATCTATACAATAGAATAAAAGGAGTTCTGAAGCATTTAAAATTCTGGCATATTTTCTTTATAATAGAAGAATGAAGCAGTGAGTGAATAGTGATACTATAAGCCTGTATCAGATAATTATAAAAATCCTCCTCAGAATTTATATCAATTGTTAAAGAATTTATATAACTTACATCAGATAACATTAGATACCTCTCCTAACAAGATGTCAGCTGATCTGGCAGTCCTGAGTGTTTTTATAATCACTGATAAGATTTTATTTATGCTATCTATGCATTGAACAGTAGAATCAAAATGATCAATGTTTTTCATTTTTAGATATCTTTCTATTAAATAAAATTATTTTTCTTTTATCTTAGTACATTACAGTGCACATAAGTCTGACTTGTCTTTCAGCACTTGTGTTTGATAAACCTATGCCTGACTTGTCTACAACTTAATTTCTGAGTCTGACTTGTCTTAAGTTACCCAAGTCTATCTTGTCTTAGACTATAACTTACCTGAGTTTGACTTGTCTATAACTTACCTGAGTTTGACTTGTCTATAACTTACCTGAGTTTGACTTGTCTATAACTTACCTGAGTTTGACTTGTCTATATCTTATCCGAGACTAACTTGTCTAGACTTAGACTATAAATTAAATGCATCTGTCTCATGTCTATGACTACTAGTCTATAACTTACCTGAGTCTGACTTTTCTTTCTGCTCTTTCTCTTTCTGTAATGTCTGAAGATCTTCACGTAATTTTTTCACTTCTTTTTCTAGTTCCTCCATCTGTTTATGAAGAAATACAGATTCACATAATCCAATAGTCTGTAATTATATTAGACACAATAATTAAATTACAAAACCCCAACCATTTACCTCAACCCCAAACCCCTGGAATTCATTTCAAATGACAAAAATTTAAATGATATCTAGCAGCAGTAGAATGCTGACTTATCACTTTCAAAAATAGCAGTGAAGTGAAAGAGCTAGCTGGGAACTAAAAATCTGAAGCAGTGAAAGATTAGAGCTACTCGAACATCTGTAGCAACTAAAGCAGGAAATGAGCTTGGTGTCACTTCTCACTTCTAATTGCAGACCTCAAAAAGACCTGGAATATGCTATGGGCCTCCATAAAGTAATTCAACCCAAGTTTTCAGTGTACATTGTAAAACCTTGAGTAATATACCTTGAGTATGATTCCACCTCCAAAAAAATCAACTACATTTATTTCTTATACCTTGAATACTACATACCTATTCAAAACAAAAAACACTCACAAAAATTGTCATATGCTCCCTTGAAACTACTTGAAATGAAATTTAATCTTTATACAGTATTCTAATAATAAACATTCTGACCACAAAAAAGAACAAAAAAACATAGCCTCCCAAATCAACTGATTCCATCCTATACCAAAACACACTCTAGATGTCAAATGGCAGGAAGAACCAACACTTCAGGTAAGAAACAGGTGTTATATCACAAACAGTTTATAACAACTTCTGGATAAAGTTGTGTACCTTAATTTTATATCTGTAGGGAAAAGTCCTTCTGCTCTGGTCCCTGCCTGATAACGTTAGACAGGACTTAATTTCATCTGTAACAGTATTACTCTGATCCAACCTTGTTACATTTGACTTAGATCCTTCATTATTTCTGTTGTCCTTGTCTGTAATGGTTAGTAGATAGGACTTAGAGCCTTCATTATTATGCCTGTCCATGTCTGTATCCATTACATTTGACTTATAATTAGTTTCTTCTGCATTACTTTGATCCTTGCCTTTAACGATTACATTTGACGTAGATCCTTCATTATTCCTCTCGTCTATGCCTGTAATAGCTACACTTGACTTCGATCCTTCTGAATTACTCTGGTCCCTGCATGTAACAGTTACACTTGATTTGATTCCATCTGTGTTATTTTGATTTCTGCCTGTAATGGTTACCTTTGACCTTGTTCCTTCTAAATTACTTTGATCTCCACCTGTAACAGTTACACAAGACTTAGATCCTTCTGTATCACTCTGTTCCTTGCCTTTAATAATTACACTTGACTCAGTTCCTTCCTTTTTACTTTGGTCTATGCCTTTAACACCTGACTTAGATCCTTCTGTATCACTCTGTTCCTTGCCTTTAATAATTACACTTGACTCAGTTCCTTCCTTTTTACTTTGGTCTATGCCTTTAACACCTGACTTAGATTCTTCTGTATCACTCTGTTCCTTGCTTTCAACAATTATGCTCAACTTAGTTCCTTCCTTTTTACTTTGGTCCATGCCTGTAACACCTGACTTAGATCCTTCTGTATCACTCTGTTCCTTGCCTGTAACACTTGCTGCACTTGACTTAGTTCCTTCCTTATTACTTGGATCCCTGCCTGTAACTGTTACATTCTGATCCATGCTTGTAATGGTTACAATCCACTCAGTACCAGCTGTTTAGAATGTCCTATAGGCAGTCCTCCACGGGTCTCATTCCCACCAGACATTCCACCCCAGATCCACCCTATCTATTATTCATACACTTATCATTGGATCTACATCATGTGAATTTCTGATAGATAATATCCCCAAAGTAATACCCCTGGCCACCGACACTGCCGAGATACAAAGTAATTTGACAGAAGATCTATGTCCGACCATTCAATATAACCAGATCAAACTTTATCCCTTTACAACTAATTTCTCAGTATCCTCTAACCAAATCCTGACACAGTCCATTGAACATGTTATCGTTACATCACAACCCCTTCAAATCATTCAAAAGACTAGAACATTTGATCAGTTTAAGTAACTCGGCACTCATCAGCTATTGACTTAAGTAAGTAAAGTAAACCCAAGCTTCCGCGGGAGTTTGTACAGTACCTTAAGCCGCAGGATCTGGTACCCGGGCTATTCCAGCCCAGGAGTTGTCTAAATATTTGCTGGGGACTGACTGCTCTTTAATGACATGTATAAATCCTACGGGCGGCAGTTGTTAAAATCAAGCACTGATCCACAATGAGCATGCATTGTTGACACACAAAATAACAACTAGATAAAATTTCCGAGCTGAGATTATTAATACGTAAATATTGATATACACATATATGCTGATCCTTATCCATAGAAAAATTCAGATCAGCAATTTAAATCATGGCTAGCACTCTACCATGTCTAGTGTACATATGTATGTTAGACATGCTCTGCTTTTTTTAATGAAATTTGTCCTTTAAATATCGGCATGTGGCATAAATAATTGAAGCACAAATAAAAAAAATGATAAAATACTCTTGAAAAAGAAAATAGGAATTTGCCAGTGTAGTATTGATATGCCTAATTTATTTACTTGAGTGGGGGTGTGATATATAAGGGGTGGTATAAAAATTCCAGAGAGGTTGTTTTGTTACCCCAGAAGACAGGTATTTCGGTGACCATTTGACAGTCACCCTTCTCATTCAATCACAGCTTGATACCTTGTTCAATACAAAGATAAGTAAAAATGGTAAATGCAGCGTGGAAATTAAACTATTTCACAAAATTCAAAACTTCTGTACATGCATGCTCCAACCTTGTCAATTTCAAAACACCTGTATATACCCCAAAAAGATTGTACAAGAATTCAATGTCATTTGAAATGAAATCCAGAGTTAATTATTCTGAGGAGAACAACATTTTAAATTTCTAATTGACTTAAATGGTAGTGAGAGATCAAACTGAAAAGTGTCGAGTTTCACTATTACACTGAAGCAGAAATGGTGTGTACAGAAAAGTTGTCATTCTTCATGTTTAACACGCTGCATGAAATATGCCAGCATGAAGTGTCAATATAGATCAGAACCTCATGAATCTTCAAAAATCAAATTAATATCTTAAATAACTAAAACTGAAGATCAATAAATTGACCCTTACAGAGTGTTTTTAAAATTAATTTCTAGCTACTTTTGATTGATTTCTTCATCCATCACTATTGAGTATAAACTGCTTTTATGAATTTCTAACATTAGAATTGTGCTACATACACCGTGTTCTCTGTGAAATATTAAAAATACTTATCAGTTTTTAATTAGAAATTAAGAGAGTAAATGATTATAAAAAGATGGCAATTGTAAGTCAGTGTGAAATAAGTTTCCAAACCTCTATATTTTATACCTATATAACCCCATTAACTGGTGCAAAAGTAAAGATTTAATTGGTACAACATGCAAGTTTACTTAATTAACCAGTAACCTGTACTATTGTTATGATTTTTTTAATATATACCTATATAACTGAAGAATAAAATTTTTCAGCTGTTGTTTGCAAAAGTAAAGATTTACTTGGATTAACAATTCATTCACTAGGACATCTGATTTCCCTTGAATTAACCAGTTAACCAGTTGTGTAAACTGTTATAATAATTTGTTCCTTATTCTAAAAGCTTACTTTTCATCTTCATGCCCCAGACAAAGAATGCTTCATGTTTAACTGAAGCCCCCTTCCTACTTTAAAAATTTTAGTCCTTTTTTTCAGTTGCTTTATTTTAAATATCAAAAATACATGTAACATTTTTCATGACTAACTTGATTCCTTCATACTAGGATCAGCTGATTTCCCTTGTTCTGTTTTAACAACAAATGTGAACAAGTTATCATCTCAACTAAAGTCCTTAATTTTTAAGAAACCTCCCCTCTATATTTTGATAAGATCCCAAATTTAAAAGACCCCCTACTTTATTTAATATGGTTCCTTTTCTCACCCCATTTTATTTTGAGCTGGTCCCTTTCTTTATTTTGAGCTGGCCTTTTTCTTAATTTAGATATGGCCCCTTGTTTTGAGCTGGTCCCTAATTTAGACCTGGTCCCCTAGTTTATTTTAATATGACCCCTTGCTAAATTTTGAGCTGCTACTGACTTTAACTGGCCCCTACCTTGGCCTTTGCCTCCTCGTAATCATCCTCAAGTTTGTTGTTTTCCTCCATCAGGGCGTTGATTTCCTCCTCATGTTCCCTCTTTAGCCTCTCTTTCAGTTTTTTGATACTCTCGCGTGAATGACTGAGTTCCTCCTCAAATTGAGTGCGCTCTCTCTCCAGAGTCTGCTCAAACTCGACAGCCGACATCCTCCCGTCTTCTGACGGGCCAGGCGTGTTTAACCCGGGGGTGCTCAGTCCAGGGGTCTGGGGGCAGGTTGTGTCAGTCAGGGCAGGGGTCACAGATGGGGTCATGGTCCTGTTCTGCTCAGCCTCCAGCTCATCCAGAAGCCGAGCCCGCTCAACAAGCAGGAAGGCGATCTGTTCACTGGTGGAGACGCTGGCAATCTCCTCAAGGCCCTGCTGTATGAGCATCTCAGCTGTCTCATCCCTCAGTGCTGCAGCTAAAAGTCAAAAATAAATAAACTATTTACTTCAAATTCTATCAAATAATTTTGTAATTAAACTTTAAATGGGTCCTTTTTTAATATAAGAGATAAAAAAAACTACATAGATAAAATGTGGTGTTGTTAATGATTATCACAGGGATGTCCCCTTGCTTTTCATGAAAAACTTTTAACAGATTTCTACATCTACTCACTGCTGTAGATAATCTTTTACAAATTTAAGTTTTCAACATGTTTAAGATGAATAACATAAGTTTAAAAAATAATGAATTTTGTTGCTGAATGTGTAAAAATTATAATCATGGTTTGAGAAAATTGGCATTGTTTTCCACACATTTTTGAATGTGTGCAAAAATTTTGTGAACTATGGATCTTACACTGTTTCTTCTACAACACTGTAGGTTCGAAAAGTAAATTAACCTGCAGTTGCCTCCCTTACCTCACCAGTATATTGTACAGATCAAAGCAATGTCAGAGTTAAACATGACAGAGAATATATATCAGTTTTACACCTGGCTATTTAAAGTTCAATAGGTTATCAGGTAATTTGTAGACAAATGGGGTATAATAAATACTGTACAGAGGATTCCTAGAGGGATCTGTATAGTAAGGAGCACCCTGACAAAGTTTACAGGGGGCTCTATATAACACATTCCACAGGAGAGGAACTCAGGTGCTACAGCTTACAAGGGTACACTCTCAATACCTGGCCCAATATTCGGAGTAAATTGCCAGCTCTTTAAATCTTCTGTAGCCATTGTCAGGGCTCCAAAGGAACTACTTTCTGTAGAAATTTCCCATTAACCCTGAACAATTGTCATTTCTAAGGTCTAGAGTTAAGACGGGTCCTCGGAAATCCATTCTAAGTGGGGGAGATATAGCATTTGGTGTTGATTTATTTTACAAAAGTATGCCCTCATATTGATAGAAGTCACCGAAATCTTCCAAATCACAATGACACGGAGCTAAATCAATCCATACTGAATTTATCTGGAGCACCACCAATATTGTAAAGTTTCCTTAATTAACATCAATGTCCTTGGACTTCACTGAATATAATAACTGTTAGGTCCATTCCTCCAGCAATCCTAACACTTTATAACCAATCCCTCTCTACTCAATGTTTTGAGGACACCTGTTAAGCTGTTTTTCTTCCGTTACACAATATTTTCAATCAATTAAACAAGAACTGTCCTAATTCCTATAGTAGACAGACCAGGAGATGATTAATCAGTTTTATAAGAGGACCATTTCTAGCCTGGTCGGGTTTGGCAGACGTTCAGGCAATAAGACAATGGGAGCCAAGGGTCCGGGGATGTGTAGACAGATCACGGGAGATTTACATCAATTAATCCGCTCAGTCATTAAATGTCTTAATGAGATGTATGTACTTTAACAAAAGACAGGGCTTCTCAGTTCTCGGTATAAGAAAGTTCTTCATTTTAGCAGAAGGTGACAAGATGCTTTTTGAGGGAAAAAAGCTATCACTTGGATCAACAGAGCTCCCCTCAATGAAAGTAATTCTAAAAGTGTCCATCCATAGACTGATGCATAATCGACGCAAGTTTGGTCCAGGGATTTTAGAATGGACCTGTTCAAAATAATTTTTCTGGTTATTCATAATGACAAAACTCTGGTAGTGTACATCAACAATTGTATCTTCAGAACTAAGTTAAGGCTTATAGTCTTTTTAGACAGAAACTGCTCAAAAAAAACCTGGTCATTCACTTGGATAATGTAGGTCAGATCCAGCATCCAAAGCAAGCCCATGTGCATTCTCAGATGTATCATCTATGCAGGGTTGGTCAACATAGGGCTTTTAGTTACTTGGAGCTGAGACCTAGCTGCTTTAGAAACTTTAACCTTGTCTTAATCATCCAGAATATGTAGGTCAGAACCAGCATTCAAAGCCAGCATGATAGTGTGTATCCTTAGAAAATCAAATCAGGCAAGTTCTATCAAAATAGCTATAGGGCTAATAGTTACTTGGAAATGAGTCCTGCTTCAAAAACATTAACCTGGCCATTAATTAATTCTTATTAAACTCAAACTACACCTTCTGACACCCTTACTTCTATACTGATTAATGCAGGTCATCTAAATGTAGATATGATCTATCTAAAGTACTTGAAAAGAAATCTGCTCCAAAAAATTTTGCTGAGAGTATTACAAAAGCTGCCCCCAACATTATCAAGGTGAACTAATAAGCACTGGTCAAATACCTCTATTTGTCTGAATACACTACATACATGTACCCGTATTTCTAATTTATCACTATTATAATCTATGTGTGTTTTGTACCTTATATTGTACCCTTTTAGTTATTTACACCATATAATTATAAGTATTGTTAAGGAATCATCTTGTAAGAAATATATCTTACATTATATTTTTCTATCTCGTCCTTCTCTTTGTAGTTTAATTATGTCATAAAACCCTTTAATTAAGTATGGAATTTAATTCATTTCAACATGTTCAAAGGAAAAAAATCAGATTCATAATAACACTTAATAATCATCTTAATAGAAAAGCGGTTCGGCTGACTACCTGACATTTGACTGTGAGGTTGTTAATTATGACAATTAATAAGCATTAATTGGCTCTGATTATCTGATATAGTGATACTAGATCTGGGTTGTCAGACGGTATTGTATTGTTTATTACCAAGAACCATACAGTTCATAGGTTTAACGTATATACATAAATCAGTTGTACAGTATATGTATAACATTTCAATATCGTTTGAACATTAAGTAAAGCAGGATCATAGAAAAATTTTACAAACTATTCATTCTAAATTCATAAAGCAGAAAAAGCACAATAATATAAGTTTAGTAATAGTAGTAGTGAGGATAAAGTCGTAATATCAATTCAATTTACATCTGCTCTTAATTTTGTACATTTATAAAGATATTTTCCCAGTTTACATAACTCTGTTACATTTTTTGTCGACAACAATTGAACAAGTTTAAAGGTAGAGGGTTTTTGGTGATAATATTTTTAATATACTCTTTTCTAACATTAGAAAAAAATGGACAAACCAGAATAAAATGATACTCGTCTTCAACCTCTGACATTGAACAAAATTTACATAATCTTTCTATTCTAGGAATATTAAAAAATCTTCCTCGCTCTATCTCTAGTTGGTGAGAAGACAGACGGTATTGACTGATATGTTGTGCATATTTTTGTGATATTGACTTTTTTAAATATAATTGTAAATCAAAACTATCACTTAAATGCTTATACAAAATGCACTTCGGAGAACCTTCAAAATAACTTCGTGCTTCTTGTATGAACATGTCATCCAATCTTTGTTTCACCTCAAACAAAAAAAGTTTTTCATTAAGATTATTTTTACAGTTCCATGTATAACCAAAGCCTAATGTATCAACAAGTTCTTTTATATGTGACAACCAGCAAGGAAAAGTGTTAGATTCACACACATCTAACATTTCTTTGTATATATTTCTTAAAATACAATTATCGCTATTTTTTAATTTTAGCCAATACTTCAGCATTCTAAATTTTCTGTTCCATTGTAATGGTTTCTGTCCTAGTTCAAAATAAACCATAATAGATGTGGTGCTTTTTTTAACACCTAGTACTCTTTTACAAAAATCTGAGTGGATACTTTCCAGTTCTCCTGCTGGGTGAAACCCCCAAACTTCGCAACCATAATTTGCTATACTACCAATATATGTATCAAACAATGACAGTTTAGTGCTTACATTCAAATACATTGGTTTCATTTTTGTTATTAAACTACTTAGACTCTTTCTACATTGTGCTGCTAGTACACTTTGTGTTTTGTTAAATTTACCATTATAATTCAAAGTTATTCCTAAGTAATTGAAATTTTCAACAATATCAATCAATTTGTTTTCATACTTCCAACAGTAATTTTTCTTCAATCTACCACCTTTTCTAAATACAACAATTTTAGTTTTATCCACGTTAACTTTAAGTTTCCACTTTGCTGTATATCGCTCTAAACAATTGAGCATATCTTGTAAACCTTGTTCTGTCTCTGAGAAAAGCACAGTATCATCTGCATACATGATCAAAAACATAGCAATATCTCTTATTTCTACGGGAATACACATATTCTCTATAAATTCCATCTCAAAATCATTAACATACAGAGAGAACAAAAATGGAGAGAGAGATTCACCCTGCATCAGACCCTCATGGCAGCTAAAAAATTGGGAAAATTGATTTCTGTGTCGTACACAAGATTTTATATTAGAATACAAAGATTTAATAATATTCAGCATGTGGCAATCGATACCACTTTTTGCTAATTTAGATAACATAATATTTCGATCAATTTTATCAAATGCTTTTTCGTAATCTACAAAACAACAAAATAATTTTTTCCCTTTGCTAACAGCTCGGCTGATTAACCAGTGTAGAACAAAAATAGCATCTGTTGTACTATGACCGGCTTTAAAACCAAATTGTGCATCAGTTATAATACTATAATTATTTGACCAGGTACTCAATCTCTCATTAAGTAAGGATGTAAAAATTTTTGACAGACAACTTACAAGTGTAATCCCTCTATAGTTATTACAGTCGTTCATATTTCCCTTTTTAAAAATTGGAGTAATGATACCTTCTGACCAGCTTTTAGGAAAAACGCCCGAGGTAAAAACAATATTAAATAAATCCACAAGGTAAACTACGAGAATATCATTATACTCAATAAAATATTCATTCAATAAATTGTCTATTCCCGGAGATTTTTCTTTCTTCAAACGTTTGATGACGCGAGTTATCTCCTCTGCGGTAATTGGGCTGTTCAATTCAGGATATGCAGAATTGTCTATTTCTGAAGATACCGATTCACTATGGGCATGCATTGAATGTTGATTTGAAGAAAGTTCCTTAAAGTGGTTATAAAATTCCGACAAATCCGGTCCATACGATAGATTTCTTTTCTGTTTGCGGAAAATACGATAAAATTCTTTTGGATTTTTCTTCCTTATATATTCCATTTGATCTCCTTGGTAACGGAAGTATTCTCGTTTAACTTTTCTTTCATATCTTTTATAATTTCTCTTAGAAGTGACCAATACATTTCTGTTAAAATGTGTCCGTGAACTATTAAATAGATTCAAGTTTCTTAAGTAAGTTTTACGTAACTCTGCGCACTTAACATCAAACCAAGGTTTATTGTTTATATTTCTTCTTTTGCTTTGGTTGGATGTATTATTGATAATTATTTCCTTACTACAATATGGGAGAAATACATCATTAAGTACCCGTAAATGTCTCTACACAATTATTGACACCTTCTTTTGTTATTTCTACATTATCTAAAGCGCCCGCAAGATGCTGTAAATGACTACATAATTCAGTTTTAATTTCATTGGATAACAAATCATCCCATTTCGTTCTAACAAAACGTGTATTGACATTACTTCTCTTATCGTGATGCACAATAGAATTATTGACACAAATTTGAAAATGCAGAGGAGCGTGGTCAGACCATTCATTAAAATTTTCAACATGAAAATAATTAACAACATGGAAAAAATTTTCAGATACAATTGCAAAATTATTCACACTCACTCCACGGTGATTAAAAAATGTGTATCTACCATCTTTATCTCCCAATGTACGACCATTACACACTCGAGTACCGGTTGAGCGACAGAGTTCTAACAATTTCCTTCCAAAACTATTTACAACTCGATCTTGTGACTTTCTTTCTGGTAATGCAACATCGTAATTATAGTTTATAACAGGTGAGATAAAATTATTCAGTTCTGTAGCCATCGAATCATATTCTATAAAATCTACTGATGTACCAATACGTGAATTAAAATCACCACTCAGTACAACACACCCCTTTTCTTTGTACATGATATATCATCATTGAGCGTAGTAAATAAATCTATATCATTTTTTCTGTAAAAAACATTATTTTCATGCGGTATGTAAACAAATCCGATATAAAGTTCGGTATTTTGAACATTAATACCGTTTTGGCATTTCACCCATAAAATAGATTCATGTACAATGTTCTCCACCAACAACTTATCGTGTAATTCTTTTTTGTAAATAAGCATAAAACCTCCACCTTTACATGATTTTCTAGGAAAACATTTGTGAAAAAATTTTTCATTAATAAGACTGTCGTCAATATCAGTATTTACATCAAGCCAACATTCTGATAAAAAAATAATATCATATGTGTCAATAAATGATATAAATTCTGGGTCTCTAATTTTATTGTAAATCTGTATGAATCAGGGATTCTCCACTGTTTAGGGATTGTTAAGTGACTCTCAGCAAATTAATTTAAATGCAATAGTAGTTCTACCATTTCAACATTACGCAATCTTGCCCATGGCAGTCAAGACTGCAGCATAATATGTACACAATTCTTGGTTTCATTTTATGAGGGACTTCACAGAGATGGTTAAATATGGCATGTCATGTTAATTAACCAATGTGTTTGTGTTTGTCTCCCTTTTATTTATTCAGGTACATTTCTTGCATCTTTAGAGAGGGGTAACTCTATGATGTAATTCAGTTACCTGAACTAGAAACTCACCATTCTGGTCCTGTTTGAGCGAGTCTATTTCCTGTTTGAGCTGATCATTCTCGGTCTCAAGTTCTTGTATGAGTGCCTCTCGCTCGTCTGACAGATGTCGGATGTGCTCGACGTAGTTTTCCACCTCCTGCATCTCTGCTGTCTGAGCCAGTTTGAGTTTCTCTTCATTTTCAATGGCTCGCTGCAGGTCCGTCTGTAAACACACAATTAGGATTGTGACACAATATATAAAACATTTACTTATATAAAGCAAGAATATGATCAAATAAAGAACCTTTATCCTCATGGTAATTAGATTATAATCAAAATTATAGGAACATTTAATCATGTTAATCAAATTAAATCTATACTTCATTGTTGTACATGTTGTAGTCATTTTATTTTTTTTCTTAGAACATTATCATTTCTCTACAATGAAGTGGGGAGTCTGTTGATTAAAACCTAAAGTTATTTTAAAAAAAAAAACATCATTACAAAAACTCTGAGTCATTGCATGTATCATCATGATCATAAATTAATTATCATGATAACAGGAATGTTTCTATATATCATTCATATTTCCCAGACTTTGAATAAATGTTATATTGAATGTTAATTAATATCAATTAAATCCTCTCCCTTTCTCTGTTTTTCTTTGTTATTTTGTTGTAATCAATGCATGCCTTTGGGTATGACCTACATTGTTGACATAAATCGTGGACTTTTTTTGGATCAGTTCTCTAAATCCCTCATAAGACGCCATTTAATTTCAATTGTTTCCTGCTCGTAAGTCCAGCATAACACGCCGTGTTTCTTACGATCAGCTTACATTTTCTACGTTATTAAGACAGACCCCATTCTCTGAATGGTAGCAGAGAAAACAGTCCCCTACGTTATTATTCAGCTTAATCTGGTGTAGAACACTGGGTGTTATTATTATGGAGGGTCTGTTACAGAACATTGTGTGAACAAGTCTGGACAGAAATCGCGTGAGGACGAACTTAAGGTGGCTACCTGTAAACCTGACAAAGATGTCCCACGAGTGTCAGTGTGTATAATCTGTCAATACAAAAACCGTTACATGAAATGAGTTAATAGCCAATCCTCAGGTTTTTTATGGCAAAGTGCAACAAATTTTCTCAATCTTTTGTTAACAGAATGTTGGACCGCATTCAAGAATGTGCTGAACATAGAAAACTTGACCATAATTTTCCATGACTTTCAAACAATGAGCCTTAAGATCTAGGTATTTACAATAGGTGATTATCGAGAAAGTAATGTATTGCACAGGATGCATTTTCAATAAAGAACAAGGTTAGGTCTAGTGGTAAAGGTTGTAAACTAGTAACTGTCACTTAGTGCTAGATGGTTTAAATAATTAACTGGTTATAGATGTCACCAAAATTTGGAGAGCTACAGATTTTGACATATACTCAGCACTTTGTAAGTGCTTTGTCTGTATGACTGTGTGTGTTTTTACTTTGTATGTCTGTTTGTGACTTTACTTAATTGTTCATACCACTGTGTGTTACAGCTTAGTCTGTATGACTATTTGTTTGTACTTAATCTGTATATATGTCTGTTTTTGTTTGTACTATTTCTGTACCTCTGTGTGTTAGGGTTTTGTCTGTATGTCTGTATGTGTTTTACTTTGTCTGTATGACTGTATGTGTTTGTATACTATTTGTACTCTGTGTGTTAGAGCTTTGTCTATATGTCTGTATGTGTGTTTACTTTATCTGTACCTCTGTGTTAGGGTTTTGTCTGTACCTCTGTGTGTTAGGGTTTCGTCTGTATGTCTGTATGTGTTTTACATTGTATGTACCTCTTTGCGTTACAGCTTTGTCTGTTTGTGTGTTTATTTTGTTCATACCCCTGCACGTTAGAGCTTGTCTGCATGACTCATTTTGTTTGTTTTTTTGTCAGTATGACTCTATGTGTTTTTATTTTGTTAGTATCTCACAGTATTAAATCTTTGTATTTTTGATAGTTTGAGTTCTTTCTTTGCCTGTACCTCTCTGTGTTTTTACTTTCAGTGTTTTTTTTTCCGTACTAATTGGGACTGGGGGCTGGGGCCCTTAGAATTGGGAATTTCAGCGTCAATTAGGCTAAATTGAGAATCTCCAAGAAAACCCAGTCACTTTAAAAGCAATGTCAAAAAGCTTTGTTTTTCTCTTTGTATTGCTTCAATAGTGTGTTTCAAAAGTTATGTGCCATCTTGATAAACCCTGTCCTCACAGTACCCTTTATAGTTTTCAGGTTTGTAACTTTGTCATTTGACTGGGAAAAATCGTTGCATAGTGTATACTGATTGTCCCATGTTGGGGCTACCCACACATGCAAAGAAAACAATTTAAACACAGCGGATTCATCATAGCCCACCCAAACGTTGGGTAGCATTAAGAGGAGAAATGTTGTGTTTTCCCTTTTGACCTTTTGGTTGACCCCGCAAAGGGAAACAACCTTTGTAAAGTGTGGATTGGTCTATTGTTATAACAAATTAAGACTATTCTTGGTATGAATTATCTAATTACTTGCATCAAGAACAATAGTGGAATGAATTATCTAATTACGAAGAAATCCAACATGGCTGAACAACCAAATCTGAATGAACTTCACTGAAAAACATGCAATAAACAAACAGAATTTGATCACATTTTTTGTAAGTTTTTCTTTGGAAAAACTTCCCCTACATTTTGGGAAAATTCAGGCATATTTTCAACTGGGACTGGGGCCGAATTTCGACCCCAAATCGGCCATAAAAAAATCACCAGGGGCCTATATACTAACGGGATAGGCAACTCCTTCATCGCAATGTTTATTTACCCAAAACATCACGCACAACAGTACAAGTTTTTCAAACTCCGTTTATTCCCAGTAAACAGGGTATTTTCTGATTAATATCATTTATTCCTTTTATGTATAGGAATTGATTTATTGATAAATATGTAAGCATGATAATAATATAATTAAAATATAGAAAACAAACGATCGACAATTAATAATGGCCGACGAGCATGTGCTAATTTTGCAAACGAACAAAATTATTAATGATAAGGGTATCATGTTCTAAAAACAAATCTTGAATGATTTTTTCAGAAAATTTAATAATGTCTCAAATATGCGATAGCTTTAGAGATATGATTAATTAAAGTTGACTTACGAAATCCCGCGACTTGCGAGATATCGCGAGACTTGCGGTAGTCTCCTATCCCGTTAGTATATAGGTCCCTGAAATCACTGACTTTGTATTTATGTCTGAATGCATTTTTATTTTGTCAGTACCTCTGTGAGTTAGAGCTTTGTCGGTACCTCTATATGTAATTTATTTTGTCTGTATGAGTTTTTATTTTGTCCTTACCTCTGTGTGTTGATACAGCCTCCAGACATACAGCAGCTTCTCCTCCTCGGGACACTGCGCACTGAGACCATCGTCCACCAGCTTCCTGTCAATCTCCTTACGAATGTCCGACGGACTGTCCTACAAACAAATGATCGACAATTAATAATGTCCTACAAACAAACGATCGACAATTAATAATGTCCGACGGACTGTCCTACAAACAAATGATCAACAATTAATAATGTCCTACGGACTGTCCTACAAACAAACGACCAACACTTAGTGGCTTAATAGTTACAATTTTAAACATCTTTGTACAATATAAAACTATGTTAAAATACAGTAATACATGTAACAGTAAATCCTTATAAAGTGATTTTCTCAGCCTTTGACAGAACTAAACACTTTCAAGCAAGACAACTTTTATGCAAGTTTTTAATATATTCATGTGAGCAAACTGATTGATCTTATCATAAAACCAGAAAGCTAGATGGCTATTCCTTAATCATGTTAATGAATAAACATACTTTCGTTAAATTCCTCTCTCCAATATCTATCTGCCCAGTATTAACTGTGGAGCGGATTCTTAAAATCTATATAATACATGTACATGTACAATAAAGAGGTACATGTATCTGAAAAAGCTAAATGATTTAACACTTTTGTTTTCCATTACACATATCCAATGCTGGTCTAGAAAAAACTTCTCGTGACACTCAATCATGTAAATGTGTACCTTATAATGTTGTACATGTAATAATAATACACTGTGCATTACTTCGAGGTCAGGGAAAAATGTACTTACAAAAATGAAGTATTTCAATGTTGGCGACTGCATTCAAACTTTGAGGTTTCACATAATTAAATCCTTTGTACATACACTAAATATGCTAAAGTTGCACAAAATGTTAATTTTATATCACACTCAAGAAGTGTCCACCGATTCACCTCAAATTTTACATTCCTTTGTGAGTATAAAACCTAACTATAAACTCCATTTTTACCCATCTTTGGCATCAGAATACACATTATACACTGGACACCTTCATGTCTGACCTTGCAGTGTGTCATTATGGGGCTGATTTCACTCCGAGTAAGAGAGCTAAGTTCCTTAGTCACATGGCCTAATATTAAAAGCCAGTATTAATCTTTATAATCCCGTGGAATACAATAAGCCGGGCGGATTAAGAGGCGGTATGTATATATATAGACCAGATATGGTGATCTAATGATTACTTAATTCTTACCATTCGATGACCTCATATTGCATGGAAAAGGAGGGGGATACAAACCTGTGGAAATATGGCATTATTAATGCAGAGAAAAAATAAATGTGTTAGACATGTTTGTAACTATCAACTTAATGTTTTGTCTGAATTTCATATATTTTCATAAACTGTTGTTAAGGCCACCTTTAAAAGATTGTGTCAGGGTTGTCCCTAAGGAATAGCAGGGAACATTTAAAAAGTACAACATGTAGAAGGGGCTGGGCATCAGGTTCCTCCCTAACAGAAGGTGAAGGCGGAGGGGATATATCAAAATAATTGGGAGATTATATCATCATAGGCAGGAATTTTCCCCATCCCTTGGTCTAGAGTTAAACATACCTGTATTTATTTGCCATCTCCTGGCTAAAAAACCTCCAACTCAACAATTATTTTTTTTTTACAGTTTAAATTTATTTTGAAATTTTAATCTTTTCTTGTTAACAAGTACAATATATTTTAATTGTTTAGTTAAATTTCTTATCACATTTTGAAAAGTCAGTTAAAATTCCTGTAAAAAATTACGATTGTATTATGCTTCTAGTATGATTTTGGAGATGATGTAAATATATCTTACAACCACAGATTTTTGTAGTACGATTTTAGCGATGATACATATCTTGCGACTGCAGTTTTTTTTTTTGCGGTCTTTACCACATGGTTTAAGGGTATTTTTAATTGTAACTGTAACAAGATGTGAAAATTCTCAATTGCAAATGATCATCAACAATCATCAAGTATAGTGTCACCCTTAACATTTAGTTTACAGATGATGATTGGTCAAATATTAGTGCTCTAAGAACGAACTCCTGTCTGATAGGTCGTCATATGATCGGCTTAAGGTCTATGAAGGTCTTCGTAGGATCTTCAGGAACGTAGAGAGATCATAGTGAGAACATAGTATGAACACAGAGGGAGCATTGTATGAGCGTACTTGATAAGTTCCTACGCTTTTACTACGATCACAAAGATCTCTCTATGATGCTTCCTTGCTGCTTGTACGATAACAGCGCTTCTACTCACAGATGTAAAGATTCTTGTTGGCCACGATCCCGCTACGCTTGTTTTGAACATGTTCAAAATAAGTGTAGTGAGAGTGTAGAGCTCTCCGATCATGAAGACCCTACTGCGATCATACTACGCTTATGACGACTTTACGACGTTTCTCCTGCAATATGTCACTATCGGCCACGCTTTGATCGTGGTAGAAGCGGCGCCTGTGTGAACGGGGGGATAGTCATTTTGAAAAGTCAATTAAAATTCCTGTAAAAAATTAGTTAAATTCTTACCTACCCTGGGTTCGAAATTCACTATATACAACTCGCAAAATGCGAGTTAGAATTTCCAAATTGCAAGTTAAAAAATTTGTAACTCGCAAATTTTTGCGAGTTGATTTTTTTCACTGTAAATTTCACCAAGGGAAAAATTTATCTGACATCCACCATTTTTAAACCCATGTCCGATAACCAGGCCTAAAAAAATGACTGATCTATTAAAATTACCTCCAGGTGGATTTTTTTTTCTCCCAATCTGCGTCGTTTGATCAATCAGCTGATTCGAAATCCATTTATTCCAAAAAAAAATTAATTGTAGCTTAACTTGAGATATAAAATATGTCAACCTAGTTAACAATTTACCTTAGATATAATGAGTAATCATAATGTATTATTGTAACAACAATTTCCCCCCAAAACTTTTGAAGTTCGTTTTTTGCGGCTAGGCATATATGCCATGTTAGGTGTCCACTGTAAATATCCTCTATTCACCCGGGGATGTTTGGCTCTATAATCATAAGGAAAAAAAATCTTGACCTTCTGAACAATGATTTTTGAGGAATGTTACAGGAAACAAACATAATTTTTTTTAAACCTCGTGTAGAAAATTTTGAATTTTTATTTTTAAAATGGATGGATGGTGATTTATTTCTAGAAAGCTTTCATTTTAAAATTGCGAGTTGTCTTTTGAAATTGCGAGTTCATATTTTTGGAACTCGCAATTATTTGTGAGTTGTAATTTTAGGGAGTTTCTACTCCTGCTACCTAGTAACCTCATTTTTTTCTGTCTGAGATTGGAGTCAGGTAAACAGGCATTACATGTTTTAAAGAAGGCCTTAATATTGGACTCAAATATATTTATATAATAACAACATGTACTAATGTAGAGCCTTGAATAAAATGAAAACCTAATTGGCTCTGTTCTCTTAAGATCATGCATTGACTGGGCTGAAAAGCAATTTAAGCAAGTATAGACCTGGCAGAACCAACAGATTCAACATCCAAGTTCAAATGTGGAAATGGAAGAAGGATCACCGGCGATCATGTCAGACCACACAGAGGTAGAAAATACAGTTAGATAATGCTTGTTATGTTCAACTAGTTCTGCAAATAAACTGATCTCAAATATTTCAGGTACTTGCAATTTATCTTATTTCTAAAATAAACATTGATTTGTTCCATCAGCCTATTGACAATAAATCCAGTAATGGTAGAATAATCTCAGGGAGGAAAACCCATTCTAGAAGTGTTGCCTTTTGGTTTTAATATTATAATAAATCACAGGGTTATCAGTGCCTTGTTTGTTTCTGCCATAAATACACTGGTGTACTGATAATGTTAAGTGTTCTACGAACTACTGGCCTTGAATATACTCTCTTTGGATGTTTAATCTCAAATTCATCATTTTCTGGACAGAAAATTTGTAGTGTGATTAAATGATATCACATCTATCAGAAATTGATACATGTTAATCATCATTAACATGAAAACTCAAATTGCATGTGTTGCATATATGCTCATTCATATATTATTCTTTTTAAATCTCTCCTCACATAAGTTTCATGTAAAATATAATAATTTGTAGAGTAGTATGTGCCAGCAAACCCCATCCCCCTTTTCTCCAAGTATATTTAAATTATAATTTTTGTAATTCTTTTATTACTTCCTAAGAAACACACTGATCTGCATTTACACAAATATGGAAAAATATGGGGAAAAATCTTCATGCAGCATGATTCACCAGGTAGATCTATCAGTGTCATTAATTAATTAATAAATTAATTAATTAGAAATGGATGTTTAAAAGTGATGCCTTAGAATCCACAAAATTAAAATATTGTAACATGAAAAAATTACACTGATCATTCATTGACTTTATTGAGAAACAAACATGCCACACTTAGACAGTGTCATACAGTCATAGTTGAGTGTCAAAATGCAGAATTTTAATATCTACATGATCTAAGTCCCTCTACATTCTTTGCAAACAAACTTCCTCCTTCTGTCTCTCTCAATCACAATGTAAAGTAAAGATGATTAACTCTAATTTTTCATTTCGAACATGTTAAAATAATTAAACCTCCTGCATCTTCTCTCCATCTGTGAACTTTCCCCTTGGATACTTGTTGATGTTACTATTCAAGTTGTTACGGATAATTTTTTTTGCAAATATAACATGTATAAAGATATTTTTCTGTGGCACAACAAATGACAATGTCATTTTCACTGACTATACAGCCAATTAAAGATTGTCAAGCTTGTTGGACAATGTCACCAATAGTTATAATATTTAACTTAATGTAAAAAACTTAAAATAATAGGGCATAATTTAGTTTTCTACGTATGATAGATGCATTTTTTATTCACATCCAGAATTTATTTCTATCAATCAATCATTTCCTAGGGTAAAGTTTGTAGTTATTCCTGAATCCGGAGTAAATACTCATTTGCTCTTCAAATATCTTTGACAACTATAATCTAATTCAATATGTAACTTTTAAATGTTTAATGTGTGTTTACTTTTTGTACGACATGGTTGTATGAACACGTTAAGTCTATTTGTCAACACAGGTTACGCGATCTTGCTTAACGCACTTACCAGAAGCCTGGGCGTCTCCGGCGCTGCCATTCCTTTGCTTCACCCCAAATGCATGACAGAAGAACATCAATTCTTTAAAACATTTTCGGTAAAATATCCCTCACATAATTTTCATACAACTAGTATTTCAAACATAAAAGTTTGCTCTCCATCGCCTCTGATCGCCGCCATTTTCAAACAATCGATGCTAAGCCAAATTTATTCTTACGCATTTCCGGTTATAGGACAAAATGGTTCTTTGTATCAACTATTAAATATAAAAGAAGTTGTAGACCAAATTTTCAAATATTTTTGAAATAAACTCTAAATTTAAAAACAAAATCAATCAGTTAATGGGGACTATTTTTTTTACTAAAATGATCGACAACTCAAACATTTTCGTCAAGGTGCCTACGAAAGTTTTTTCCCTTAGACCTTGCTGTCCAAAATCAGCTTTGGTATTAGATCATTTTGACACGAATTTCTTACTGATACGACATACACTTTCTCTAGATTTATCAGAGTGTTTAGCCAGAATAAAATAAAATATGTTGCTCAGAAGGAGTATGAAATTTTAGAATCTTTATTTTAAAAAGAAAGTCTAAAATCAAATGAAGTAATTCTTTATTCGTAAAGTGGCATTTTCAATTTCATCAGTCCGTTATAAATGCTTTTGTATTTATTTTCATGAAAACGCTCTCTTACCCTGACTGGACAGAAAATTTAACTCACCTATTACATTAAAGTGCTTTCCTCAAAGTAAAAACTACGCTCACCAAAAAAAAAAAAAAACAAAAAAAAAAAAAAAAAAAATTAAAACCATACGAGAGGCATCTCCCATCCGACAAACAAGCACACAAGCAAACTGAGCAGTTAATTAGTAAATTTTCAACAGTTCATCTTAATTATGCCACGAGCACTCATTTTAAAGTCTTTTAAAGGCAATAAATATTCATGAAATATGTATTTACTCCATGGCATGTTCGTGTTGTACTGCAGAACGCGGCCTCCGGTGTATGTGAAGGGTAAATATTTTCTTGAGAAAGTCACATTTTATCATCAATCTTATATTATGAGAAAATACTGGTATAAATAATAACATTCTTCTTGAAAATACCAGGAACATTTTTTTAAACAAATATTGCTTTAATATAAAAAATAAAAATAAATTAAATTAAATACATTTATTGGATATTTTCGAAAGAATAAATAAAAGAAAAAAATCCAAAACTTTAACTTGCTATAAATCTTTGAACTCAGTTTCCCTCAGAAGTTATTTTTGTTTTCTTTGCATCATTATAAGAATAAATATATAGTCATTTAAAGCAAGTTCTTCTCCTTTTGCGGTCAATTTTCCATCTAGCACACACATTTTTTTTTATTTCGTCTGTTTGTGATCGAATTAATAGGTGACCTTTTAAAAAAAAAAATCATATTTAAAACCCCCAATTTTCGTTATTTGCAAAATTTATAATCATAAAATTTAATCATTATGATTCATGAAATCATTTTCGCTGTTATACAGAGATATAATAAATTTTAAATATAATTATTAGGTTTCAAGAACTTCAATGTTTATCCTCTCATGTTCAATTTGAAATTGAAATGATAACTGAATAATTAAACAAATTGATATATCACTTCATTTTTGATTTCAGACTGAACATTATAATAAAACATGATCCAATAACAATGACAAAACTTTATTTTCATAAATCTGTAAACAGTTGTTTTGAAAACATTAAATACAATAAATTATTAATGACAATGTGCATAAATCCAAAATAAAGAAAAAGGAAAATATTTCATATGCAGATACAGATATATATTTTTAAAATAAAAAAATCTTCTTATACATAGAAAGATAAAAAAAAAAATAATTAATATCATCTTTAAAAAAATATTTCATAGACAGATTTTCAAAAAAAAAAAAAAAAAAGCTAAATTATTTCTCTTCAAATTCTGTTATTTATCTGTTATCAAAGATAAATTAAAATTAAGATAAAATTCAGTCAGAAGAACAACTCTGCATTAAAGGCAATATAAGCGTTCGCAATATATGGAACAGAATAAGAAATAGAATCCGGAATTTTCTCATCATTGTATCATCAAAATTTTACAGTGAATTTCTTTCCAAGAAGGAACACAATATTTATATAAAGTTGTCATTTTGAAAAACTCAGAAAGAAAACAATATATGTTAAATCGGTGTTCAATACTTATAACACTTGGATTTATCAATAGTCTGACTTAAGTATAGTTTTCCCCGGGAAAAAAAACTCAAAGAAAATGTACAAACCACGAACACGAAGACCAGACTTGAAATCACATGACGTCATGACACGTCTCCATGGTGATGTCAACTATCCGACGCGTTTTCTGGTCTTTTGTTTTACAATAAACCTCCGTTCCCTGTTTCCACTCTGGAAATCTTTCACTTATTTGCATGAGATACTCTTTCAAATCTAAAATATTGCAACCGCAGCGAATTGGATTTTCCCTAAGATCAATAACAACGGCACCGTCGTCTCTCAGATATGACGTCATATTCATCAAAACGTCGACGATAGAATTCTTCCGCAGATCAACGTATAAGGTATGGTTTTCATTTGGAATGACAAAATCAAATTCAGCGATGCTATTGTTAGACAGATCTAACACCTTTAACGCTGGAAAATAGGCAGGCCAGTTTCTGCCCTTTTCTGGGACCGAAGTCAGGTTGTTGGACGAAAACGTTACGACATTAAGCACCGGATAATAGTTTACGGTAGAGTCGTTTTCCTGACCATATTGAAAAGTTTCTTCGTAATGGATTAAGTGATTATAGGTACAACTGTACTTGGTTTGTGTCGCGTTCTGATGTTGATCCATTTTGGGTCCACTAGGAAGCCGAGGGAACGTCGACGTAAGATTCCTGATGTCCACAACGACGACCGATTTCTGTCCGCACGCGAAGCTCTCGCTGGGATATCTATGAAGGGTCCGGTCAATGTGGTCATTTTGAGTTTCTTCGATCACACAGTTTGTCATCTTCAGGTCCACTATGCTGTCCGTGTAATTTGCAGGGTCCTCATATTCGTCGTAAAATCCACGGATGATGCAGTTGTGAATGTCAAAGACTTTAAGGCTTCGGGCGCGCATCGGCCAGGGTAGGAAAACGGACGCCCCCGTCTCACAACTGATATAAAGTTCTGCCAGTTTTATGTCTCCCGGCACACCATTAATCCATTCTCGAAATTTCAAAAAATCCCAGTTTTTACTTACAGAGAAGGAGCAAAAAAGAAAACCATTTATGGGTATTTGGCAGGAATTCTGAAATATTTCATACGTACTGATGGCATTGGCACTAATTAGGAAAGAAGAAGCCAGCAGAAGACAGACCAGTGTGTGTGTCATTGTCAGGTGCGCCAGGTGTCTTTGGGAATCTCTACAGACACTCATTAATATCAGGTGTCTGTATTTTGTTATTTACGGAATCGGTTTACTTATATACCAAGTCTGGGTCAACTGACGCGCGCGCAGTCTACACTGCCCTTTCTCCCGATACAAGTTTTTATGGGCTTTGTTCTTATTTTTCAACAAAAATTTAAATCGTATATCCCCCCACACGCCCCAAAGCGGGAAATATTTCTCAAATAATTGTAAATTAATACAAATGTTTATCAAATGTATGTTTTTATTCTAAAATCGACTATAAAGAATGATTTGCTGAAAGTTATTTTCATATGTTAAGTGAAATTTTAAACAAAATTCCCAAAGCATCGTCTTTTTGACTAGCCCTGTTAACATGCATAACTACTAACTACATGTAATTAAATACAGATAACAGCGATGCAAACAATCAAATTCAAGCTTTAAAATACGTATAATTTATAGAAATTTTTAAGTTATGTTATAAACAAGAGAGCCATGGGCCACAACGCTTACCTGAGTAACCGGGACCATGCTGTTCTCCTGATTTCCCCACTTGTAGTACTTATTGTGGCCCAATGCATATGGGGGTCATGACTTGAACGATTTAGAATCTACACTACCCCAAAATGTTTCCACATTAGTTTCAACTTTCATGACCAAGTGATTCTTCATAAGAAGATTTTTAAAGATTTTCCTCTATTTATTTTAATGTAAAAATTGTATTCCCTACTGTGGCCATACCCTTCCAAGGGGTTATTTGAACAATTTAGAATCTTCACTGCATGTAACACAAAATGTTTCTACATAAGTTTTAGCTTTTCTGACCCAGTGGTTCTTGAAAAAAAAGAGTTTTTGATGACCCAATCCCAATTCCGTCTTTTCTTGATTATCTCCCCTTGGAAGAAGGCTTAGCCTTCTCTTTAACAATTTAAATGCCCTTTCTCATTGATGCTTTGTACCAAGTTTGATAAAAATTGGCTCACTGATTCTTGAGAAGAAGTTGAAAATATGAAAAGTTCACAGACGGAAAGACAGACTGACGGACAACGAGTGAACAGAAAAGCTCGCTTGAGCTTTCAGCTTGGGTAAGGTTAAACATTTTTGTCTTTGCTACTTTCTTTCTTTGCTTGTGAAGATTTAGATATACAGTCTATGTAATGATAGCTCTGGTTTTTGGTTATTTTGGTTTGAATTTTTTTTTTCTATTACTCTTTTTAAAATATATTTACATGTTTTCATTGTTATTTAATACATTATGTCATACATGTATTGTTTGATTTTTCCTTGGTTTTACTATAGTGTATCACTTTATAGTTTTCTCGGTCGTTATTTAATTAATTTGGTTTTTTCTTAAATGTTTTTATTGTTTTGTGTGTTTGCTTGTTTTGGGTTTGTTGATGTTAATTTTCAATTTTATTTTGTTATTGCCTGTTTAATCGCTTCTGTTTTGTTTGTTTTGTTTCTTTGCTTTTTATTTTGTTTTGTTTGTTTGTTGTTTTTTTTTTTTTAGATATGTGAAGCGTAAAATATTTATAGCGCTGAGGGTCTAAAATAAAAATTGCTGACTTTGCTGCATGCATAAAAAATATAATTGTTATACCAATCATCTAAAAACCAAGTCCAATTATCTATCTCTTAATTCCTACCCCTTCATGGGATTGTTAGATTAAGTATATTTAAAACCAAATCCCACAATAAAAAAAAGGATTTTTATGATTATAGTACTAGTATCAAGCATTTCTCAAAGACCATGATTCAACTAGAAATCGATTTACAACTTTATTTGAGTCAAATAATTCTATGAAATTTAAATCGCCGACTTACAAGAATTGTTAGTCTGAAGTGGAAGGCCCACCTAATAGAGTCTTTAATGTATTCCTGTCAGACGTTCACAGGTCCATAAAAACGAATTATGTAATGAGAAACCCCAACGTTTGTCTTGTGTTAAAATTATAATCAAATTAGATATACATACAGGTGTTCGGGGCTCCTTTATTTCAGAAAATGACATCATACATCATGTTAGTTATTAATTGTATAAAAGAAGAATCAAGGTCGTAACTGAATTTTAATTAAAAAGTTCATGGTAAATAAACTATGCCAAAAAATAAAATTTCAATTTGGCTGCATAGAATATGGAATGCTATATATAGATCTACGAAAATTAATGTCACCCACTCATACCAATTCTTCAATTATAGATTTAAATTAGTGTATTGTGAATCTATTTTAGTTCACATTTAATTAATCTAGTGTGTATTTCCTTATAAATAAATGCTTTCATTTGTACATTTTGTTGCATTGAATACTAGTATGCACTGATTATGTCAAGTTCTATACGTTCTCCTTATGTCAGCAGAATTAAGAAATAATATATCATTTTAAGAGTTTAAAATGCTATTGTGTAACTATTGGACTACTCCAGGTATCTTTTGAACATTCTGATGGCAATGTTTAAAGGTGTGATTTCTGCTTTTCTAAACTCTATACATATATGTAAAACTATCAATCTTTGTTCAGCAAATATATATCCATTACACAGGCATTGGAACCGGGAGCTGGGGATGGGTGGGTTAGTCCCTCCCCACTTTTGGAAAGATAGACGTAATATAAACATTGAAAATTGGGCTTAGTCTCCAAAGGTTTGTCTTTTGTTGGTCTAGCCCCCTACTTTCAATGAGCCCCTCACTTAAATTTTATTCTGCTTCCGACGCCTAAAAGCATTTTATAAATTATGTAATGGGATATATCCCCCTTTCAAGAAAGATATAATCATAGTAATATGGATGATATTATATTTTGACATGCGACTTATTTATATGTCATATAGAGACTACAGACTACCCACTGAATTTAACATTATATGTGTTTGCATTATGTATTGACGACCGGTAATTTCCTGTTTCCTTAGTTTGGCCTATATCTAGACATTATATAATTCCTTATCAATAACACGGACATTTATCGCCATTACGATGCCTCCAAAATCTTTCGTTTTATTTCTTTTACTAGTAACATGTATGGAACATATTCAAGGTAAACCGGAGTTTGGTTTGATATTCTTCTTTATCTCCTTAAGAAAGCTTCATATTTCTACATAACCAAGGGTGTCTGATCCGCTACTCTTGCCGCAAGTGAAGATGCTATCGATGTGTCCCTGATTTATTGTAATAAATGTTTTCAATCATAATTTTTTACCCAACCATTTTTATCTCCATCAATAAACACACTCAGTTGAAATACTAAATATGTCAAAATAATATCAATGGCAAATCAGAGAGTAATTTATCTGTTTATAACCATTGACGATATCAAGTCTATAAAATTAATGTTCAAAGGAAAAGAACTATAATAGCTCATTATCAAAATAGTGTTAATTAAATCAGTACTAGTAACTCAGTATTACTGACGAACATATCAATAATCATTTAGTATATATTTTAATCTTGATTAATTAACATCTACATACTGTATTTTAATATTTATTAATTAACAGCTTGTAGGGACGGACATATCAGTAATCAATTAGTATCTATTTCATCTTGATAAATTAACAGTTTGATTAATTAACAGCTTGTAGGGATGGCTGGGTACAACATCAAGATAAGTGTTACATGTTCAGTATGTTAGCTGAACCATGGCCAGCAGCCTCGGTGAGTATCAGAAATCTCAGGTGGTAGATGTGACAGGGGATGCTCACTCCTCCATGGCACCTGATCCCACCTCTGATGTTTCGGAGGTCCTTGTTTGTTTCCCATTTTGTATTTTTTCTATGGACCTTTGATCTTAAATACTGTTCGTTAACCCCATTTACATTGGAAACAGGTTGATATTGTTGATGTAGGATGGTTTGTTCGTCATATAAATCTTTAAATTAATTTCATGTTTGGAACTTTTTTTCATATTAAACTATTTTATCTAGTTTTATCATTACTATTTTAATAGATCGAAGCGAATGATTTAAATAAAAAGCATTCGTAATAATAGAGCCAAATTGAACGATATGCCTAAGGTTTTCCTTTATACAAGTTTTAAAATCATACAATTTAAGTATTTACATGCATGTATATTATATATTTGATAGAGTATATGCCAAGCCTACCATACTTACCTAGCAGAACCAAAGACCATGTCTGAGATGAACTTTATCTCTGGATTCGCTGAACATTTACGTGAGTAGATTTATAACAGTACAAATATTAATCTTATTTAAATCTGAATTAAAATTTTTAACGCACTAATTTTATCAAGCTTCTTTCAAATCAGGGGGGATTTAGTCTGATCTACTGATGATTGTTCTTTATAGTTTTTATAGTCTACAGTTATATGTTTCGGTCCAGTCAGGCTGAAGACTACAAACAGAATCAATCTTGAAATAATTTTTATATCCATATGCATATATATTATACTTTTAGTAACCTTGGTGATACCTTTCGTCGAATTTTGAAAAGTCATAAAAAGGATTTATATTTATGTAATCTCATATGTATGGATATGACAGAGAAATCGGTTACAAAAGATAAAGTATCATTCTGAATACAACATGACAAGCATACAGACATACATATGACATATACGTACACTTTGGAATTAACTTCGACAAGTTAGGGCAATAAACAAACTCGTTAATATTACAGGGAAGGATTACTGGCTGGGTATTTCGGATATTATAAATGAAAACCACTGGGTTTATTCTTCTAATATGGACGATATTTCTATAAATAACT